AGCCTAACTCTGGTTACACTCTTTGTTTGTAAGATATGATGTACCGCATCCTAAAGCTTTGGGAGATGGCAGCAGGAGGAGAAAGCTACTAATTACCCCTGGTGCATTAAAAAAGCACAATCCTTGCTGAAAACAAACCCTAACTTACTTATCTGAGAAAGTGAGAGAGAGAGGTGCGTCTTAGCCCAACCTACCCCCACAGGGTTGTTGTGAGGGTGAAAGAACTATGGGTGAAAGAACCATGCATTCACCCAGAGCACCTTGGAGGAAAAGGTGTAGGAAGTGCATACTAGAGATGTTCAGGACATTTTGGTGCCTGAAGCAGAAAGTACAAATAGAATTGATGGTGGCAAAACTATAGTAATAAAAAATATGACTGACATTCGTTCCTGAAGGTAGATTTCAGAAGATGGTTGTGAGGGGCAGCTCCTCTTCCCAATGAGATCCTCACATGAATCCACCTTGTTCCCCATGTTGTTTAACACTGAGCCTTGGAGAGGTCACTTGGAGAATCGGGGTTTTGTGTTACCAATACGCAGATGATACCCAACTCTCTCTCTTTCATTTCATCACGGGGAAGCTGTTGAGGTCCTGAGAATCCATGAATGATTGGGTTTGGCTAGCATGCTGAAGTTCGTAGACAAATGGTGGTGGCTGGGGCAAGGCATGCTTTTGGAAAGCTAAGGCTGGTGTACCAGCTGCATCATTTCCTGAAGGAGAAAGACCTTGCTAACATGCAATGGAGTACTGAAACCTGCTTTGTATGGGGCTGACTTTGAAAAGTGTCTTGGAATTTCTGTTAGTTCAGAATGCAACAGGTAGGCTTATAGCAAAAGCCTGACCTTGGCTGCACACTACTGAATCACCTTTGCTGGTTCCTGATATATTTCCAGGCCCAATTCAAAGTATTGGCACTATATTTTAAAGCCCTAAATGGTTTGGGATCATCTACTTATGTATGAACTGGCTGGTGCACTGTAGTCATTAGAGAGAGCTTTGTTTTCTGTCCTGTTCCCAGCAGGTGGCAGTGGTAGGTGGGCACTCAAGAGGGGGCCTTCTTAGTGGTGGCACGGGCAACTGGGTGTTGGAACATCTTGTCCCAGGAAATCTGACCCTCTTTTTCTTTCTTAGGAAGGTAAAAAACTGTTTCAACAGTTTTAGTTAAATAATTGTGTTGCTGTCTGTACTGCTTATTCAGAGCCCACCCTATTTATGTGACTGCACTGTATTTTAATCATTTCTAATTCTGAATTAAATTGTTGTATACCGTACCTCCCTAGCAGGGGCGGACCTTGGTAATATGCCACCCTGTGTGAGGCCAACATTTGACACCCTCCCCCCAGCCCTTGTGGTGCCAGTTTAAGCTGGGCAAACCAGGTGCTGGGCTTGGGGAAGGAGGTGTGAGGCTCTGGCAGAGTCCTAGAGCTCTCATGCCTCCTTCCTGAAGCTGGGCAAGCACTTACTGGGCTTGGAGAAGGCACCCTCCTCGGCTGCATGCCCAGGGCCCCTGCACTGTTTGTGCTGCCCTAAATCCATTTTTGCACCCTAAGACTTGCTTGGTGAAGGGTAGGCAAATACGTTTGGCCCCAGAGTGGGTGGCATACAGTTCATCTCAAGTAAACCATGTAATACAAATATATTAAATGGGAGGGATATTCTGATCTCATCTTCCACCACCAAAGTCTTGTGCAAAAAGGTCTGACCTGGCATCAAAATGTATACAATGAGGAAGCCAGGTGCAATGAGGGTGGGAGAGGGTTTCATCATCTGTGAATGCCCTCTCATGCACCGCCACCCCACAAACTTTGCAGGGAACTGGAGCTGCCAATAGGCCAGCCCTGGATATGCCAGCCTGGCAAGTCTATATGGGAGGAAGTTTGGGGCCCAAGTTGTTTACGGCACTTTATGTCAATCTGGGCACCTTCAGTTGGACTCAGAAGCAAACAGGTATAGCAAACAGGTCTTTAAGAACTAATGTAATATGTGGCCCAGACAGAAGTGTCCCCCAGCACTCTGGCTGCTGCACTCTGCACCATTGCAGCTTCGGAACCATCTTCAGCACATAACAATCTTCCCACATACAGTACATAACAGTAGTTAAATCCTGACACAACAGGCTCCTACGGGTTCAAAAAAGCGGGTCCAAAAAAGAAAAAAATTACACAGGAAAGGGGAATGAAACAAATGAGTCTTTAAAGTCTCCTCCAAAGCCTGATATGTAGCCGCTGACCACAGCTATACTGGAACAAATTCCCAGTGCTATTGTGATTAACTTTATTGTGATTATTAGCTGTCCTAGAGATCTCATTCCTGGGATAGACAGGGGAATAGATATTTTGAATGTTTGCAATCTGTACCCCAAAATCTGCTGCTGGAGACATTCTACCACACCCTGCTTATAGTAGTGTCGTGCCAATTTACCTAGGCTATAATATCCTGCCAGTGTGCTACAAAATCAAACAGAAACACATTTGTACTACTTATTCTAACAGGCAAAGCATCATTTATTTATTTATTTATTTATTTATTTATTTATTTATTTATTTATTTTCTTTCCTTCTTTCTTTTCAAATAACCATACCACACACTTACTTCACTACAGTGGTACCTCAGGTTACAGACACTTCAGGTTATAGACGCTTCAGGTTACAGACTCCGCTAACCCAGAAATAGTACCTCAGGTTAAGAACTTTACTTCAGGATGAGAACAGAAATTGTGCGGTGGCGCAGCAGCAGCAGCGGGAGGCCCCATTAGCTAAAGTGGTACCTCAGGTTAAGAACGGACATCCAGAATGAATTAAGTTCTTAACCCGAGGTACCACTGTATTTGCAAACTGCCAAGCCACAAGGTAGGAACAAGGCTGGTGAAATTATTTGTGTATCAATATAAGACCCAGTGCAAACATGTCTTATGACATTAGAGTGACACTACCATTTTAGCTCTTGACCTCAGTAAGGTGTTATCCAATGATAAGCCCACTCTGTATTGTGTGAGATTATCAGATTCTCCCACATTTCAACGATGGTGATGCGGATCATCTTTCATGAGACCACCTTGACTTTGTAATAATAGAGGTTTTTTATCTCCCAGCTTAATCAGGTGCTATTAAGACTCTCATCTTCTGTTTTTCCTATTTCTACACATTGCATAAATTACTGCGGCAGTTCTAGAAATATTGATCATGATTAAGTGCCATTGAATAGTTGTTGCTGTTGGCATCCGCCTGCCTCAAGGGACAATGGAGTGTGCCTCTGGGGGTGAAGGATTAGAGATGAGAATCATTGTCACTTAAGAACTGTGACCACCATGGCACTTGTCTAAAGGCCCACAACTGAACTATATTGCTTGAAGTGTATTGTCCTTCATTTTTACCTTATTTCCTATGCTTTCACTATTTACTTGCAAGAAGCTTTTCTACCATAATAAACGACATTCAGCATGGTTCTGGCCTTCTCCCCGAACTTTTTGAATTTTTTATTGGCTGGCCTAGTTTTAATTAAAAGATCTCTTGCTTGAAGCCCTTTGCATGAACTACTTTTTTCCACACCCTTCTGAATTCCTGATAAGAGTGGTAGAAGAATACTCTCAATGACTAACAGAATATTTTCAATGCTCACTTAATGTGACCTTTTAAAAAAATTTAAAATGATGGGTGTTCTTTAGTTAAGTTTCACTGATAGGTCTACTGAAATTAATGGACCATAGATATGCTCATTCATTTCAATGGGTTTACACTGGGTAAAATGTAGTTGAATACCACCCCATGGTTTGTATCCAATGTGAGTCCTATTCAGAGTAGACCCATTGAAATTAATCAACATATCTAACATTGGCCCATTAATATAAATAGGTCTACTTTGAGTAAAGCTTAGTTGTAATCCTTTGTTTCTTTCATTTTCATATAGTAGTTACCCTGAACCACAGTTTATGCACACTCTGGTGCATCATGGAACTCTGTATGTTGAGAAGGTCCCACGGAAATGAACGGGGAAGTTGTCTACTTACCTAGCTCAGATCACAGTGATAGGATTCCAAAATGTTCTTTTCCCCCTTCCTTTTGGGGTTAGACATATTTTTGGAGCAGGGTGGATTTTTTTAAAAATGATTTGATTATCTTGTATTGAGTTCTGCTTTTAATCATTCTGTTTCTTATATTTTAATGGTTCTAAAATTGACGATGGATAGGCCCAAACCTATTTGACTTGCAGTTCTAGGCATTCCAGCTCACCGAAACAGCTTTATCAAGTTTAAGTGCAAAGGATATCAGTTTGGGGATTGCAGTCAACATCAGTCTACTGGAGATTTTCTTAGTGCTCATCCTCTGGACAAGAGTTGCTTATCTTCTGGGCAATAAAACCTGTTCTTATGCCAGCCTGTGCTACATGCAAGCAGAGGTAGCAGAATAGATTTATTGCTATTGCTGCTGCGGCTGCAGCCCCAACACCAAAGGGCTTGTTTTTGCCAAGGAATAAACATTAGGAAAGTGTATAGGTTGCAACAATACACCCCAATGGCTACAGAATTAAGTTTCCATCATCTCTTCCCCCCTCCTCCGCGCAATCCAGGTTTATCATAGGCTGAAACTGGCCGAGGAGCCTCAATAAATACGCATGCAGAAAGAGAGAGCTCTAGGAAAAAGTGGCTCGCGCTGAGAGCAGCTTGGCTGGGTGACAGAAGGGGAGGATCATGCGCACAGAGGGGCAGCGTCAGTACGGGAGACAGCAGCGTTTGCAGTTTTCTCTATTTCAGGAGCTAAGGCGAGGAGCAAAGAGCTCGCTTGGGGAGATCGGGAGGTGCAGTGGCGACGAAAGCGAGGGACGGCGAGGAGAGGGTGGCTCGGGAATGATGAATGAATGACGGTCTCGGTCTGCGAAGCTGGCGAAGCGGAGAAGGAATCCGGAAAACACTTGTCTGCGTCGGGCATAAGGAAAAGGGAGTCGATGTTGCAGGCTGCAACGTTACCGTGAGCTGCATCGAGCGGATTGGAAAGAGCTGGGGGGGGGGGGGAGGAAGATTGCCACCGATTGTGCTTTGTGTGTGTTTGTGTTTTCTGACCGAGAGGTGGAGGAGAGCAGCCCGTCTCGCTGAATCAGGCCGAGGAAAAAGTGTGAGCTTTGTGGTGGGCGAGGTGGAAACAGGAGTGATGAGAGAGCAAAGGCGAAAACTAGAGGAAGGCGCTGTTGCTGCGGGGCTCTGCCGGGAGGACCGTCGCCTCCGCCACTCGCACTCCTGCGCTCGCGAAGGGCTCGAGGAGCCGCAAGTGTCCGCCCCTCCCCGGCGTCTTCTCGGGCAGCCGGGACCATGGAGACTTTGAACGGCACCAGCCTCGGCGAGGCTCTGAAGCCGCCGCCGTCGCCGCAGAGCCCGCACCGCTCCTTCGCCGAGAAGAAGAGGCTCCACCGAGCTCCCTCCCCGGCCAGACCTTTCCTCAAGGACCTCCACGCCCGGGCAGCTTCCGCCAAGCCCCCGCCGGTGCCCCCCAAATCCCCCAGCCTCTCCGGCAAGCCGCAGTCCCCGCAGGCGGGAGCCCGCCCGCACTCGCCGGGGCTGCTGGCCACGCAGAGCCGCCTCTCCCGGCGGAGCTGCGCCCAGGGCGCGAAGGCGGCGGCGGCGGCTTGCCTCGCTGCCGGCAAGGCGGGCAGCGCCAAATCCGCCCTCTCGAGCAAGAAGGCAGCCCGGGCCCAGGAACAGGCGGGCGCCAAGGCCGGCGGGAGGCAGCCCGGGGGCGAGCCCAGCAAAGGCAGGAAGGGCAAGCGATGCGCCGCCTTGGCCCCGCCGGGCTCCCTGGCCCCGGCCGCTGGGCTGGGCAGCGGACCCGGCGCCAGGATCAGCCACACGGACAGCAGCTCCGACCTGTCCGACTGCCCGTCCGAGCCGCTCTCCGACGAGCAGAGGCTGGCTCAGGCCGCCAGCAGCGACGCGGAGTCCGGCACCGGCTCCAGCGACCGGGAACGCGAGCAGCCGCAGCCAGCGCCCGCTCTGCCCCCGGGGCCAGGCGTCGCCCCTCAGCCTGCCTCGCCTTCTTCGGACGCCGCCAGCAAAGGGCCGCCAGCAGCGCCACCTGCCTCCCCGGCTCCCTCGGGAACCGCCAACGTGGAGCAGCCGCCGGGCGACGAGGCGAACTGGGGGAGAGCCCCGGAGAAAGCGGCGCCCGCCAAAAGCGCGCCGCCTGCGGGGAGCCTGAGGCTGGGCGGCAAAGCCCCGCTGGTGGTGCTTCCCTCCTGCGAGAGGCAGCTGGTGGTCGACGAGGAGGAGCTGCTGAGGGAGATCGAAGAGCTGCGCTCCGAGAACGATTACCTCAAGGTAAAGGGCGGGAAGAGGGAGGAGGAGGAGGGCCTGAGGGGGCAGCCAGCGGGTCAGGGAGGCGCCGAGGAAAGGCAGCGCTTGGCTGACCTGGGGGCAACTTCGGAAAAGTAACAGACACTCCAGACACCGACTGTGGGGTGGGGTGGGGTCGTCCATCTGGAATAAGGGCAGTTTCTTGGCAATGAGGGAGGGGAGTCCTTGGGGCAAGGAGCATTGACAAGCCGGACTGGACGGCTGGGAAGTTTCCTTCCCAGTTCGAGCTATTATAGGATGTAATAATAGTGGTGTGCTGCTCCAGAGGTAGTAGTTTCTGGCGAGGAGGAGAGAGAGAGGGATGCCAATTTTGTACCCTCTTTCGCCCCATCTTCTCCAGAGCAAACGGGGTTCAACTTGGTGGTTCCTGAAGTTTTTCTGCTAACGGATGTTCTTATAAAAGACATACAAACGCCATGTCTCATGGTTGCAGAAATATGCGCTCGTTTTGTGTCCTGCAGTTGAAGCACAGTAATGTCAAACTTCTTTACGTTCAGAGGGGTGGCGGTGTATAAGTCCCCTGCAGCAAAAACAACCAGAAGAGTCTTGTGGCCGCTTTAAGTTAGCCTTTTAAGCGAGACTCTGCGTTGGTTCTTCTTGCCATTGAGACATGTGGGCTCTTCAGAATGGTGCTGCTGTGCTGGGGTCCAGATCAGAACCCTGCAGCTCCATCAAAGGGGGCTGGACATTCCTTCTTCTATCAGGGCACTTTAATTCCACAAGAGAGACACCACTTCTGTAGATACGTTTCCAAAAATGTTTGTGTGGATGGAAGGGAGTGTGGCTCTTGGAGAAGGAGGATGCCAGTTTTTTCACCTCCAGGATGTGCATGAGAGAAGCAGTTAGTTATTTATGCTTGGATGTTGTGTGAGATGTTTGTGAATTAGATACCACACTGGTACCTTGGGTTAAGTACTTAATTTGTTCCGGAGGTCCGTTCTTAACCTGAAACTGTTCTTAACCTGAAGCACCACTTTAGCTAATGGGGCCTCCTGCTGCTGCCATGCCGCCGGAGCATGATTTCTGTTCTTGTCCTGAAGCAAAGTTCTTAACCTGAAGCGCTATTTCTGGGTTAGCAGAGTCTGTAACCTGAAGCATATGTAACCTGAAGCGTATGTAACCCGAGGTACCACAGTACTGACATCAATTTCCTTTCCAAATTCCTTTCAGCTCCTCTTTATAGTAGTTGGATGCTGCCCACTTCAAAGTAGTGTAGGACTTTGGATTTAAATCTTTGGGAAAGTATGGTAGTCATGAAGCAGGTTTGTGTGTAGTATGTAATATTTCGTAAGGAAAAAATCATTTTAGTAGGAAAGTTTCTGAGAAGAATCTTATGCAGTTTGTTCCTATGCATGTTTGTCTGCAAGGAAATCCAAATAAGTTCATTGGCATTTACTTCCAAGGAAGTTTGTCTATGACTGTAGCCTCATTCAGCCTGCTGAAGCACAATCACAATCCATAAGGAAGAATAGATGTTTTATTCTTGGAATCTGTGAACAATTGTTTCCCACTTTTATATTTTACTTTGTTTACAAGCCACTATATGTTGCATTCTGTTAGATTTCAGTTATGTAAATAGGTTGCAAATCATACAACTGTTTTGTTAACTTACATTTGGCATGGTGGTTTTCCAAAAACTGTAATGCAACTTGGAAAGTTGACATCAGTGGAACTTGCTTCCAATTTAAAATGAGGACTGAGTTGCCTTTGAACTTCATTGTTGTTTTTATTATTAAAATATTCTTAAAGACATAAGACAGCATAGTAGAAGCGTGTAGATATTTGACCTTCCACTAGCAGTTTGATGATCTAACGCAGTAACATATGTAATTTTTTCTCTGTGGAAGTCTGACTGGCAAGCTGGTTGGTTAAAATGCTAGTGTTCTAAAAGCTGGTTATGGCTTAGAGCAGGGGTAGGCAAACAAAGGCACGGGGGCCTGATCTGGCCCAATCGCTTTCTAAATCCAGTTTTTACATGAGTAGAATGTGTCCTTTTATTTAAAATGCATTTCTGGGTTATTTGTGGGGCGTAGGAATTCATTCATATTTTTTCCCCAAAATATAGTCCGGCCCCCCACAAGGTCTGAAAAAGTTTGCTGACCCCTGGCTTACAGTATTCTAATCTCTCTGATAACTGATATATAAAATACCTGCTTTCGATAACATTTCCCCCCCATAACAAAATGAAATGGTAAAAAATAGAACGAAGATAGAAGTTAAATAGTTGTTTTTCTGCTTTTCCTGCCATGGAAATTGATAGGCAGTCTTTCTGTGCTAGATTTCAGTCTGCTGGGCAGCTGATAAAGTCACAGGGGTTTTTAGTCTGCATAATCAGTTGCAGTGTGCCTCAACTGTCTTCTTCTTCTTCTTTGGTGATCACTCACTCATAGCCGAGTAAGATTGTCTTCCATAAACACAGTTTTAACATGAGTCCGTAAGTGACTGTGGAGGCCAATTCTGGATCTACACGTCCTTGCACAGTGAGGACATTGGTTTCCGGGCGGGAGTTGATCATGGTGTGGATTTGCCAAGCATGCCTTCCTCTTAGCACGTTTCTCCCTTGCGTCCTGAGTTCGAGTGTCTTCAAAGCCCATGACACCTTTGCTAAAGGCTGTTCTCCAACTGGAGTGCTCACAGGCCAATGTTTCCCAGTTGCCAGTGTTTATACTACATTTTTTTAGATTTGCCTTGAGACAGTCTTTAAACCTCTTTTGTTGACCACCAGCATTACGCTTTCCATTTTTAAATTTGGAATAGAGTACGGTAGTTGCTTTGGAAGACAATCACCAGGCATCTGCACAACATGACCAGTCCAACGAAGTTGATGTTGAAGAATCATTGCTTCAACACTACAACTTAGCTGCAAGTCTTCTCAATGCCAGCAGTATGATATCACATGCACACAAAACAGGGTGGGGAAAACGCAGCAGTTTATTGACATTCTCTCACATTTACGTTTTTAAAAAAATATTAAATGTGTGCTCTAGAACAGGAGCAAGGAAAGGCAAATGTTCCCAAGAATTTTGAAAAACTTGTACAGGTATATGTGTACTTATACAGGTATATGTATATATGCAACTTCATAGCAGATTTGCCAGCTAAAAGAAGAAGCTAGATGAGTTAAATTGGATAGTGGAGGAGCCTACAGAGATCTTTTAAAAAAATAAAAAATCAGAAGTACTGTATGTTTTAAAACAGATCACAAAATAGTGTGGGTACATGGAACGGCAGTTTGTATCAGAAGCATATCCACCAGAACACAAAGATCATCCCACAGGTGCCAGAATTGCACAAGAAACAAATATACCACCTGGCAAGGGGGGGCGGGGCGGATATAGCATTTCCCCAGCTCCAAAATATAATGGTTTCTTTGTTAGGGGAAATGTGATATTCCTGTAAGGGAAGTTCAATAGTCAGCCTTGCTGTGTGCACTGTATAGGAAACAAAAGTGTATTTAATGCACAAAACTGATTGTGGGAGAGTCCCTTGGAGACATGTGGGAATAGCTTTGTCAGGGGAGGGGATGAGAGAACATAAAGTGTGGGGTTTTAAATCAAAAGGCTTGTGTGAGCCTTGACCACACTTCCTCCCCCCCCTTGCTCTGTTATTTAGCATGGCCTTAAAGAAGAGATCAGGCACTTTTGCTCCCATTGTTACCAGACTACAGCTTGTCTTTTTCAAAGAAACCTGGAATGTTCAAGAGACCAGGGGTAGCCAACATGGCTGCCTGCAGAAGTTGTTGGGAATTGTAGTCCATTAACATCTGCAGGGCACCATGTTGTCTATGCCTGCTGTGGGCTATGCATCCACACTATGCATTTAAAGTGGTACCATACCACAGTAAGCAGTCATGCCCCCTCCCAGTATTCTGAGTTTGAGTACCACTTAGTGACTGGGTGCAGTGCACAAAATGGAATGGTTTTGTAGGGGGTTGGATAGTTTCAAAGTAGGTGAGAAAGGGAAGTAGGATGGTTAGGCCAGGCTCTATTTGTCTAAAAAGAAGTGGGTGGCATTTTACCCATCCTCACTTTTCTTTTGGGAAAAAGGAAAAAGTATAGCCAGACCCATCTATTTTAGCCAACTGTATGGTCTATGCTATGGTATGTAGGCTTTTGTTTAATTTAGCCTTTGTAAGGGTGAAAATATAGCAGGAGAGAGCAAGCTTCTTTTCATTACTAAGTTTGAACGAAAAAAACAAAGCACCCCACTTGCTTTTATCAGTTAAAATGAGATCTCTCCCTTCCCTAATTTGGGGTTCAAATAATTTGTTATCTTATTCATGTATTTGTTCTGTAACAAAGCCTGTTCGTAAGTAACTAAGCTGAGATCTGCCAGAATGAGTGAAGATGTGGCAGAGCTCCAGGTCAGCCATCAAGTTCCCTGCTCAGCCAGGCTCCCCGGGTGCAGAACCCTCACTCAGCCAGAGATCCATGGGCATAACTTCCTCATCCTGGCTCAGCAAGGACTAAAATGAGAACAGTGGAGCTTACCCTGGCATGAACCTTAACAAATAGGGAAGAGTGGCAGGATTGGGCAGGGGGATCCTAACTCCATTTAGCTTGGTCACATGACCTGGCAACCCAGCAGAAAACATGATGGCAAAAAGGGTGGAATAAGTCAAACTCAATTTTAAAGGCTTATTTTCCAGACTTAGACTGACAGCAGCCACAGTCCTGAACAGAGTTCGGATCTGGTGTACTTTATGCCAGCTTCCCATATTTAGGATTGTTCCCTTAACACATTAAGCAGGCCCCTAGGATAAAGAACAGCCATGATAAAAATGTTATTATAAAGATGCTGCTTAAAATTATTTCTCTTATGTTAAGTCTTCCCATCCATAAATAGAAGTCACTGTTCAAAATGCTGCTGCATGAATTTTTATGTGCTGGAACTTCTACAAGGGTTTGTATTTACAATATGATCTTTTGGCACACTACTGAAGCTACATTCAGAAAGATCTATAAATAAAAGAAACTGAGATGATTGAGTAACCACAAATACTGTACCATTTGACTTTCCTTCTTGTGAATATAGTATTTTGGGTTTAGATTAACAAGTGCTTCAGTCTGTAGCCTTTTATTTACAGAGACTATGTGAATTTTGCCTGGAGAGGGAATATGTTAGAACTGGACCTAAAAGAGTAGATTAAATGTAAGTAAAGCTTAAGCTGAAAAAGGGAGTTGTTATTTATAGAAGCAACATGGTATAGTAGTGCTGGGCATCAGTCTGGCGGTTGTTTTATAAGGTTGGATTAGTTTACTGCAGGCCTAGACAGGGTAGGGTAGCCTTGTCAGCCCCATTTGCATTTAAAGTAAGGGGTTTGATTTGTAATGTAACACATACAAATGGGTGAGAGATGAACGTTTCTTCATAGGAGAATAGGAAGCTGCTATGAAGACCATTGGTTCATGTGGCTCAATATTCTCTACTCTGGCTGGCAATGGCTTTCCAGGGTTTCAGCCAAGGAACATTCCCAGACCTACCTGGGCATGGCAAGGACCTGCTGCATGCAAGGCAAATGCTGTACCACTGAGCTACAGCCCTTTTCCTAAGCTGTGGTCCTTCATTTTGCATCAGTGCATTCCATCACTTTGAAAAACCTTTCTGCCAAGTGAAATAAGGTGGTGGGAGGGCAAAGAGTTCAGCTCCCCTCAGCCTCATATTCTGTATTAAGACATGAAAAAGTCCAGTTCATGCTTGTGAAGAACAGCATTGGCTGCACCTGACCATAGTTGGACCATTATTCATCTGGTCCAAAATGACACGGTAGCTGTCTCCTTCAACTCTTAAGATACTTTCCGCAAGACTTTATTTATGCAGCAGAAGTTTTAGGCATATCATCTGAATGGTATCCAAGGCTTCCTAACATCCTGTAAAGCAGGGTGGGAAACCTCTGGCCCATGGATGTGACGCAGTCTCTGGGGCCTCACTGTTTAGACTGTGCTCCCTCTTGTGCCACTCCCTCTTCCACCCACTATGACTACTGCTCTGCATGTTGGCAAGGAAGAGAGGCAGCTGGGGAGGAAGAATTGCATGAATGGACATGCATTTGAATGGATGGGTATGTGTGGGTGAGAAGGGGAGAGAGAGTAGGGTGGCTCTGGCCCCACCCACTTTTGGTTTTGGCCCCATAACACTGCTTGCACATGGTCCCTGACAGATTGAGTAGGGGAGGTTTCTCACCTCTGCTATAAAGAATACGAAATTTCCCATGAAACCACCAAATATCATATAAAATGTCAAATACATTTTATTAAATTTATTTGTTGAATTTATACACCTTTTTACCAAGGTGTAAATAAGATCCTGAGTGATAGCCAACTAAGTTAGAGTAGATGCATTCATTTCAATGGGTTTACCGATGAATGTGGCTAACCGTGGATATTACCTGGTGTATACTGTATTGTAGAATCTTTTTTTTTCCCCACAGTAAGAATATCTAGAATTGATGGTGATTATTTAAAAACATATATATCAAAGGCTACGCCTTGCTTCTTTGGGAAGGGTTTGCCATTCTCTTGCATCTTAAATGTATTAGTCATGGGGAAGAGGAGATAAATCTAACCTTAGCCATCAGAATAACATCAACAATCTGCAAATGCTGGGGCAGTCAGCTGCTAGAGTGAGAATTCAGCCTGGTAAACAATGGCTGTGGGTCTATCTTCTTAGCCACAGCTGTGGCTCTGCTGAAACATGGCATTGTCCAGGGGAAGCAGAGTGAATATATATATATCTCCAACTGTTTAAAACTGGGAGCAATTTGAAAACACATTGACACTCTTAAGAGCTCTGGTAATTTTTTGTATTGGCTTTACATGCATGACCTTTCAGAGGGTTTCATTGTACAAAAACAATGTTACCAAAAAGCCTGAAGATCCATAATAAATAAATACGCTTCTAACCATATACGTTGTAACTGGTACAAATGGTGACATGAGCATGAGAATATTGATGTGTATAGTTATTTTGGATTCTCCCCCCCCCCCCAAGAGATTAAAAACATTAAAGTAATTTAAAGAATGGAGAGATTAGAATTCAAAAGTTTCCTAGGGCAAATGTATAGTACTGAGTCTTCTTTAAAAAGAGAAGAAAAGGAATATATAAGCTCTGGCTGAAGCTGCCACTGGTTCAAACCCTTTGAAGCCGCTTAAGTAGCAGAAATGAATAGCATCTTCTGCATCACAACAGTGCCCTTCTTTCTTTTTTTACAACAGTCACTCTCATGAATTTTTATAAGCTTTGCATTTTTCAAAAGCAGACACAATCTCAACACACTTTCCTCACCGCATGTTTATTTTCACTATAGTGTAGATTTACATGTTGGTTTTTCTGTTTACGTTGACAGAAGTGTGGTGAATCTTGTTAATAATAAGGTCACTGCAAAACAAAAGAGCATAAATAACTGTGTGCGGTACTGCATCAGTAGTGTGTGTGTTAGGCATGACAGATCTTCGAGTTTTTTCGATTTTAAGCTTCCATCTGGTTTGACTGTTATTAAATGGTAAGGATACTTTGCCTCACTCTTTCTGCCCTTCCCACAATATCTTTGAGCAGACCTTGGTTCAGTGGGTTTATCAAGGAAACACAGCAAAGAATTTGCCAAGCATTGCTGCTCAGCAGTTTCCATTCAGTTCAATAGGGCTTGAAGGGCAGCCCAGCCACAGCCTGATTAAATAGAATGGCAACTGTGCACTCACATTATGGTCAGGTTGATTGTCGCAAAGTACTAAGCATTTAGATGGCAGTCCTATGCTCAGTTAGGCTTCAGAGGAACTGGGGCTGCCATCCCTAAGCACCAGGGACTAAGCCTCACCAAGCTGGTTGGGCTTTATTACTGAGTAACAGGCATAGGTTTGTGTTGCACTCTGTGTTTGCCAAGTGGATTCAGGATCTCAGACATAATGTGGATCTCATTTACTATCCTGAAGGGGGATCTTTTGATGATCTTGATGTCATAGACACCAAGCTCTGTGAAGAATGCTTGTGAGTGGAAAATGACTGTTAACGACATTTCCAAACATAGATCCCAAAGTTTGACACCTACTGTAATAACATAAATAAAAGTGACCTAATTTCACTTTCTGTTTATTTGCACTGATGCTGAGCAACCATATGCACCCACTGCCAAAGCTAATTATTCCTCCTGTATTTAAGGGTTTACACCAGACCTTATTTGAGTTACTATGGGAGTCTATAAATTTGCAGCCACTCGAAGGATAAGTGTTTAAATATTACTGAGAGTGTTTCAGCATTCACCAAGCGTAACTTTCTTGATTATCGCATAAAAAGGACTGTGCTAATGGAAAGGACAGTTCCCTGCCCCCTTCTGTCTCAGTGGTTTTTTTTTAAAATTGGATTTGTTGTGCCAGAGTTCTTTAGTCCACTTGTGCAAACCCACTGCTTTCCCCCCCCCCTAAAAAAAATGTTTAGAGGTACTCTCATTTTGATTCAAGAAAATTACTGTTTTATAGTTCAAATTGAGAAAAATTAATACAGTAAATGGACAAAAGTACAAAGATTCACAAAATGTTTAGCGGTATGTGTACCCCTGAGCACCCCCAGGAAAAAGCACTGTGAAAACCTATGTGTGTGTATAGCGCGCGCACACACACACACACACACAATGCTATCCTTCAGGGACGCCAACTTAGGCCCCAGGTTATGGGTGCCTAATTGCACCCGTGATGTAACAGCGTCATGACATCATGACATAACATTACATCAACGCACTGCAGCGGCATTTCTGAGGTCTTGCGGCACCTTGGAGATCACGTATGAGGTCTCGTGTGGTTGCGTCCCAGAAGTTGCGTCCTGACGTTTCCTTGGGGGTCATGTCTGGCTTCTGATGCGACTTCCGGTACAAACCGGAAGTCATGTAAGAGCCTGTGCTGTGGGTGCCCAGGCCTCCAGGGCCCCCTATAGTTGGCACCTATGCTATCCGTAAAGAATTATAGGCGTAGATGTGTACTTGAAAAATATCCAGTAGGCAGAACTGCTTGGTTTTGCTTCTCTTTAAAGAGGCCAATAAACTGCAAATTGAAGGTATCTAAATCTTTGTTGGAAGCCTTTATGTGAGAACTAATCTTATTGCTGCTTTCCATCATCCGTTTTCTTTTTAAACACAGAGCTAGGTTAATAATAGAATAGTTGGTGTCCCAGGAGTCATCCTCTAGCAAGTTAATGGCCTATCCACTGAGCCTGAAGACCTGCTTATAAAGGTTTTAGCTTGAGAGATTCAGGTATATACAGATTAGATTAATAGAAATGAGGTTTTTTTTAAAGGATATTCTTTTCTAGAAGAATGTACTGTATTGCAAACTTTAGCAAAAAAATATATTCTTAGAAAGCATAATATTTAAGTTTCAAATTTGGAAGCTTGTATGTGTGTTTGTGTAAGGGAGTGATGGCCGAACTTGGCCCTCCAGCTGTTTTGGAACTACAGCTCCCATCATCCCTAGCTAACAGGACCAGTGGTCAGGGATGGTGGGAGTTGTAGTCCCAAACAGCTGGAGGGCCAAGTTTGGCCATCACTGGTATAAGGAAACATAGCAGCACAATAGACAAGGAGTTTCAACTCCATATGAACTGATTTGACAGCTTTGATATATAACTTTTTTTTTTGCTGTTCCTATTATTTCTGAAGAGGTAAGTTACAACTGGTATTACAGTGGTACCTCAGGTTAAGTACTTAATTCATTCCAGAGGTCCGTTCTTAACCTGAAACCGTTCTTAACCTGAAGCACTACTTTAGCTAATGGGGCCTCCCGCTGCCGCCCGCCTCTGGAGCACGATTTCTGTTCTCATCCTGTTCTTAACCCGAGGTACTATTTCTGGGTTAGCGGAGTCTGTAACCTGAAGCGTATGTAACCTGAAGCGTATGTAACCCAAGGTACCACTGTAGTTTGCAAGATCAACATGAGCTTGATGTTGCTTGCAAGATCATTTCAACGGGATTCTCCTTGTCTGCTGCACAGCAAATAGGGACTGTGCAGCAGTTGTGAGTGCTGGATTACTCCTATCATATCTTGATGTTTCTCTTGATGGGGAGGGAGCAGAATCGCCTTTTTGATATCTGATAGTGTTTTGGGTCATGGCAGGATGAGCTTGATGAACTGCGGGCTGAAATGGAAGAGATGCGTGACAGCTACCTTGAAGAAGATGTTTACCAACTTCAGGAACTTCGACGAGAGCTGGACCGTGCAAACAAGAACTGTCGCATTTTGCAGTATCGTCTCAGGAAAGCAGAACAGAAAAGCTTGAAAGTTGCACAGACGGGTCAAGTGGATGGGGAGTTAATTAGAAGCTTAGAGCAAGATCTAAAGGTGAGTGAAGGCTTTATGCATAAAGACATCTAAGTTAGTCATGGAGCTCTGCACATGCTATCTGCTATAGGCAAGTCAGAGTCCCATGTGCAATTGGCTGCTACAGTGCCTTCAATAAAATCCTTGATAAGTAATTGGTAAAAGCCTATCACATTTCACAGCTATGTCTGAGTATTTGGCGGGGGGGGGAATGGTTTCTGTGAAAGCAATCTGGCACAGGCAGATCTAGAGACTAATGGAAGTTCTTGCTGGTCATAGAAATCATCACTGTTCCTATGTGAAGCATAGCAGACCTTGTCCTTGTCTGTCTCACTTTTCAGGAACCCCACTGTCAGGCAGTAAGGACCAAGGCATTTCAGAGTGCACATAGGAGAATCACACTTGCTATAAGAAGACATACAGGAATCAGCTAGGGTGCATCCATAGGAGGGTGACCAGGATGGTGAGGGATTTTGGAAATCAAGCCCCATATTGAATGGTTGAAAGTACTGGGTATGTTCAGCTGGAGAAAAGAAGTTTAAGGGGGAGAAAGAGCTGTAAAATATCTGAAGGGAAGCCTCTCAGAAGATGGAACAGACATGTCCTCTGATCCAAAGGGCAGGACTATAACTAACAGGTGGAAATCGTGAGAAAGCAGATTTTGGCTAAAATGTCAGGATAAACTTCCTGATGGTAATAGTTGTATGACAGTGGAACAGAGACTGCCTTGGGAGGTGTTGGGTTCTCCTTCACAAGAGATATTTAAGTAGAGGCCACCTGTCAGTTACAAAATTTCCATGTTAAGCAGGAAATGGGACTAGATGACATTCAACTCTATATTCCTCCCAACTCTAAATTATATGCTTTGAATATTCCCTGCATTTGGAAACCTAGCATTTTATGAGGAGGTGTAGGCTAAAAAACCCTCCCAATGAAATACTAACTTTTCACCTGAAAGGAGCCTTGGCTGTTAAGGAGCAACCAAATAGGCTTCACTCACCTCATTCTGAAGTAGGGGACTGATTTAAAATGTATACACAATAGATGCATCCAAACTGAGCCATGTTTCCCACTGCCTAAACTGAAAATTCCCTAATGCTCTGAATTGTGCTAATTATGTGTGCAACTTGGTTTTCAGAAGACTTTCTCTCTTCAGTATGTGCACTTGATCTGTAAAAAAGATATTTATATACATATCTGTGCTGTGCTTGTTTAAAAAAGGGAGGGGAGATAGAGTTTTAGGTATGCTTAATCTAATTAATAAAATGATTTGTTATTTAATACTATAATACCCTAAAATTGCATGCTAGTATTATATCATGGACTTAAAAAGGTAAAGGTACCCCTGCCCATCAGGGCCAGTCGTGACCGACTCTAGGGTTGCACGCTCATCTCACTCAAAAGGCTGGGAGCCGTGCTTCTCCGAAGACAGCTTCCGGGTCACGTGGCCAGCGTGACTAAGCCGCAGCTGGCGAGCCAGCACCAGCGCAGCACACGGAAACGCCGTTTACCTCCCTGCTGGAGAGTGGTCCCTATTTATCTACTCGCACTTTGGGGTGCTTTCGAACTGCTAGGTTGACAGGAGCTGGGACCGAACGACGGGAGCTCACCCCGCCGCGGGGATTCAAACTTCTGACCTTACGATCAGCAGGTCCTAGGCTCTGTGGTTTAACCCACAGCGCCACCCGCGTCCCTTATCATGGACTTAGTTAATGATAAAAAAAGGTAAAGGACCCCTGACAGTTAAGTCCAGTCATGAATGACTCTGGGGTTGCGGTGCTTATCTCGCTTTACTGGCCGAGGGAGCCGGCGTTTGTCCGCAGACTGTTTTTCTGGGTCATGTTGACAGCATGACTAAGCTGCTTCTGGTGAATCAGAGCAGTGCACGGAAACGCCGTTTACCTTCCCACTGGAGTGGTACCTATTTATCTACTTGCACTTTGACGTGCTTTCGAACTGCTAGGTTGGCAGGAGCTGGGACCAAACAATGGGAGCTGACCCCCGTCACAGGGATTTGAACCGCCAACCTTCCGATCGGCAAACCCTAGGCTCAGTGGTTTAGACCACAGTGCCACCCGCGTCCCCTAGTTAATGATACTGGTTGATTATTTCCAGAGCGGTTAGTCCCTTGCAGCAAAAATAAGAAAGATTTTTTTGGTACCTTAAAGACTAACTTTTTTATGGCATCTGATTTTGTGGAGTATAATCTACAACTTCAGGAGGCAGTGAGGGGGACTGTTAATGGTGAGAGTCAGAAGGTTATGAAATGCAGAAAAGTGCAGGCAGTGATAATTACATTATTAGCAAGTGGCCTTTCACAAAAAGCCAGTTTATGTTAATAACACAGACATCCTGGTATTGGTAAACCAATTAACACATCTAGCTTGTTAAAAATCTATTGTGCCAATTCACTTTACAAGTGATAGCACTGAAGTTCTTGATGATGTGCTATCTGTATGGGCAATTTAAAGTAAGCTGCAGAATGTCCTGGGAGGTTTAAATGCCCCTCCATTGATCATATATATATCCATCCATTTCTGCTATCAGGAAAGGTTTTACACCTTATGTTATTATGCATTTATATTTTCAATTTTGTTAATGGAAAATGTTTTTAAAACTGCTACTGCTGTTGCTACTACAAGATATGTTTGTATACTCTTTTTTGAATAGGTAGCCAAAGATGTATCCGTTAGGCTGCACCATGAACTGGAGAATGTGGAAGAGAAACGAGTTAAAGCAGAGGATGAAAATGAAATCCTTCGTCAACAAATCATTGAGATGGAAATATCGAAACAGGCACTGCAAAATGAGCTGGATAGATTGAAAGAGGTAAGTAGCAACTGATGACAGATAACTAATGATAGGCTTGCTAGTAAAAGAAATCTGAAATACATTTGAAATAAAACTCACTAATAATATAATTCCAGTCAACAAAATACCTGTCACTTTATACCTGTGAGTGACAGCATCTCCCAACTTGGTTTTTTGCTTTGTCCAATAGCATCTATATTTTAGAAATCCATTGTTTCTGACTCAGAGATCCTCTTGTTCACCAGAGGGCTACATGCTTCTTGACTTCATGTGAGATCTTATTTCTCCCAGCCACCAAGCATATTATTGGTGCCGTTAGTGCGTTGTGTGAATGGGTTGTCCTTACTATGTAGGAATTTGTTTCTATAATGCTTGCTTTTCTCACATTTGAAAGTTATTCGTCATATTTAATGTTCCTGTGGGAGGACTGAATACATCTGGAGGATTTAAATCAGAGATGTTAATTGAGACACGTGCGACTAAGCTTCTGTTTAATACCTCATTGAAATCTGGGGTGGGGGATGCTGCCAAGCAATAGAGAACTGGCTTTATGTACAAGTAAGAGTTTGTATTAGAGAATTATTTACATTGTACATCCAGCCATAGAGTACTTGTTCTTTTATTTGGTATCTAAATAACTATTATAATTACATTAAATTGTACAAAGGGATGATTGCATGACTGGATGAAAGAAAATGAAATCCAAGCACAGTTTCTTGTCATTACATAGTCTTGTATGGCGTAGCATCCTTCTTCTTGTGCCAGCACAGATTGTTTTGGCAAGTACAGTCTTGGGTTATTTTAAAACCAGATTGGCATGGGACATTTAGACACACTCAAAAACTAGCCGTGACTTATTTATTTTAATCTTTCAAACAATACTTATGAGAAGTAGCATGTTGCTGTTTTCTATTTTATAAATTGGGCAAAACATACTTAATTTCTTTGTGCATTATGCTTATAAGAAAAGGTGGGTTTTGCTGAAGCTCTTGATCAATAGACCTGAATATGCTTAGTTAGTTTATTTGAAAAAAAATCCCTGCCTCTAAACTTTAACTTCCAGGGAGTGTACAACATAATTAAAATCTATATAATAAGCCGAATAAACAAACCAACAACAGGAGAGTCAGCAGTTAAAAACAGTCAACACAATAAAGCTTTTTAAAAGACATAAGAACAGCAGAACAAATATTTATAACACCAGTAAAAATACACTTAAAATTTTCCATAAACAGCCCTGAACTCAGCTGATATTCATTAAAAATGATTATCGACAGAGGCACCACAACTGAAAAGGCCCTGTATCCTGTCACCTCCTATGTCACATTCAAAGGTGGGGATATTCTTAACAAGGCATCTGATGAAGATCTTAATAAAGGACAGGTTCAGATGAAATCCATATTGATAGCTCAGTTGGCAGAGCATGAGACTCTTAATCTCAGGCTCATGGGTTCAAGCCCCACATTGGGCAAAAGATTCCTGCGTTGCAGGGGGCTGGACTAGATGACCCTTGTGGTCTCTTCCAACTCTACAGTTCTATGATTCTATGTCTTTGTCAACTGTTTGCCTACTGTTCCATAGCAATATATTTATTATTAACCACACTTTGGGCAGCTTATATGACAGGAAAGAAAATATGACCAAAACAAGAAGAATTGTTGTATTCACTTAGTAATAAAATGTAAAAAATTTTTTACGTAAAAAGCAACATATGTGAGTCTGTAAAATGAAGCACTTATATAAAACCAGGGAATGGAGGAACTGAAATATAGAACTTACATGTTTGATTTCCAAAGGCATTTGTCAAAGAAGGTGAGTGACACAGTACAGAAACCAGTGTTATTCATACTTTATTTTAGTTGTTATATTGCCATGGCACATTTGTGCCTGCTGTGACACTGAAGGTTGTTCACAAAAGGTAAAAATATCTAGCACAAAAAATGCAACAATAAAAACAATAAGGAGCAAATGAAAACTAGGCATATAGATGGATGAAACTATAAAAGCTTGACTGTGCAGAACAATAACAGATAAACAATCACATTTACATTATTACCTAGTAACTAATACAATCAAGAGAAAGCTCAGGTGAAGATGAGAGCCTTCATCTGGCATCTAATAAAATAATAAAGTATGTGTTGGGCACATCTACCAAGGGAGGGAGTTTCACAGTTGGAGTCCAACTGCTGAGGTAGCCCTGATAGATCACTACTTATCCTCTGAAGGCGGTGAAAAGTAGGGACAGGCTTCCCATAATTAGCTCAGCTGCTGGGCTGGTTTGTATGGGAAGAAATCAGTATTCCAAATACATTTACTCTGGACTGTTTGGGGCTTTAAATGTTAAAAAAAAAATAGTAAGTTGAATTATGTCCATGGTTAAACTGGAAAACAGTGAAGCTTTCTTAATGCAATATGTTCATTGTGACATAACTGGCTGTACTTCTACTTAGTTTCCAGATGGTAGTCTTGGAGTTGGATCCAGAAAACTGTTCAAGCACAATCTGTCGGTTTCCTACAGCACAATGACTTATTGACATGGAGAGGTCTCTGTGGGGAGTGATGTGCAGTGAGCTGTAGAGCCGCTAGGTTTAGATACAGTGAACAAGGAATTTGTATCTTATGTTTCTTGAGAATTTTATATACCACTTTATGGTCCTGAGAGGTTCTCCAGTTGGCTTACAAAATATTTTCATAATAAAAATCACTTTTAATTACATATGGCAGGCGTGTCCAGCCAGTAGATCGTGATCTACTGGTAGATCCCTGGCTGATCCTAGTAGATCGTGGGACCCTTGTTGATCGTGGGATTAAATAAAGTTTACCGAAAGTTAACAAATAAAAGCTGAAGAACTCTGGGCAATCCACCCACCCCACGCACGCTCCTCCTCCCTCCAATGACAATGGGTAGATCACTGCCAGTTTTTCTTATACTGGGAGTAGATTGCAGTCTCTTGGGAGTTGGACGTGCCTGACATATGGTATCAGGTACAGAATTAACGTTGTGAACCTATTGTGCAGAGCCTATTTAAGTGGCATTTCCAGCCCTCATCCTTGTTCTATAGTACTTAGCAATTCATTGCCATGTGCTGGAGCAGAAAGTGGCCACATGAATCTGTTCCTGTGCATGGTACTGTAAACCTGTGGATAAGAAAAATGACTGTACTTCTTCCCACCATTGGGTTGTTGTTGTTGGAATTAGTGAGAGAGGGATTGTAAAACTTTGACTAAATTTGTTCTTTCTTTCAAAGTCACGTGTTCTGCAGAACATATAATGTACAATGTGTGATTGCATACAAGAAAGGCCTAGTTAACCCAGTGCCAAACACATCCACAATTGTAAGGGGGGAGCAGCAAATGAAGGTAGTCCTACCTACTTCTCTCAGGTTTTAGAGAGCCTGGGCTTTTCACCCTCATTTTTGCAGCCAATTCCTGACCTTCGGGCACAGATAATCTGAAAATCAGATAAACTGTTTCCGGATAATCGGGAACTCACTGTAATTGAAAGATGCTATTTCCCTCCAGGATTATTTCAGAGATGCAGAGCTGTGAAATAACCATGTTAGGCATGCAGGGATGAAAGCTAATATTTCGTAGCCTTAGAGGGATCAGAGAAAGATTCCTTTCAAGGACTATTCAGTAAAGTTTTTATAATAATAATTAAGAAACTCTTCAACTTTTGCTGCATATAGTATATGCAGAGGTGCTCTTGATAGATTTGCCCAAATACTTCTTTTATAATAAAAAGGTGATTCATTCCTCTCAAAGTTACTATGTGTTTAGTCACTGATACACATCAGTATTGTAATGAAAATCAATAATGTACATTTTTGATGAAAACAGTTTAGAAGTTTTTATGATTAAACAGTATACAAAGTTTATTAAGTAAAGAAAAAATGCATATCTACAGCAATCCTGTGATAAGTAGGGTTGCGTCAACAAGAAGGGTTGTCCTTCTGCCTTCTGAAAAGGGAGGTGAATTGCTTCCTCCCCCTCAAAGAAATATTTTTATTTGATTTTCATAATTTCACAAAGGAAGGAAAAGAAAATACAATGTAACAACAAATAGCACACCACAGTTATCCCCCCCTCCCTCTCCTGCAGTTTTACTAAGTCAGTTGGAGGTACTTACACTTGTTGGTTTTTGTTTTATTTGTTTTGTTCTGAACTACTCCTTCTTTCATTTGTGCCAGTGTAGATTTGGACCCTTCAATGTGCATCCTGCTAAGGGATATCAAGAAACCTTGCACAGGATTCAACAATTCCTTTTCAGTATGCAGTGGAATTAGTTGACTGTGTAGTAAGGGAAGGAAGAGGGCCCTTCCAAGGTTTATTCCACTAACACTAAAAGGTGATCTGAGGTCTTCTCTATTTCCAGGTTCTCTAGCTCTTCTTGGGGCCTCTTTTTGGGTGTGCTCTGCACACAAGCTTCTCTGAATTCCATCTCTGAACTTTGTTTTAAACAGCTCTCCTCTTGGTGCATTTTTACACATGCAGATAATCTCAATTCTTGAATATTGCTTCTGGCTATTTCTCAGTTGCTGCCTGCATGGTTGAATATTGTTGGCACATCAGGAGCTCACCAACAGATGAATGCATTCTATTCTGTGACCAGAAGGTTTATGAGAACAGAAATTGGCAAGCAGGATGTCAAGGAACTGGTTGCTGATGAGAATTTGGTGATCAGAATTACTCGACATTTTGCAGTTCGTTCGTTTTTCTAAAAAAAATATTGTGCAATATATACTACATGAGCCGCATTGTGCTCTTATAACAGGACTCTCCTCTCCTCTCCTCTCCTCTCCTCTCCTCTCCTCTCCCTGTGTGCTCCCAAAACCTGCTCCAGAGGGTCCATCAACCAGCATGGCCAGTGGTCAGGAATGGGATAATAATAGTAAAATAAGATAAGATAATATAATTAATTAATTAATTATACCCCGCCCATCTGGCTGGGTTTCCCCAGTCACTCTGGGTAGCTTCCAACAAAATATTAAAATACAATAGTCCATCAAACATTAAAAGCTTCCCTAAAGAGGGCTGCCTTCAGATGTCTTCTAAAAGTCTGGTAGTTGTTTTTCTTTTTGACATCTGGTGGGAGGGCGTTTCACAGGGCAGGTGCCACTACCGAGAAGGCCCTCTGCCTGGTTCCCTGTAACTTGGCTTCTCACAGCGAGGGAACCGCCAGAAGGCCCTCAGCGCTGGACCTCAGTGTCCAGGCAGAACGATATATCCATTGTATAGTTTAGCTCCTCATCTATGCTCAGGGATTCTGGATTTGGATCTAACAGTTGCAAGTTAAACCTGATAATGTTGGAGACAGAATATTGTTGACAATAATCCATTATTCAAATACTGCTGGCCAGTGAAAAGTGGAAGTGGGCTATTCCTACTCGGCATTCCACAAAAGCATTGAAAATATATGGAGCTTGTTTCTGTTTCCTTAGTAAAGCTGCTATATTTTTTTGCAGCTGCCTAGGGTGTGTGTTGGTGTATTCTTTGTCTGGCCTGGAAACTTTGAGCCAGCCAAGAGAAAAAGGCAAACAGTGCAATGGCAGAGTTCAAGCTGCTTTGGAAAGGGTAGCCCTGTTGAAAGAGACAAAGCATGGGGAGGATTAGGAATTGGGTAGCAGCTGCAGAATGATTTGACATGAATGTTATAAAACAGTTTAGCAAGAAATGAATGAGATTGTGTAACTAGTAAGAAAGGAGGATTTATTTTATGTGCAACAGCCGTATTGAGCAGCTGATGATCCCACTTTTATGGGGGAGGGGATATGAAAGTGTAAGGGTCAGCAGGAGAGCAGCATAAAAATCTATGTGCTTAGAAACTGTTGTAAATGCTTTTATGTATTATCAATTTAGAAGTGAAATATGATGAACACAAGCAGTGAAGTTTAATCTAAATTGAGCAGCTCACCACTCTGCACTTCATCTCACCATTAATGCACACACACATTAAATAACTTTCCACCATGGAACTTTGTTGACTTTTCTCCTGGTTATACTAACCAAAAGAAAGAGGTGTGAACAGTCTTAAGGAAGCAGAGGCTACAGTAGAAACTCTTGTCTGCACCTCTTTCCAGCTGCAGCCCAAAGCCCTGCGTGAGGTTTTTCCTTTTAGAACAGCAATGCTGCAGACAGAAGGAGTGTTGTTCCCATAGAACAAACCTCTTTACTAATCAGTTTAATGAAGATGGATGTTGCCTGTGTGCAACATGGTACCGCCACTTGTTGCTTTTGTAAGCTGTCATTCTAAACAAATACAGCTGCCCTGTCTTCTATATGACATGACTTTTATCTTGCGACACAAACTTAGTTTTAATATTTTTAGTAATATGTCTTTGAAAATTATTTCTGAGTGTTGAAGTATATATCACATTTTTATGTTGCTTTGCTTCAGCTTGCCAGATTAAACGATCCCCCTTCCCCTCCATGCATGTTGTTCTAGGGTTCTCCTGAACTCCCCAAGCCAATTTGAGGGGCAGTGTGGGGAGAATGAGGAAGTCTCATTGCACTAGCAGAAGCCCTTACATGGGCTTCTGTTATTAGGACTAATTAGCTGAAATCAGCCCCAGGAACCTGAATAGCACACAGACATTTCAAATTGAAGATCCAAAGGGGGGGACGGGACGGAGGACACAGAGGCAACAGTTCAGGAATCTGCTTTACAATGTTTTTAGCAGAGCATTTTTTGTTAAAGGCTTGTTCTCACAGTTAGTGAACTTTAGCAAGTTGAGGGGGCGATTGCTTTTATTTCACATTTCTGTACAGTTGCATCCCTGAAGCATCTGGAAAAGATTTTTCATGGGAAAATGATTTTGATTTGAGTCAAAGGTGGTGAGAACTGCTACCTCTCCAATAATTTAAAAAATATTTTTATCAACCGTATAAGCCTGATTCTGCTTTCTTGCCCATTTTTCAAATGCAGCAGAATATTGTTTCCCTCTTCTTGTTACTTGAATGAAAAGCAGTAGGTCAGCACAAAGCCTTAAAAGTATGTACCAGCTATTACCTGCTTTTCTGTTACTGAAAGAATAACTTGAGGGGGAGAGTGTATGTTTTTATAAACATAAAAGTGTGTCTGCTAGAGCCCTTTATTTGGGGGGTGGGTAGACACAGTTGGCAACAAATACTTGGCATTCTTAGCTGCCGGAATCTCTTAAGCATTTTCTACTCCCACATGGAGTGGATGCCAGATTTATAAAGAAATGAATACTTTATAATGGAATGGATAAAGGTGCTCATATCAAACTTCTTAGGGGTTTTTCCATACCAGATGGTTGAAAGCAAATGCAAAGTCATTCTTTTAGCACCTATATTGATATTTGTTCTGGTACAAATCTAGAGTTCCCATGAGTGGAGCTCCACTCATGGAATGCTTCCATATGAGGAAAGGTTGGAGCCAATCTTCACTAAACCCTCTGTCATCCTGCAGCCTCTTGAAAAGCTGTTCCATTATGGGACTCTCTAGAACATTGTGGGAGGTGGTATTGGGGGCTACAGTGAATCAGTGGACATTGGCTGCCGCCCCACCCTATCCAGTAAGAGCCTGCCCTGAATATCCGTCCTTTCCACCAATGGAAAGAGTAGGGATGGGGAAGAAATTTGATTCATTGTCCCTTACAGGCAATGACTACTTGGATTTGCTTTCAGACATTCTCCTTTTTGTATCACATGTGAAACATGTAAGTCAGTCTTGGAAAACCATTCATGTATCTTGCTAGAAATGCTAAGAGTTTAAAGGCATAATGCCTGTGGTTCTAAACAGTGTAAGCCCGATAGATTTCCTTTTATTTTAATGAAATGGAAATTATGTGTCAATATTACATAATGAATGATAAACACGAAGCTTAATTCAATTAGATGTGTGCATAAAAAAGTCATTTTGTTACTCCATTCATTTTCATTAATTGCTTCATTGTTCACTTGTTAGAACTGCATTTGTACCACTTGTTATTGTCACTTCCGTTCATTTTCATTTCCCTTTTAAATGAAGGAACCAAATGCTTTTTCTACTGGTTGTAACTTTGGTGCATGTCTGTAAGGTAGCTTTTAGTACAAAGGATTTGCATGGTAGATGAGCAAGCAAGGGGCACGATTGAGAGGGGTGGCTGAGAGGACATTAATAGATGTCAGCCAAGCATAAAGGAACCCACAAAAGTTCTAAACTGCAGAGGGGGATGAGAACATCACAGGCAACTGCCTGAAAGCAGAAAAATCTAGCAAGGCTGTTATTTTCTCTCTCCTCCTTTCCTCAAACATTTTTCTATTTTAGCTGTAACTCCATGTCTGCAGTCTCAGGAGTACTTCTGCAATGAGAAGCCTGTAGTTCTGAATGTGGCTTGACCGTGTTCTCCATTTCCTGTCCATGTCCTATTTCTCTTCTTGTGACTCTTTGTCACATTGCTAATAACAGCTCTAATAACATTATATTGTCCTTATTCAGGAGATGAAGAAGGATGATTTTTGTTTACTTCCAATCTTCTGAGAAAATAGTCGCTTGTGCATGACTGCCATAACTTATCTGTAAACCCTTACATAGGAAATACACTTGGGTCTGTATGTCATGGCTGATAAGAGCAAAGACCTCTTAGCAATATGTGGACTTATTGGAGGTTCCAGGAAGTATCCCTGGAAACCGCAAATTTACGAAAATCAGCAAAAACGGCACTGCTGACATGGCTTGCCATATGTCCGGATTCTGCTTATTTCCACCCAGACGCTGCTTTCGATCACAGTATTCTGGGTATGTCCTGGAAATTCCACATATGGCAACCCTAAACAAGCACATGCTGTTCAAAAAGCAACCCAGAATTGAAAAGTAAGGCGATTTCTCAAAATAATAGCAGCTCTATTTTTCCTCCCTGCTTCCATTGGGTTGTAATTTCCACATTGCAAATGTTTTGATCTAAGCCCTTATGACTCAGACTTTAAAGTCAGTATCTAAGCGCTCAAGTTTAGGAGGGAGTTTGCCTACAGACAAACATTATCTCATTGTGCATATTGTAATATACTGACATCCTCATCTGAAAAATATGAGGTGTGGACTGGTTATCCAATATGGTGTTTTTTATATTCCTAAACTTCATGCAGTTCTCCCTGCTACTTACTGTTTAGTGTTGGGCGTTTTACATAGCACAGAAGTGAGACAGTTGCTGCTGTTGAAAAGCCTTTGCAATAGACGACAGACAAGACAAAGGTGAAGAGAGGTAGATAATAACTTGCAACACAGACGAAGCGGAGGTCAGGAAAGCCTCAGTAGAACAGCTGAGACATGTGGGCATTTATAAATGGGGGAGGGGGGCTGGGCTGGCATACCAGTTCCAAACAAAATGTGATAACCAGTGTTTCCCTGGATTATATTGTGGATCAGCATGCCTTCTATTGGCTAGCGCAGGCTTCCTCAATCTTGGCCCTCCAGATGTTTTTGGCCTGCAACTGCCATGATTCCTAGCTAGCAGGACCAGTGATCAGGGATGATGGGAATTGTAGTCTCAAAACATCTGGAGGGCCGAGTTTGAGGGAGCCTGGGCTAGCGTGTTAGATTTGGACATGATCCAGATTTAAATCTCCACGCAGTTATGAACTTCACCAGCTGCATTTCAGGGGTGTTTTGTTGCTAAACTACAGCTTTGAGGCCATTGGAAGGGAGAGCAGGTTAAGGCTTTAGATCTGAGGTAGAGCACATGCTTCACTTTGTGTGCAAAAGGCCCTGGAATCTCCAGGTAGGGCTGGGGAAGATTCCTGTATGAAACACTAGCGAGATACTGCCAGTCTGTGCTTGATACTGAGCTTGATAGAACAATGGTCTGACTTATTATAAGGCAGCTTCTTATATTCAGATATACCATGGTTTGTTTTGCTCAGCCAAAAAGAAAAATCATCTTAAAAAGTTCTCCTCCTCCTCCTGAAAAAGTAAGGATGTGTTTTAAATATAGACTCCTCAATATCACTTTAATTCAGCCTTCCTCAACAAGAACCTTGGAGATGCTTTGGACTAAAAATTCCATCGGCCTCAGTCAGCATTGCCAGTGGTCAGGGATGATGGCAGTTGTGGTCCAAAACATCTGGAGGTGGACCAGGTGGGGAAAGTGTCTTCTAATGAAGTTAGAACCAGATTCATGGAGTTGTTCACTCCCTTTGAGGGTAATTCCATGTGGGTCACATGTTAATTTTTCTATATGTTTATGCACATGTCAAAAAGCAATTCCAGCATTGGTTTCATGTAATTTTCCCAGAGATAATGCTTTGAACACTGTCAGTTATAATGCTTTTACAACTTTACCAACAGGGTTGAGGACCCTTTTCAGACTGGCAAACAAATATCTTCATCTTCACAAGCTTCCATGAGCCACGTTTGACAGGTGGATAGGGTCACCCACCTGTCAGTCACCTGACATCATAATCATATTGGTTGACAAGAGTGGCTTTGAAGTGCTTTTCTGAGGAAGTCAAATTAAAATATGAAAATACAAAAAAAAATATTAATTTAAAAATATTGTGGTTAGCTTTTCTGGATAAAGTAAAAGTATCTAGCAAAAACCAGCCCAGGTAAATAGGCAAATGTATTTGAAGTATTAAAAAATTATGAAGAAAGACATAATACAAAAAGGAGGAAGTATAATAAGGCAGCTGGGTTACCAACCATTTGTGTCTTCGAGAGAAAATATTTTTTTCTAATCTTGGTGTTGCGTAGGAGAAATGTGATTTTTATTTACAAATTAGTGTACATAAAACTGTACTCATGCAGAGCCTCACACATTCATCATTGTTTGTAGGCTCAGCCTGCCTGTCCCATGTCACCCCTTAAAGCACTTAACCTGCAATAGGCTCACTAAAATAAGAGTTCCATGGCTTCCTTGGCAGTATTCCAAAGTTAATGACTTGAAAAGTGTCATCATGGGAAAGTTTGTAACCTTATGGCTTATTTTTCACTTTACAAAATCGTGGGAAATAACCTAAAAAAGACATCTACAGACTCCATTCCTTTGAGTGGGGCCTGCTCAGAACTGCCATTAAAATGTCCTTGTGTTAATGCTCATTTTCATCAGATTCGTTGGGAGCTGCATTTGTGGCCCCAGCATGGCCATGGCTGGACTGGCCTCTCTTCTTCAGCCTTTGGTGCAGTGGGAGGGTGCACATCTGTCTCCTCTTACCACACCAGCAGCCAGAAGACTCACTTGCAGGGCTCACTAGTGAGCTGAAGTGTCTGGCTAGGGAGCTGTCAAGCAGTGAAAATCCCCCTAGAAGGGGAAAATCCCCCTAGAAGGTCAAAAACCATTTTGGGATTCAGGAAGGATATCCTTGGATATAGTTAGGAGACGGTTTGCTAAGATCCTTGCAAGAATTTTGCCAGCCGCAGCTAATAAAGAGATCTCTTAATAATTTCCGCAGTCCGTTCTGTCACCTTTTTAAAAAAAATATTGATGATTTTAGCATCCTTGAAGTCTGCTGGGATCTCCTCTCTCTCTCTCTCTTTTTTAAATGAGCTTGTAAGTTCAATCCCGCCCTCTTTGAAGACTTTGGCAGGTAACCCATCAGGTCTGCTGGCTTTGTTGTCTTTCGTTTGGTTAATAGCTGTACACAACTCTCCTAGATTTGGAGATCCTGCAAGCTTATCTCTAATTTGTTTTTGTGGGATTTGTGACAGCAGCTATGGGGAAGCTGCGGTTAAGGAGATGCTGGTAATGTTCTTTCCAGCGCAATGCAATACAGTAGTTTCCTTATTTTTTAGAAGAAACTATATCATAGTTTACTGGCCCATAGACCCATAGAAGGTCTTTGTGGCTTTAAAGAAGCTGGATTTAAAGAGTGCTGGATCTCTTGAGCTTTTTTTTTTATCCACCAGGTGTTCTTTAGTTCTCTGGTTCTTCCTTGAACCTCAGCCTTAGCATTGACATAGGTTTTTTTTCTTAGTGGCACAGTTTCTATCTCTTTGCCAGATCTGAAAGGCCTTCCTTTTCTTGTTGATAATGCGTTCAATCTTACTGCCAACGTATCTAAATTTTTTAAATTAAAAATTGAATTAATATTCAGTGGCCGCTAGCCATGATGGCTGTGTGTAGCCTCCAGATTCAGAGACTGTATACCTCCAAGTGCCAAATGCTGGGGGAACAACAGCAGGAAAGGCCTGTTTCCTGTTTGTGGGCGTCATGGAGGCATCCAGTTGACTACTGTGGGGACTGGGATGCTGTACTTTTGGTTCTTGCAGAAAGGAAGCACTGCTTGAACCACTTGTTCCTTACTCCAAACTACAATGGCATTCTATGGGGGGTGGAAAGGAAATGGTCTCTCCTACAGAGAACAACTGTAGCTTATTGTCAGCCCACAAGCAGGCCTAATTCTACATTTGCAGATTTGTGTATGTGGGCAATGTGCCATTCTTTTGACATTTTTAAAAAATGAGCAGGATCCATTTTCTGTTACTGATCTCATACAGGAGACGTCTTAGTGTAGATATGATAAAACTGATGGGTCAATAGAAGCACTATTTCAGTGGTCATTATGTATACACATAGTAAATATAGTGTGATCCCTGTTTTCTATGTATGACAGTACATACATGAAATTGTATGTCGAAACTGTTATTTCTCTCTCTGCTTTTAGCACGCACATTAAGAACGTGATAAGGGAACCTATTCCTCAATAATTGCTTTCTCCTCAGGAAGCATATTCTTAAGACACTGTTTTCTGCTTTAGGCAAATGAAATTGAGTTTGAGATACAAAACCCATGAATTCAATTAACACACAATGTTGCAGTTCCTGTCACAAACGATTTCCTTTTTTTTAGCATACTGTAATTATAAAAAGTGGAAACTGACACATTCTTTCAATGATTTAGGCTACAATCCTGTACTCAGTTACCTCAGTATGAGCTTCACAGAATAAGACATTTACAGAACTGCAGTATTCTTTTTTAATATATATATACATAAAATTCTATTAAGATTACAGATGAGTTCCTCAAAATGTGAGCTTATCTTCTTTTGGGTTATTCTGTCAAATGCCTCTGTGTAAAAATGTTGACTTGTGTCGCACAATCAGACACAAAATCCTAGAACTTTACAATATGAAGACATCACTTAACAATATATTGCAGATGTAATGATAGTTGAGAAAATTGGCTCTCCCTTTTCTCTAAGTGTCGCCAAGCTTCACAATTCCTTGGCTCAAAACTCATGATGCTAAAGTATTGAAAAGCATCTGTGAAACCAAACACTTTCTATGCCATTTGGCACCCTTTTATCATATACACAAATGAAACAAGACTGAAAGACTTCACTGGTGAATCAGCAAATATGGGTATCGTGATGCCACACTGTACAGGTGGTGTCTCCCCTTCGCATTAACACCCCAGCACAGTCAGCTCGGTCTTTACAGTCTTTATTACATACGTACAAGAAACAGGTACAGTTCAGGATCATGCATCCGAACCCGTTGAGTCAGATTTGGGGAGTGGTTTCCTTCGATTCCTGCGCATCCCTGAGCCCTTCCTCCTCCTGGCTAATCTCTGCCTTCTCTTCTGCTTCCTCTGTCTCTGGGCGGTTGAAGGGCTCCACAGCATCCCTGCTCCGCCTCTTCTATCACTTGCTCCTCCGAATTCTCCCTGACACACACAGAAGACTTTTTTTTTTACTAGTTGCTGTTTTCATTATATATTGTATTGTATTATATTAATTACTGTATTGCTGTATGGACATTCTGGTCTTGTTTAGATTGCAATATGTTAAAGGCAAGTAGAACTATATTAATATTTATTAACCTGTTATAAGGTGGGGAGGGAGGTATGCCTTATGGCATGTTTGCTTCAAATTCTATATTTGCTTTTTGGCTTCATAAAAATAAAAACCCTTTAAAATGAATACTGTTGAGGTGAACAACACTCCCCACAAGTCCTCCTAAAAAACCAGCAACCCTCCAATCATACATCCAGCTGTGTGGACAGTAAGGATGGAGCCAACATATTATCTGCACTGACTCTACGCTCAAATATTCAGGAGTTTTTTAGTCTTAGAACCAGCATGGCACCCTGTTTATTAACTGGCACATATTTTTCCTATAATAGTTTCATTTTTTAATTTTCCCATTTTCGCTCTTCTAAACAAGATATCTGTGAAAAACTGCAACAATTTTTAGACATTGTTTTTATAAATCCACACACTGCCACCACTTGTATTTTGATGTTGTGTGAGAATGCAGCCAGTTAAACAACAGGGTGTAGGCTTGAAGTAGAAAATGTTTCTGAACAGAAGACAGAAAGATGGTGGTTAGATCAAGCCTGCAGAAATTATGTCCTTCCAAACTGAATACAAGCATGCTAGGGAACTTTGAAAAAGAATCCTATTTCACTGAAAACAAAAGTGTCAAGAAAATGTACTGTTGGAGAGGCATGGTATGACGTAATCTGCGAACACATGGTGTAAATTAAACAAAAGCATCAGGGTCTAGAGTATCAACTCCAGGAATTTCCCCTATACTACTTTTCCCCTCACAGGTCACAACTTACTCACAACCAAGTTCCACATTATATTTGTGCTTTCACACGGCTTAAAAGCCACTTATGGAACTAGAGTGGAATGTCGTGCAAGTTTAGTGTACATTTCCATGAGCAAATCCCCCCAAATCAAATTTGCAAATGTGGAAATGAGTGCTAAACCTGTACAGTGATACCTCGGGTTACAAACGCTTCGGGTTACAAACACTGCTAACCCAGAAGTAGTACCTCGGGTGACAAACTTTGCCCCAGGATGAGAACAGAAATCATGAGCCTGCAGCAGCAGGAGGCCCCATTAGCGAAAGCACGCCTCAGGTTAAGAACGGTTTTGGGTTAAGAACGAACCTCCAGAATGAATTAAGTTCATAACCCGAGGTAGCACTGTACTCTGTTCCACTATAGTTTCACTATACGGTATTTCACTGTCATTCAGGAAATGGCTTTCACATCAATACAGTGCTAAAATTAACAGGGAAACATGAAAATGGAATACACTGCTGTGTGCCTGTAGTCCTAGTCTCAGCATCAACCCTAATCTTAGCATGTAGATAAGAGTTTGGGGGCCTGGCTACAGCTCTGGAACTCAGCAATCAGAAGCTTTCAGGTAGAAACAGAAGACACAATCTTGCTCATTCCATAGACAATCTCATTTTATTTGGTATTATTGTGTGAAATGGACCAAGGAACAGAGGCTATATAACAGTGATGGGTGCAATGTCTAGAAAAATCCAAGACCTGCGCTACAGTGCCACAAAAATAGACTTTATCACTAGTTTGATTCTATCTTCCTTATCTTCTAGAATCCATTCTCTTAATAGGATTGAACTGCCAAGTCCCGACAGAGATTATTATCTCTAGAGCAATGACCTAGTGCAGTTAAGAGTTGCTGCGTGATAATATTTTGTCATGTTTGGAAAAGATAGTTGCCCTTCCTTATCATTTTGTTGTGTTATACTTATATCTAGCCTGGAGGTTTATTCCATTTGAAACTATTTATCAGGGATTGAATTGCATTAAGCTTCTTCAGTAGTTTCATTGCTAGTTATTAAAAAAAGAAAAGAAATACAGTGGTACCTCGGGTTAAGTACTTAATTCGTTCCGGAGGTCCGTTCTTAACCTGAAATTGTTCTTAACCTGAAGCACCACTTTAGCTAATGGGGCCTCCTGCTGCTGCTGCACCACCGGAGCACGATTTCTGTTCTCATCCTGAAGCAAAGTTCTTAACCTGAAGCAATATTTCTGGGTTAGCGGAACCTGAAGCATATGTAACCCGAGGTACCACTGTATACATTTAGGCAAGTGGCATACTTTTACTGCAGCAACTTTTACCCATCCATGATATCTCTAATTTGCACCATTTGTCCAATTTTTGTTTCATTATAATTATCAATGAATCAATATAAACCTCCAACAAAGTATTTAACATTAGATAATTTGCAGCTAGATTATTTTATGTTCTTTAACTCAAGTCTGTGCTTCCTTATGTGGTTAGTGTTGCTTTTAATTTCTGATTTTTTAAAAGTAGTCACTTTCCTCAGATCATCTTCATGAAATGCCCATTTAGCACAAAGTCTAATCTGCCCCACATTTTTTCATCTGAAATAACTACTACCTCTAGTTCCATATTAAGTTGAATCCATCTGATATTCTTCCACTGCTGCAGCCATCCATAAGCAGAACAGGTACCGAGATGCTCTTTAGTGTTCTCCCTGCAGCTCCACTCTTCCTACTTTGTTCTTAAAGGTCCCCCCACTAAGGAGGGAATGTGTGGGATATTCTGGAAGGAAAAATCACCATGGAGTCCTGTTCCATTGGATTGATAGAAGGCTCTGGTGAATCAGAGTCTTCTGTCAGTGAAGGCACACTAATTGGATACAACCCAATCACTCCTGCAGAAAGTAACACCTGCAGCAATGTATTATGGGCATGCATGGGGAATCTCACATTCACAGAATGCTGAACTAGATGGACCTCCCATTCAAGAAAATATCTGTCATTCACTCATGGGGAAAAACACAAAGAGCAGCTCACAAGAATACTTGTTGAGTGGGAGCCAAACATGTTCTAGTATTTGACGCTGGCAACACATTCTAGGGATGGGGAAGGCTCAGTCCTCAAATTGTTACTTTCACAGATAAAAACAAATGTTGATTTCTTTGATCAAACAATTAGAGTAACAATTTTGGTCATGGTGAAATATTCTCTCTGTTACTGGGCAGTCCAGCATCAATATAAAGTGGAGGACACTGATTTGCCAGTAGAGAATGTGAAAAGGATCCAAGCTTAATATGAGTCAACAGTGTGATGCAGCAGCAAAAACCCTCAATGCTATTCTAGACTGCAGCAACAGAAGTATAGTGTCCCAATCAAGGGAAGTCAAAGTCCTGCTCTATTCTGCCATAGTCAGACCACACCTGGAGTACTGTGTCCAGTTCTGGGCACCACAATTTAGGAGAGATATTGACAAGTTGGAATGTATGCAGATTAGGGTGACCAAGATGATAAAGGGTTTGGAAACCAAGTATGATGAATGGTTGGGGGAACTGGGTATGTTTATCCTGGGTAAGAGGAGACTGTGAGGAGATATGATAGCCATTTTCAAATCTCTTAAGAGCTGTGACATGGAAGATGGAGAAAGCTTGTTTTCTCCTGTTCTGGAGGTTAGACCTGAACCAATGGATTCAAGTTACAAGAAAGAGGATTCTGACAAACATCAGAAAGAACTTTCTAACAGAGCTGTTCAACAGTGGAACAGACTCCCACGAGAGGTTGTAGAGTGCTTCCTTGGAAGTTTTTAATCAGATGATGGACGGCCATCTGTCATGTATTATCTAGTTGAGTGCCCTGTGTTGCAGGGGGTTGGACTACAATTCTGTGATTCTACTTTTATTTTTATTTTTTTTAAATGATATTTATTAAAATTTCAGAGAAAATAAAGAATTACACAAAAACAAAAAGTAAAAATACAAGAAAAATACAAAATACAAAATACAGAATAAAAGAATAAAAAACACTTAAAAAGAGAAGGGAAAAAAAAGAATAATGGATCAATCTTTCCATAGCTTACATTCATATCCTTGTTTCCACAATTCTGTGATTCTACTTTTAAGGGCCTCGTGGTGTCCTCAGAAAATTTTGAAATGCTATATTGACTATTATCTGTTGCCTGTCCTACACGCTAACCTCATTGTAGGTGTAAATTGCAGGTATTAAATGTAGTAGTAAATACGATTAGTAAGGTTTCCAGATGTTCTAGCAATAGATCCTTTTTGAAAACAAGAAGTCCACTTTCTTCCACCCTCTGCTCATGATGTTATGGGGAACCTTCAGAGTGGCATTCTCTTGGGTGCAAGGAATTGTCTAGTTTGCTTAGTAGCCAATATATGAATGTACAAGCATCCTTGTATCCACAAGCATCCTTTTGAACCTGAGTGACCTAACTGAACTGAGTGTACTAACTGAAATCTTACTGGTGTCTTTTACAGTGGTTTTCTATTTCCTATCTTTCATAGAAATGTCATTCTTAATAGTCCAAGAAATGCACAGGCATTATTTGCAATCACAGTACTTATTGGTTCATAGTAATTGTGGTTGACTAAAGTTCCATTTAATACACACCCCCCAGCTTTTAAGAATATAAATATTGAATTCCAGTTGGTGAGGTCATCTGCTATACCTTCATCATTTCTTAATCCATTTCTGTTTTTACAATCCCATCAGTACATTTTTATTTCTCTCTCTAGTATCACTAATGAAAATATGGCATTAAATAGGATCCAAGGTTGTTCCTTAAGGAACTTGTTCCATTCACTTTTTTCCAACATCTTGAGATAATATATTAATATAATTGTGGCTTTTTACATAGTAATTCTATATAGTCAAAAAGGGGGGGGGCAAAGTCATTCTGAGCTATTAACTATTAGATTCAATGTTAAAAACCACATCTTATGTTGTCAAATATGGATTTATGTAATTACAGGAAATAAAGTAGCAGCCTCAATGCTAACTGAATAATTTTCAGGCAACTGCAATTATAGCTGTGCTATCTACAATATATTACATAGAACATTTAATCTTCAGGTCACTTTGCATTCATTTGCTATTCACCCATGTCCTTTAAGTATTAGATAGAAAGTCTGTTGTGATGTCCATTTTATAGGTCAGGCCAAGATTATGTGCTTTCATCAGTGCCGTACAGGAGATCATTAGCTTATTTCAGATACTGTAGTTGTTTTCAGGTAGGGCGTTTGTGAATAATATTGGAGGCTCCATAAGGGGAATGAATACACATGTGTGTACAGTATAACAAAAATGGCAACCAAGGAAGAAGATTTGAGCTCTCTGTTACCACTATTATACTGATCATTTGTAGGTGCTGGAGTCTTAATATGTTAGTTGCCAGCTCTCTGGCTGATAAATTTGTTACTATGAATGTGTCCAGAGGCTGAATAATGTTAACATGACAGCTGGGGATGCAGGATAATTGACTGGGACCAAACATCAGCAGTAGCAGGTGCAGGGTTTATTCTAAGCTTTTTCCCCCCAACTGCTCAAGCCCCCAAACTTTTAGTAAGCCAAAGAAAGACAAAGGAAAGGAAAGGAAAGGAGGGGAAGAAAGGGGGGAAAATAATAAAGAGGGAAACAAGAGGCCGGGAAGGTTAGGAAAATAAGAAATAAAAAGACAAAGAACCAGAAAAATGGAGGTGCCTTGGGAAAACAGGGGAATAAGAGAATGCTTTCTCCATATTATCTGGGGATGAGATCATCTGCCTTTCCTAATTTGAAGTTTGGGTGCTAAGACTCCCATCTGATTATAACAACTAATTATAATTGTAGTGATTGGTATTTGCTCTATGTGGAAAAAAATTGTTATTGTCCCTGAAAAATATATTGTTTCTGTTTACTGTTATGGTACATTAGGGGTTAATGAAAGCTTTTCACAAAGCGGATGCTCAAAAACTGCATATTTTAGTTTGTATATTATTCACCATTTTACCTGGGGTAATGCAAAGAAATAGAGGAAAACAACAGAATGGGAAAAACCAGAGATCTGTTCAAGAAAATTGGAGATATGAAAGGACAAAGATTACCATAATAAAGGACAAAAGTGGAAAGGACCTAACAGAAGTAGAAGACATCAAGAAGAGGTGGCAAGAATACACAGAGGAACTATACCAGAAAGAAATGTATGTCTCAAATACCCCCGGTAGTGTGGTTGCTGACCTTGAGCCAGACATCCTGGAGAGTGAAGTCAAATGGGCCTTAGAAAGCACTGCTAATAACAAGTCCAGTGGCAGTGATGATATTCCAGCTGAACTATTTAAAAATTTTAAGATGATGCTGTTAAGGTGCTATACTCAATATGCCAGCAAATTTGGAAAACTCAGCAGTGGCCAGAGGATTGGAGAAGATCAGTCTACATCCCAATTCCAAAGGAGGGCAGTGCCAAAGAATGCTCCAACTACCGTACAATTACACTCATTTCACATGCTATCAAGGTTATGCTTAAAATTCTACAAGGCAGGCTTAAGCGGTATGTGGACCGAGAACTCCCAGAAGTGCAAGCTGGATTTAGAAGGGGCAGAAGAACCAGAGACCAAATTGCAAACATGCGCTGGATTATGGAGAAAGCTAGAGAGTTCCAGAAAAACATCTACTTCTGCTTCATTGACTACGCAAAAGCATTTGACTGTGTCAACCACAGCAAACTATGGCAAGTTCTTTAAAAAAAGGGAGTGCCTGATCACCTCATCTGTCTCCTGAGAAATCTCTATGTGGGACAAGAAGCTACAGTTAGAACTGGATATGGAATAACTGATTGGTTCAAAATTGGGAAAGGAGTACAATAAGGCTGTATATTGTCTCCCTGCCTATTTAACTTATATGCAGAATTCATCATGCAAAAGGCTGTACTGGATGAATCCCAAACCGGAATTAAGATTGCCAGAAGAAATATCAACAACTTCAGATATGCAGATGACACAAACTTGATGGCAGAAAGTGAGGAGGAATTAAAGAACCTTTTAATGAGGGTGAAAGAGGAGAGTGCAAAATATGGCCGGAAGCTCAACATCAAGAAAACTAAAATCATGGCCACTGGTCCCATCACCTCCTGGCAAATAGAAGGGGAAGAAATGGAGGCAGTGAGAGATTTTACTTTCTTGGGCTCCATGATCACTGCAGATGGTGACAGCAGTCATGAAATTAAAAGACGCCTGCTTCTTGGGAGAAAAGCAATGACAAACCTAGACAGCATCTTAAAAAGCAGAGACATCACCTTGCTGACAAAGGTCCGTATAGTTAAAGCTATGGTTTTCCCTGTAGTAATGTATGGAAGTGAGAGCTGGACCATATAGAAGGCTGATCGCCAAAGAATTGATGCTTTTGAATTATGGTGCTGGAGGAGACTCTTGAGAGTCCCATGGACTGTAAGAAGATCAAACGTATCCATTCTTAAGGAAATCAGCCCTGAGTGCTCCCTGGAAGGACAGGTCCTGAAGCTGAGGCTCCAATACTTTGGCCACCTCATGAGAAGAGAAGATTCCCTGGAAAAGACCCTGATGTTGGGAAAGATTGAGGGCACAAGGAGAAGGGGACAACAGAGGACGAGATGGTTGGACAGTGTTCTTGAAGCTACCAACATGAGTTTGACCAAACTGCGGGAGGCAGTGGAAGACAGGAGTGGCTGGTCTGCTCTGGTCCATGGGGTCATGAAGAGTAGGACATGACTAAACGACTAAACAACAACAACAGGGTTCAGGGTCCAAAACATAATGACCTTATTCCAGTTTGTCTGGAGACCTTGTGCCAATTGACCTAATTCAGTATGTAAATGCTTCCAAGCCTGAGGGTAAACCTCCTATGTGGCTATGAGTGCCACACTGGCGACCCCTGTCCTAATGTATGAATACTTTGGTTTGCAGTTTTTATTTTCTTTATTAGGGATTTGGCTGCAAGGGACCTGGAACTGCATTTTCTGGCTTGTGTACAGTAACTTTGCTGAACATGCAATGTGTTTGAGGCTGCTCAGCAGTTTTAGAACTCTTTTCATCATAAATATACAGGAGTAAGGAACTGTAGAGCAAACCCAGCATGGCATATCTCTTTTCTTTATGAGTTAGTGGCTGCTGCATTAGATCATATTGGGCTTCCATCAATTTTCTGGTGCCATGAACCTTTTGGGAAACAGAGGTTGTCCTAACTGGGATAGATGCAATGTGTAGGCTCTTTGTATCATATCAATGGGACTAGGAAATGTCCATTGTTTGGGTTTTTTTAAAAAAAAATGACAAAGAGAACCAAATACACTTTTTTGGAGGGGGCACCCATCTGTCTTGAGAAACAATAGGGTGCACCTATGGGGGTGAAGTCAAACCCCTTCATTAGCAGCACCAGAGTGATTTCCTTGGGGAACAAGCCTGAGCAGTGTGTATGGAGGTCCTGGGCTGCCCAGATGGCAATACCCCCCTCTCAGTCTTGCTGATGTGGTCCAAAGGAAAGCAGAGCAATACATTTGGCTGAAGGAGTTGTTGGAAGGAGGCATACAAGGCATCATCCAACTGTGTCAGGAACTCCACTCCGGATTTCTGTAGAGTTTACTCCTTAGCCTTTTCTTCTCCTGAAGATATCTCTCAAGGCAGCAGTGATTTAGGAACAGAGTTTTCCTTCTCCTAGATAGACTACCTTCCCAGCCTGACAAGCCCCATCTTCCCCTCACTTCCCTCTACAGCATGTGCAGAAACCACCTTCTTGTCTGTAGGACCCACTATTAGCCTCATTGGGCTCAATCCACCAGAGTCTGTCTTTGCATGCCGGGGATGTCCCTAACTCACTGAGAGCTTGAGACCCATTGGCTACCCTCACCTGGTTTAGCCAGCCAATTGAAGCTGTTCCTGGGTGTGGCCGCAGTTGCATACTGACAACTTCTAGGAACCACGGGGAGAGCCAAGTGCAGGGCAGGGACCAAAAGTGGACAAACTATCCCAGAAGGAGCATGACATGTCCCCCACCAGAGGTATTACCCATCCCCTAACACCCCATACACCCCAAGTACAGACCATAAAGAAATAATGCTTCAAGCCTGAAAGTTGCCAGAAATACTAGCAATATCAGCATGTGCTATAAGAATAAGAACCCAGCTAGCAGAATGTACTCACATTTTTAACCTGCAGCAACTTTTCATTAATTTCATAACAGTACAAAATTATAAATTAATTTACTGCAGATAAACGTACTGCAGTAAAACTGAGTACACAAAACTGCACATGTGCAGGCAAAATATATTTCCAGAAAAGAGGTTGACTGATCCCTGCACCCCCCTTTTTAAATGTAGAAATAATCAACAGTTCACAAAACAATTGGCTTTCAATAGAAAGAATTACCTAGCACAGCACAAAAGAAATATAATGACAAATGCATTCCAGTTTATTGTTTCAGTACAGTTTAAAGAAAATGCTGCATGGTGATTTGTTGCCTTGCTGGGCAGTGTATTGTTTCCTGATAAGTAGTGTGTCATGAATAGTGATTTATACTCAGCATTAACTCCTCCCCATTGCTTACAAAAGAAAAGTACAGAAATTTTAGTGGTATTATTTATGTTCTGGGGTTGCTTAGAGCCCTTTTAAGATGTTTGTTATGTAGCTTCCTCCACCAGAGGTACAGAGGGTGACAACAAGAGAACAGACCTTTTCTGTGGTGGCTCCCTGCTTGTGGAATGCTAAGGAACGTACCGTTAGGCACCAAGCAAAAATATTCTCCTTCTGCAAGACACATATATTTAAAAAGCTTCTCAAGTAGCTACCTGCCGACTGCTCCATGTGGCTGGCAGGCAGCAAAACAAAACAAACAGAGCAACAAATAGGTGTATCCAAGAACTAGAAAATAAGATAGAAGCAAGAAAGGTGCACTAAAAGGAAGGTAGAAACAGCTCTTTAGGATGTCAGGGATTCTTGTAGCCAGGGTCCAACAACTTATGTCTCAATCACCCATTTACTTCACCCATTGGCTAAAAACATTGGCAGCCAGGCTGACTCATTTCACAGAAATTGCTTGGGTACCTGCGTGTTTTGCTTCATATCATTTTCTTAGGATGGCTAGCATATTGGAGGGCTATTTATGTGCTCCTCTGCTTTCCTTTGACCCACTGTTTTTAGAAAAAAATGTCAGGAAATCCTGTCACAAATATCTCATGTCTCACCTAATTTGGTTCTCAGGGCAACTCCTAGAGTGCTTTCATACTTGAGGCTGGAATAGTTTTTGTGCATCTCTTCCACTATTTATGTTAATAGCTCATGGAAGGTTAAAGCATAAGAGAATGTGGAGCAGAGGCATTTGAGATGCAAATGACCATTCTTGTCAACACAAGTTTTGCATTTGCATCACAAAGCAAACTGAAGCAAGAGCCGCTTGTCTCTCTGCACTTTCTGTGGACACAAGCTCCAGAGTGGAGGAAGCAGCAGCAAGATCTGTAACTGGGGTTTCCTCCCTCATCACTTAGTGCAGACTAGACATAGCATGTGATCACTTCTGGTTGTTGTTCTTTTTAACCAAAAGCAGCTTGGGGAGGCTGTGGGTTTAAGTGGAAGGTGTGTGTGTGTGTGTGTGTGTGTATATATACTAAATGTTTTGCCATCTTGAGTTTCAGACAGTCTTTTCCAGCCTTGCCTGGAGGTGCTGGGGAATGAACCAGGGCCTTTTTGTATGCAAAGAATGCACTCTCTGACACTAAGCTTTTCCCACCCATGAGCCTGTCTTTCTTTGGCTAGAATTTCCATGGACAATCTATGTGTTTTGAATTTACACAAGAGTGTTCCTGTTTAAGAACATAAGAGCCCTTCTAGGTCAAGACCAAGGGCCACCAAGTCTAGGGTTCTTTGAAAGTACCCCCAAAACCAGCACACACTTCGTCTGCTGGAAATTGATCAAATGTGGATCACCGTCCACCTTCTGTCAATTTCTGTGACAAGTGGAAGTAAAGCATTGGCATTATGGCTAGTAGCTGTTAACCCTATTTTCAAGCCATCCACATTGGATGTCATCATTGCCTCCTGTGATAGCGAGTTCTGTAGTTTAACTCTGCACTCTGTGAAGAAGTGTTTTCTTTTATCTGCCCTGAACCATCCAACTTTCAGCTTATTTAGATGTCCATGTGTTCTAGTACTTTGAGAGAGGGAGAAAACCTTTTGTGTATATCCCCATGCATAAGTTTGTGCTATTTTATCATGTCACCTCTTAGTCACCTCTTCTCTAAACCGAAAAGTCCCAAATGCTGCAACCTTTCTTCACTCCACCCCCTTGTTCATTTTCCTTGCCCTTTTTCTGAACTTTTCTTAACTCTACAATATCCTTTTTCAGGTGAGGTAACCAGCGCTGTGCACAATATTCCAAATGTGGTTGCACCACATATTTTTATAACAGCGTTATGATATTGGCAAATGTACACTGTCCTCTGGGGTTGACTTATTGGGGTTATTTCTTAAAGTATGGGCCGACTCCAGTGGTATGTTCTACTATCGGACCTTTGACTATCTCTGTTGGTTTCATAGCAGTGATCATGTTAACATATGGATTTATAAACCTGGCTGTAATCTATCTGTGTTGGAGTATGCTGGGAAAAGAGAGATGGGAAAATGCAACAATCCTGAATTGTTAGACCTGCACAGATTTGTACACTTAAAACCATGGGCTCGTTTTTTAGAAGCAAGTTTGGAAGGAAGTAATGAAAGTTGGATTGCCTGAAGCAGTTAAAAGATGGACTGGCAAAGCACTCAAGAATATAATAAAATATTAAAATATAATGGTGCCAAGGAAAGATGACTACATGTCTTTTCCACCTCTAATCTAATTCATATGTAGACTTACTTAAAGTGCACTCTACGTCTGGTGTCTTTTTGGCCTGACCGGGCATTCCTAGGTAAAAAAATTCCAGTTCAGGCTTTGCTTCTGGAAGACTGAAAATTTGCGTCATTATTTTTAAAATGACTAGACTGTTGTTTTTTTGGTTTTGCATATTGCTTTACTTTATTGTCTTACATATTTTTATCTTGTACCCCACCCTAGAATTGATTTTAATGTAAAACAGGTAATAAGTCACATAAATAAATAAAGCCTGCAATCTTAGGTGCACTGACCTAAGTATAAGCCATTGTGGCACATTGAGACCTGCTTCTGATGCCTAGACTTTTCTTTTTCACTATTGTAGGAAATTTACTGAGCATTCCCATATGGAGCTGGGAAACATCTGAAACCAGGCTGCTTGCATTCGTAGAGCTGAAACCTGTGGGCAGGTTTCCTTTGCCTTCTTTTGTCCAGTACTAGCTCCCTCTAAGGGGAGCATAGCAAGAATGGATCGAATGGCCTGCTCCAGTAATGGCCCCTTTTGGAACACTATTCTGTTTACTGTTGGTGAGAACACTGCAGGTGGTAACTTCTCAAATTCCCATGCCTTCAAAGGGGTGCAGCAGGGCCCTCCAGTAGCAGAGCTCCTCTCTCCCACTGGGAGAACACATCAGAGCCTGGCGGAGAGACGCCCCTGGCTAATCATAATCCTATCCAGCAGCTCTCCTTAGGGGACAAAGCTTGCACCGTTGAATTCTTTAACTGCTTGTTATTTTGCCACTTCTGACTGCAACTGAGTATCGTTATAGCTTCTCTTATTGACAATTAAAGAAGTGATCACACATTTCTGTGCTGTTTACTTATGGTCAAAAGTATCAAATTGCTGGTACATATTATTGTTTTATTTTATATTAAGTTTTCAATTAAATTAATACATAGGAACAGTTTTATATCTGCTTCACAGAATATTTCTATAATTCAACACATTTCTTTACATTTTTTTCCCCATTTTTGTAAAAGAAAATGGACTATGGGAGGCACCTCAGATAACACCCAATAGATCTTATATTATTACTAGATTAAGTTCATTAATTTCAATAAGTCTACTCTGAGTAAAACATAATTGAAAACTGCCCACCAGTATTCAAAACCCCTTTTCTGAGATTTATTAATAACGCCATTGTGAGAAAGTTGTGACTGTTTATATTCTGATCATTTGTATTATGAGATTTGGGCAGAATGAGGAATAGAAGAGAGAGAGAATGGGAAAGACAGCAGAAGCACTATTGCAGTAAACAGTGCTTTACAACTGTAAGCAGATAGATGGGCAAGAGTAGATTATAAAGGTTATCTGGGGCATGTCCAGTGCAGAGGGGATTGTGTTGCTGCCTGTTTAATCTCTCAACTCCTTAGAATTTTACCTAATACTTCATAGAAAGTAGAGGTCCTTTTGATCCTGGAGCTTGAACTCAGAAAGTTATATTGAATATCATATGAACAATTTGAAAATTACATCAAGAGTATCATTTTTTAAAGAAATGTTTTTCGAATCTACTAATTCTGAACTTGGAAGAGACTGCAAATTACATCATTAGAGGAATAGGCAAAGATTTTTGGCATAGCACATTGGCATTTAGAATATCCTATTACAAGAAACCTTTTGAGGGTACTACACCTAAAAGGATTTATGAAAGTGCTGGTACAATATGTTCAGTTCTGAAATAAAAACAGCTGCCGCTCTGAATTTCTTGGAGAAATATTAAATAAACAATACTGCCTGATTTTTTCTGAATTTTATTTTTATAACAAATTTGCATAATTGATTGTTGTCCACATTACAGAATGAGGAGATCAAAATAAACAGTGGGTAAGTGCAAATAAATAGATCAGAGCAATTGGGAATACTAATAATTACACCCTGTTTTACAAGATTATTAGGAAGAGGGATGAAAAGTTGGATTTGCAGGGTCCTGTGCACTATGTAAATCACAATGCTAGCCATTGCTCCTTTCACATTATTACATCCTGCAGTCAGACTGGTTGATGTGAACTTACTTTTCATATGTAAGGATTCTACATGTAGAAAGCCTTAACCACTATCAGTTTTTGCCTGGCACTGGTCTATTGTAAGCATGAGTATACAGGATCTGGATTTCAGGCTGCTTTGTTTCCCCCCCGCAATGAGCTTTCTGTGGGCAGACTATAAAGGATCTGTTGAAGGTCACCGGCTCCAATGATTGTCCTTTATGTAATGGTAGCTCTGCTGAGGGAGATATCAGAGTGGTGGGGGAGGAAAGGAAGTAGGCAACAGCAATGGCATTTGCATTAACTTGATAGTGCAACATACACCTCATCTTGGAATCAGGCAATTCTTTGAAAGCCACTTAAAGTTCCATAATAGCCCATGGGTTTTGATTTCCTCTTTTGATGTGTGAACTTGAAGCAAAGCCACGGAACAGGAAGAACTACAGCAAGTATGCCTGTAAAGTTGGAACTGAAAGAACAGACGATCTATGGAGAATTCACATTTTTGCATCTGCTTCATTTAAGAGAGGAGCAGCACTCAGTATGACACACTTCCCATTGCACATCAATATGAGATCATGATTTTAACCGAACTGGATGGAGGAGGAAGGAAAATCCCATGTCAATAATTTTGTTTCCTTCACACATTAAAGGGATATAAAATGTGGTTTGCAATGTAATACAGGATATGTAATAAAATGGAATATACCTCATACCATTTGTCAAATTAACGTTTTCCGTGATGATTTGAAGAGAGTCAGATGTTACAGAAATTTTACTGAATGAAATGGAGAGGTACCCAGACTGGATATGTTCACAGACTGACTGTGCACAGTGGACTGAATCTCCACTGAAGACTGAGTCTTCAATGGGTGGTTGTTTTCCATCAGAGGAAGACTCTTTTGTTTTTCTAACTACCAGCGAGTTGAGGGAAGGAGGCCCACCCATTTGCTGGCTGGCATAGAGCCACTTCTTTGTTACCTGAATGGCCCAGGTCTCTCTGCTTCACCAGCCTGGGAGCTGACATAGGGAAGGAGACACCCCCCCACACTTTTCCTTGGCTGGTACCACTGGTGCAGCTGTGAATGTGCTTATGGCTACACTACTCTAACCAAGCGTTTACAATCCCTAAATTGGGATGCACTTGGTCCCTTTGTTACCATCACATTATGTTGGCCTTGCTGCTAGCACATGGTGACAATAGGCTTTGTGATAAATGAAAAATATGATGTGGCAGTCCATCTTTTTGATATGCATATGGCTGAAGTTTAACATTTTATTGTTAGATAAGGGGAAAGATTCTTATATATGAGGATTTAACTGTAGGAGGTTTTTAAATTAGGTACCAGGTGCTTGATCTGGAAACTCCCACGAAATTCCCACCACTTTTACTTAGCCCATGGAGATTTTGGCCACCCTCTGGACTTACGATGCAATTAGAACAAACGAGGTTATGAGGCTACTTTTTCAGTGTGGCTTAACAATCAATCCATCTTCCCGGGGATTCTTGGAAATTATAGCTCTCCAAGGGCAATAGGATTTGTCTAACAAACTACAGTTCCCAGGATTCTTTGGGGGATTATACCGCTGTTAAAGTGGTATAATAGTGTTTTAAATATATAATGCAGATGTAGCCCCATACTTCCTGTTATTACTGGGTATGGGGAACTAGATTTCAGAGAAGTCGTGCTACTAAATTGGCTGCTACAAATATTTTCCTAAGGCCTAAATGAGAACGCTAGCATGTATGAAGATTGTATTTAGCATTAGCCAAAACTGTTGACTATAAATGTAGCCTAAGGTATTGATTATATATTTAGCAAAGCTATTAATTATGGTGTACTGTATTAAAGTCTAAGAATGTGTAGAGGAATATAATCATTTAAGAGCCTAGCTGCAGAGTAGTATATAAAATAGATGAAGTACTACAAAAAAAATTGCTGTTAAAATGAGGCCTATAGCAGCTACTCTTCTCTTACCAGTGTGCTTAAAGGTCTTGGATGTGATTCTGGATTGTGCTTCATATTGCATTCAGCAGTTTATTTTCTGGGTAAAGTATATTTGTGAGTCTTTTATGTATGGAAGCTGAGAAATAAGTAATGGTCATCCTAGTATAAATCCCATTTGTGACCTACTCTGAATTTTCTAGCACAATATTGCAAAACATATTATGTTTCTAAATAGTATGGTGTTCAAAAAACACTTCTTCTCTTGGACAGGGTTTGCAACATACAGCAATAACAAATCACAGTAATCTTAAAAGCAGATTAAGATTTTGAACATGCAAAGAATAAAAATAAATTGTAGAGTATTTTGAGCATATGCTGCTGTATATGAGTGAACTGTAAATAGCTATGATGGTCAGAACACAGGGGAAATGGGATTAATTGTAATCCCACAGCATTTGAGCAGCTAAAATCATCCAATAGCTGGGGGGGTCAATTGATCATTTTAAAACTAATTCGAATATATTTTTGCTTTAGAAAAAGCAGACAGACAGGAAGAAAACTGCAACAATCTTATTTACAGCTAATGGCCAGACATTACAGATGTTTCTACTAATCTTTGCATATTTGAGTAAGAATATATTTACAAAAACAAGCCTATTTGCAGTGCAATCTTATGCCCACCTACTCAAAAGTAATTCCCATTAAGTTCAATGAAATTTATTCCCAGGTAGTTGGGAATGCAGCCATAGTTCAATATATTGACCTGGTGTGAACAACATGGTAAGCCAATTTATGGCTTTCTGGCACTGCAAAAATGTGCAGGCTCCTGGAGACGATCTCACAAACACTTCGTTCCTCCCTGGTCCTTTTTGTTCCACTGAGCAAAGGTTTAGTTTAGCTTACCATCCATATGTGGACTCCTTGTTAAGCTGTCTTCTCACTAACCATGAGTTTGGCTTCTCGTGTTGTGTGAACCAAGCAAATGTCACAACTCCTGAATTATTTAGTGGACCTGTATGATGCTTTTATTTACATACACAAACAAACACACACTATGTTTAGGGTTATTGCAAAATCCGTGCAACATATCAGTTAGACTCATCCAGAAGCATGTGGGCTTCTGTCCGTCACCTCCCCTCTCAACTCAAATCATGCTTATTGTTACCACATTCACAATGTACTTATTTAAGCAAAAACACAGCGTTATATCCAATTAATTCCTACACATAGATGATCCATTGAAATTAATGGAACTTATTTAATCATATTTATTAATTTAATTTGATGCTACTCTGAGAAGCGTTGGCTACGGGCCTTAAATTACAACAGAGGTCACCAATCGTTTTGGACCAGAGGGCAAAATTTTGAATTTTGAGAAAGTGCTGTGGGCACAAGTGAACAAAATAGCTACCATTGGAGGCAGAGCTGTTGTATTCTGCTCATTATGAGTTTGAATTGAAAGCATAACACAAAATTAGAGTCATAGTCATTGCTGTTTCCCTATCCCGTGGGACAATGCTTGCCATGCGACATTAGCTACCTCAATCTGGTCCTGACTGGGGAGCTCAAACAATTGATTTCTCCTACATGCACACCTATAACAACAGGGAGCATTATCCAGTACCAGGAAAAATATACAAAATGGCTACACCACACTCACTTTTTTGCATACAAGATACAGAGCACAGGCACACATGCATCTCTCCCTCTCTTTCATAGACCACACATTCATACATTCCCCCCTTAAACACAACACATGTCCATCTCTCCCTCTCATATATATGGGTGTCTGCAATAAAAAAAATTGTGTGTGTGTGTGTGTGTGTTTGAAATGTTGAAAGGTTGGAGCAGACTGGCAGGGAAAGCTCCTGCTAGTGCAACTGTTTAGTTGAATCTGACACTAACTTTTCTTTTCTAATGAAAGCTGGGAATCTGGGGGTTGGGGTTTACTCCAGGGGCAGCACAGAAGGCTTCACAGGTGCCATGGTGCCCGCATGTGCTGGGTTGGCAATCCCTGGTACAATGTTTAAACTCCTTGTTAATGTCAAAGGCTTGTGAGGGAGAAAGAGAGAGAAAAAGCTTTTCAGGTTTCATGGGTTGAAATAAAATGTCATGACTGTACTAGAGAACTTAATGCTGATCCACTGCATTGATTCACTTTGATGACCTCTCCCTAAAACTTTGTGTTATTAATTAGGTCTCAATTGTGTGTTTCTTAGAGCTCCCTGAAGAGAAGAGGCAGCAGGGATATTCACAAAGAAAAGAAGGCATTTGCTCAGGTACCTGTTTCCAACCAAGTATATGTTTTATAAAGTCCACATGAAGATTGACCGAGCAAATTGATGCTGTTCCTCTGTGTGCCCAGGTGCAGTGAGCCTGCTACCCCTAAAGTGTGGAGGATGAGAAGCAAAATAGCCACAGTACAACGATCTGGCATCAAACAAGCCACAACTTTTATTGATTACAGGGGTACATAGGCTTAGGCTTTGGCACTGAGTACATCCAATACATCTGCTGGCTGGTTACAATTTGGGGTTGATACTGAGTTAGGATTGACTTATGTCATACATCAAATAGGAACAGCCCCTCAGGATCGCCACCCTAGGGAGTGCTATGGCCCTCAGCCCCCATCCGGGCATTTGGACAGAAGGACCTCCCTAGGATCCATTCAGTGTGACACCCTGTTAGCTTAGAGTAGGGAGAGGCTAAGACTTCTGACTCCACCCCTTGCACCCCGCTTGATTAAGGATCCCACCCAATGCTTTATCCGCCAAAAGTTGTGACGGTTGCTGTGAGGTAATCAAAAAACCCAGACGGATCCGGTTTGCCTGGAGGAAAAATCCCTCACCTTGCATAGCAAGGTGTTCCCGCAGACCCACCTGAAACTCTGCCGAAAAAGGGAGAGAGGGTGGGAGATCGTGATTCAATTGAGATGCATGCAAAAAAAGAGACAAACCCATTTTATGTCCAAGGAATGGACCTGAGTGAAGACTCCCTGCCAGGGAGATCCAAGTTGGGTCTGCACCCCTCCCAAGGACATGCTGCCAAGGACATGGCCAGATTCACAGGCAGGCTAAATTTAAATCCCACGATTAGTGGGAAAGGATGGGAGGTCTCCTGCCAGTTGTTAAGGAGCCAGAGAAGAGGTGTCATGGCATGCTACAACTGACACCTCACAGGGGAAAGGTAAGCAGGATTTACAATTTTTTTAAACGCTAAAGTTGTCAGACCCTCCTTAAAATCAACTTACAATTCAGAATTGCTTGTAGTTTTTATATAATACGCACCTTTTATTCCCCCCCCCCCCCCGCTTCTATCATGTCTATAGACAAAAGCTGAAACTTTTCTTATGGAAAATAAAGCACCTTGTCTCAAAGTGTTTGGAGCAAAGAGAGCTCAGGGACATTCACTAAATTTATCCTTGATGCCAAGGTTTTTGTGCTAATGAGCATCTTGCCACTTCACGCATTGAAACAACACATAGTGTGTTATTCTCTCAGAGTTTGAGACATTGTTTTTTCATGAGAGCTGAACAGCATATGATAGCAAGATATCCGTTTCTTTCCACCGGATTAAAATAGAAAAGTTAAAGCCATCCACTTGCTTCGCTTGCATTCAATTTTTATTAAATTCCTAAAGTGTGGATTTCCTCAGTACTCTTGGTTTAGAATTCTACTCCTATCCTGTAAAGAAACCCCACCCCCCAGTTTTTATACAATTGTTATATAGATTGGGCACATGCATTAGATTTCCACTCAGTGGTTGTCTTTCAACTATCAAATCTCATATTAATAAGCCTCTGTATGCACAGGTTTCATGCACCTGTATGATTAATCTGACTGTTGCCAGTGGAAGCTGAAGACAATGACAGGCAGATAAAGATGCTGTGAGTCTCCATGTTACTGCTCACTGCAGACTGTATCTGGACTATATTTTCCACCTACATTTGCCCTTTTCCAAATACAATAAAGTTACTTTCAACTGAGAGCCAGCCGTACAACAGAGCTGTTAAGCAAACAGAGGCCAGAAAACCAATTTAATATGTCTAGACGAATAAAGATGTCTTAACTTGGAGCCTCAAAGCTTGTGGTGTCAATGAAGTTTTCTTTCCTCCTTGAAAGATTGACAACATGTTCCCCATTATCTGACCAGCTGAGGGAAAGTGGCATTTCTGTTCCATGTATAAACACATATACTTGTTCCTAAGTGTTTTTTGTCACTTACATTAAGGTACTCAAATTTTTGGATCAAATATTAGAAACACAGGTTTAAAAAATCCAATGATGTGAAAACAAAGAGAGTGTCAGCTATACTTCTCTGCATTTAGTTTTATTGAAAAAAAAGGTTTCTGTTCAGCAGAGCTGCAGAATGGAGCTTCTTGGAAAGTGCCAGGCAGCAGTCAGGACACAAAGAAAACTGTTTCTTCAGCGCAAGGTAGGATTATTGGCACCAGCCCAATTTCCTGGGCACCAGCTATGCTGCCATCTCATCCAGCTTACAGCCCAGTAAGTGCATAGCCATATTCTGCCTGGCAAAGACCATTAAGGTGGTGACAGGAGTTGGAAGATTTGATTTTCATCCCTTTCTCTTCAGGTCTACCTACTGGACAAAGATTATATAGTTATATACATTTTGCAGTATGAGCAAGCCCTCAATTTCATCACAGCTTCTGCGCTGCAATCCTAATTTGTTCATGTTCCTCTTTTTGCCCCCCCCCCCCTTTCATTTTTGCATCTGGTGTATATTGCAAGCTCTTTGGCAGCTAATGTATCTGTATGTAGAACTCTCTTCAAAATGCAGAGTACACATTGTGTAAACTTAGCTGACATGCCTATACCCTGTATGTGCCCAGATTCTGTGAAGACCTCATCAACATACAGAGGTTGGATGAGGAGGCGGTAATGGGCATGCTATGACCTTCTCGTGGATGCGTTGACTGAATCTTGCATGAACAGTTCTAGAGTTGGGGCCAATATAAGGGGCAAAACAATGCAAACACACCTTATGCCTGGGGGATGGGGTTGGATTAGGTAGATGTCCCCACCACCAGCAGCTCAACCAGCCTGCCACTGTTCATCCTTCTGCAGGCCAAATGGAGCTGGGTGAGCAGTATTTCTTCTGGTGGTATTCCCACCAGCAGGGGCCAATGAAACTCCAAAACAGGGCATTCTGGTGGCAAGGAAGGGATGGTGTTGATAAGACAATAGAACAGCTTTTCCTAGTTTATTGCACTTATAACTAGCTGGAGGTGATGGGAGTTGTAGTTCATCATCAAGCAGGTCATCAAGTTGGAGGAGGCTGCTGTAGATGATTTCTAAGAGAAACTGGATCCCACAACCAGTGGGAGTTCATATCTGATAAACGAGACTGTCCAATAGATCAGGGCAGCTAATCTGTCACTCTAAGATTGGTTCACATTACAGATTTATCTGGTAACAAATGAGCTAACTTCAATTTCTAATGTAGAAATTACATGGAACTTTTATTTGCATATTCTGTGCTATAATCCTGTTATTTTCCTGCTGCTTAGCATTTAATAGCTCTGCCTTGCTACCAGAGATGGTCCTTAATTAGCATGCCGTTTGGTAATGAGCATATGCTTACTTAATATTTCTTTATATATTTCTCACAATATTTAAGGCTTTGTGCATGAAAAAAAGGAAAATGGAAAATGCTAAATTAACCTTACCCAGATTTAACATAAGATGTCAACAAACAATCCTAATCGTTCTAATTGAAATAAGATATATGTTGTCGAACATTTTGATTTTGTTAACTGATGTCGCCATATGTTTTTCTCTCTGCACACATGCATACATAACACACATACACACACTTACTTACATCTATCATAATTGGTTACTTTGGCACTAATTGAGATATACCATTTGAGAAGTTTTAGTTAAGGAAGTTAACCTCAGACTGCAATTCTGTACACACTTACCTAGAAGTCAGTCTCACTGAACTTAATGAGGCTTATTTTTTAATAGACATGTATGTGTAGGTTTATACTATTAAGGTACAAATTTTTTAAGCATAGATAGGGAATCTAAGTCTAAGTTCTTTGGAGATCACTTGTGGCTGAGTAAGATTGTCTTCCATGAATACGGTCTTAACAGTGTGCCCGTAAGTGACTATGGAGGCCAATGCTGGATCCTCATGTCCTTCCACAGTTGGGACATAGGTTTCTGGGCAGGAGTTTATCACTATGAGTCTAAGTACCTTTCATATGTCTGCCTTAAATTACTATATCCTTGTAGAAATCTTGAACTCCCTCTGCCAATACACTCTTTAATGGAGCAGACATTACTAGGAGATGCATGGGAGCTACATTGCTCCCATAAATGTACAGTAATGTACAAACAGGCACTTTTTATCACTGAAGGTTGAAGTAAATGTAAGCTCTGCCCATGGGCACCATTTTTTCCACATGTGTGTGACATCTCTCATTTTATGGTTAATATTTTATTTTATTGCTTTTGATCAGACAGAAGCTGCAATCTTACATGTCACTGCAGACCTTCTAAAGCAGGGAACCTCTGGCATGTGGGACATATTGGGATTTGCTATAAGATATTTTATATTGGATTTTGTAGCAGCTGATTTTCAGTTACAAGTGGCAACAATACTGGACTCTTATAAAATCAACAAAACTTCTATACTTATTATCACACAGTGCTGAGATGATTTATTGTACCATTTCCTACACTGGAAAACAGCCATGTACACTTCAGTGTGTGTGATTAAAGCCTCACATAGTGAGGGTTATGCAGCTCACAGAAAAAGTGTGTGCAGAATTACACTGTTGCTTGCAAACTTTGGGCCTTCTTTTGGGTGGCATGCATAATTTTTCATGGAAGGGCTTCTAAACTTAGAAACTAATAATTTATTCATTTTTAGTAGCTGAAAACATGTGCAATCTCTGAAACATTTGTATTTGTAGCTGTTATTTTTCTGAGAATCTATAAGGTGGCAATTTTTCCACACTTAACCAGCTATGTATTCATTGAATGTGCGTGTGCGTGTGTTAGAGAGAGAGAAAGATGTTGAGCTACAACTCATCTTCCCTACACCTGCTTTATGGAGTTACAGCCATTGTGTTTGTATTTTAAACAATTTCCTCTTTCTCTCTTCATTTTTGGGATATTTTTCTTGGCAGGAAGACAGCGCTGATTTAAAGTGCCAGCTTCAGTTTGCCAAAGAAGAAACAGCATTGATGCGTAAGAAGATGGCCAAACTAGGCAGGGAGAAAGATGAACTGGAACAAGAACTTCAAAAGTACAAGTCTATCTATGGAGATGTGGAAAGTCCACTCCCTATTGGGGAAGCTGGAGGACCACCCAGCACAAGAGAAGCTGAACTGAAGCTTCGTCTGAAACTAGTAGAAGAGGAAGCTAACATTCTGGGGAGAAAATTAGTGGAGCTGGAGGTAGAAAACAGAGGTATTAAGGCTGAGATGGAGGATATGAGATGCCAGTATGAGAGAGCATGTTTAAGCCAGGACCATGTTTCAAGCATTCCTACCTCACCTTATAGTGACTCTCTGGAGTCAGCAGCAGAGCTTCGCCGTCATTTGCAGTTTGTAGAAGAAGAGGCAGAACTGCTGAGGAGATCGATATCTGAAATTGAAGATCATAATAAGCAGTTAACAAATGAATTAAATAAATTCAAATTTGAGCCTGGACAAGAGTCTGGCTGGCTTGATGAAAATGCTTCCAAGTGCAGTGGATCCTTACAAGAAGAGTTGAAATCTGCTCGAATTCAAATCAATGAACTGAGTGGGAAAGTGATGAAACTCCAGTATGAGAATCGTGTATTGATATCCAATGTACAGCGCTATGATCTTGCCTCACATCTAGGCCTGAGGACTTCAAGCCCTAGGGACAGTGATGCTGAGAGTGATGCAGGGAAGAAAGAGTGTGACAACGAAGAGGGCCATCTACCTCAACCAAAGAGAGAGGGACCCATTGGGGGCGAAAGTGACTCAGAAGATGTATATGAAAAGACATCGGGTTTTGGGAGTGGGAAGCCATCAGAAGTTAGTGATCTTTGCTCCACTGAACTAACAAGGGCCAAAGAGGATACAGAGTCTTTGATCAGCATCAGGCGTGAGGCTGAAAGGCTCGAAAGAGCTGTTGACCGTCTCATCATTGACACAGATAGTTTAATATATGAATCAAAAGTGCACATAACCAGCAGTACTTCCTCTGAGCAAGGTTTGGAAAAAGATGAAGGAAAACCGGAGAGTAAGAATGAGCCAGAACTTTTGGATAATATTAATTCAAGAATGAAAAATTTCCAGAAAGAACTGCAAACTTTCCTAGAGAAGGTTGACAGTATTGGGGAAGGCCTCAAAGACCAAATGGAAGACCTTTCCCCTCTCCCTCACCTTACAGAATCCTCTAGTTTTCTCTCCACAATGACATCTTTATCCCGAGACTCACCCATTGGTAACCAGGGAAAGGAGCTAATTTCAGATTTTCAGGTAGGTGGACTTCTTGTTTGTCACCTCACTTTTTTTTAATTCTTTCCTGCTGCACTGGTGCTATTTTTACACATGGCTGCTTTGTTATGATTTTGAAGTATAAATGATAAAACTTTTTTTTAGGTTTTTATCTTCTACTTTGCTACAGAGGCTGTTCCTCATGGCAAAAAAAGCTAACAGAAGCTAAAGGCATCTGAATCTTTTCATTTCCTCCGTCCTTGATCTGCTATATTCATGGCCATTTTGTTCTGATGTCAAACTTTTAAAAAAAGTTACTGAGAGGCACCATCACAATACATTTTCTTTTCATACGCCATTAGCAGCTTTGCTAATGAATGTGTAAATTACCTTTTCCCCTCCTATTATTCTGATTCCTTAAATGAAATGTGTTCTCAAAAGGTCTTGCTAAACATAAAAATCCAAAATAAAATAAGATATTCTTGCAAAGCCTGCTTGCAGCTCTCTCACATAACCGAGGGGTGAGCAAAGAAGCACTGTAGCCAGCGAAGGACTGCCTTTCGTAACCCGTTTCCCCTGGGCTCATGTCTATACTGCCACAGCTGCCACACTGGATATGGCTTTTCTGCACAGCACAAGTAAGGATGGAAGAGCCTTGTATCCCCATATCCTCCATAACTTGTATGCTTGCTGTTGGTTTGACTCATGCATCCTCATTGCATGCGCCTCATAACCAGTGTGCATTCTTTCCCCTCTCTTTCTCTTTTTTGCTTTTCAGATATTTCAGCCCATTATTTTGCTCATCCTCATTTTAGTTCTGTTCTCTTCACTTTCTTATGCCACTGCATTTAAGTTGGTTTTTCTGTTCATGCTTTTCTTTGTCTTGTAGTTTTTTCAGTCGTCTACCTTACCCATTTTTGTTTCTTTTATTTCCTCCTGTCCTTTGTTTTTTTTGTGTTATCAACCCCACCCATGCACCTAACAGTCCAAACTGAGGGATCAGATGGAGTGGCAGCGCAGCCAAGACCATGGAGACGAGAGAGAGAGTCATCATCAACGAGGCAACACCGAACCACACTGCAGAGCTGATGGAGAATTTAAACTCTACAGGCCAGGAAACAAGGGTTGTTTCAGTCTAGAGGTTAGCACAGCCTATTAAAAAGCTCCTGCTGCCTTCAAAGGGATCAATACATGTTTGTCACAGAAGCTAAGACAAAGTGGTGGGAAATAATTCATATGGGCTATTATGACTTGAATTTGAGCTAAAACCAGCCACAACAAACCCACAATGTTTGCTTAAAACCTCTGCACCCTTAGACTTCTGTGATCCTAATGGCCACCCCTGATATACCTGTAACTGACCTGGAAAGAAACAGCTAGAATGCCATGTGTGAAATGTGGGTGGTTGTTGTGTTGTTCACTTTGATGGCTTTGAAAAATCATTGGAAGTTAAATTATATATCTCAACACTATATCAAGCAATAGTCACTACAAGGTTGCAGTGTGGTATGTTCCTTGTATTTCTCACCAACAAAACTTTCAGAAAGCCCGTGTAATTTTTTCTATGCTTGATAGCATATAAATATTTGTGATTTTATGAACATGCTCCAAAATCCCCCACACAGAAGTGCTTCCTTTTTTTTTATTCTGTGAAGAACATCTCTCTAAACGTATAGAACTATTTCTTGTTGTATACATCAACCATTTCATTCTCTAGAACAACAATCAGCTTGCATACATAAGCATCATAAGTATGATGACTTGTATATTTATCCATAGATGATACATTGTGAGCTGTCACTGCTAATGGTTCCAAAAGCATTAGTTTCCATCATAGTCCATCTGGCTGTGTCCTGGAACCAGCCAAATTTGAATTCTTAATTGTGGGTATGTACAGATGTTGAGTGGTGGTCTCTGTAGAATAGCAGTCACTACATTTTGTTTAGATGTATGACTTTCATCCTGGATTGAGTTGACAGGAAACTGTTCCCAGTCCTTACTGGCTGAAAAGCAGTGATGCCACTAACCCAATTCTCTTCACCTTCTTCCAAAAGCAGTTTTAAAATGTTTTAAACCGTTTAAAGAGGTATGAATGTATATTTGATTCCTTAAATTTACATGCAGCATTTTAAAATTACAAAAGGCTGATTGCATGGAGGAAGTAGCAAGATAAGACAATTAAATCAGTATTTGATTCACAGTCCAGCAAGTCTGTCAGATGTATTGCCTAGATTGGCAGGTGGGGAGGCAGATTTGAAATGTAGAGGAGAGAACAATGCAGCAAGCCTCAATTTGCATGTATGTTTGTGCACAACATGTATTAACTTTTGTTGTGGTTCAGCCAGGCACATAATGAATAGGCATAATCAGAATTAGGGAAATGAAGGAGGGCAATGATAAATAAACAGAGTTTGGAAGCATGTTGGTATTATGCTAAATAGTTTGTTCTAATGGCCCGTGTTGAACAGACATATTATTTTACAGTCTGTTTAGGGCCCAGACTTGCCAGCTCTGTGCCAGATTCCTTCTTTAATGGATGAGCAAACATGCAGATGGGCATAGAGACATTAGATATTATAAATAAATTTGGTCAGTGTATTAAAAAAAAAATTATCCCAAAGAATAAGAATATGAAGTAAATGTTAGCCATTTATTTCAGATATGTATATGACACAATATTGCAAGATGACATAAGATTTTTTGTTACAGGGTAGTCCTTTACAGGTAATAAAACCTGTACTTTAATCCATGGATCAAAAGTGTACAAAACACACCTGTTTGCCTGAGATAAGAGTCTTGAAGACCCAGTAACTCCAGCTCCAAATTTTGATATCCCTATCGAACAGTTGGGTTTTTTTGCAATCAGTTCTATGTTTTGTCAAACTTAAGGCCACGTCAACAACTGATCAAACTTTATATTGTACTATAATAGCAGACTGACATTAAATTTATATACAAAGTTTAGAGATCCCAGGAAGAGCATTAATTTGCCAAATTTTTTGCCATTATAAAACAGGGAAACCAAGGTTATTTGCATGTGGTGAAATTATTTTTGAATGTTATTTTAGATTTTGTGTTAACATAGTTTGGTTCATAACTATGGGCAATAAGCTATGAGGGCATTAACACTTAAATAGTTGACAAAGCCCATTGTTTATTCAGTCAGAAGGGAAAGCACTGGAGTTTTACTAGCCATATAAAGTGTTTTTAAAGCATGGAATGGTGATTGTCATTTGTGACTGTGGGGAAAATAGTCCACTTGCATTTGACAAGAATAAAAGACGTGGATTAACAGAAGACTCTGAAAAAGAGTGGCTTCAAGATGTTAAAGTTTAACTAATCTGCATTAAGTGCTCCTTCAGAACTTTCCCTGAACGGTGGATCAGTTATTCCAATCTGCATTTGTGACTATGAGAACAGACCCATGAGTTCTTTTATTCTAGATTCATTAATCCTACTTCTTCTCCTTCATTGGCAAGAATATAGACGATATCCCAGTTCACAGTAATTTGCCAATCAGTTGATACAAAATATATTTTAACTAAGCAAAATTATATACATTGAAGATATAAAATAGGAAGTAAACTGTTAAAGAATGATGTTGAAGATAGCACTATTTTGTTATCTTCCCCGAGTAGATGTGCCATTGATGCTTTTCCAGATCAAAATGGCAAAAGGGAACTTTTTAGCTGCTTTGCTCTGGGAATAAATGTCTTCGCATTGGCCACTTAGGAAATCTGTAGATTTTTTGTCTTGTTGGATAGGGCCTATAAATAACGGATAGGCGGAAGTGAACCTCAGTTTGGTTTATGCTTGCTTTTTGAGTATAATTAAATTATTGATTTGCTGCTATTTTTTCTTAATATTGATGATACATATTTCTTTTTGCAAATAAAATAAAAATAGATGGAAGATAAAAAATTTAAAAAAGAAGCCCCCCCCAAAAAATTTTCTAGGTCTGTTTTCCCACTGCTGATTATTTTATACGTAGTGTTGTGGTAGATTAATTGTTAGATGACAGACAATGTAAGTCTACTGTCTTTAATTTGGAACCACCCTCTAGTCTTAAGTTACTTTAAATTGCTGCCATTATTTGTACTGCACCAGTAGTTATTAGCATACAGTATTATTAGTAGATAAACTCTTGGGTTAAGTATATGCTTTGAAAGAAACTTGTCTTTTTTAAAAAAAAAGTCTTAAGAGCAGACTTCTTGTTTTCTTCATTAAAGCTAGTCATTCAACTAGTTCAGCACAGGGGAGGAGACAGACGCCTACTGAAACATTTCAACTCATTATTCACAGATAGAATAGAGCCCTGCTATTGTGCGAGAGAGAACTATATTTCTAAATCTTTAAGAGGAACAAACTATTGGCTCCAAGGAACTGTAAGCAGAAGGGAAATAGCTAGTAGCACTGATTTACAAAACCTTGGGCAAGTGCTAGAGTACGAGTTCTTCTTTATTGCATTTATATACACTGTGCTGTATGATGTGGATTCTGTAATAGTTCTCATCTTTTTCCTTGCAGAAGATTACATTTGGGTTTCATTTACAACACTCTAGTGCAGGAGTAGGGTAACGGGGCTCAGCTGGCAGGCCAGGTCCCAACGCCCCACCCCCAGAGTGGCTCACAGGCCACTTTGACAGGTGAGTGGGTCTACCCACCTGTCAGTTACCTGACGTCAAAGGTCAAGTGTTTCCCTAGGAAACATGTTTCTTGCCCATGTGGCTTGATTTCAAGCTACACGGGCAAAGGAGGCATTTCCAGCAAGTGCTGATAAGCTAGTTGCCAATCACAGCAATCCCCACTTTGGGCAGGGAACTCCATAGTCCTGTCAACTCCAGCAGGGCTTTATGCCAGCTGATTGGCACCAACAGCAACCCTTGCTTCCAAACAACAATTGGGAGTGTATTTTAAGGATCCTGATTATTCCTTTGAAGCTGCAGCTTTATCTGCCCCATACCCTGTGTCATATATTAGGTATGGGGCAGGTGGGTGAGGTTGGGGAATGGTCCGTGATCTGGCGGTTCACCCCCCCAGTGCTCTAGTACAAGGTGTAAACCAGCCCATTTGTAAACAAGAAAGGCCTTTAACAACTTGGGATACAACTCATGGAATATAAATTCAAACTGTTAGAAATGTGACAAAGATAAGTAGTAAATTTTATATGCCAAGGTGATAGTCCTTAATCTAGTCAAATGCTAACTCTGAACGAAGTGCAGGTCCAACTGTTCTGAATTTCTTCACTTAATACTTCCCATCTACTTCCCATCTCCAGAGACCAAATATGAACACAGGAACCACTTTTGGATCCATAGCCAGTCATCCCACTTCATAAATTGTCCTTTCACTGCCTTGCTTTTTCCTCTTTCTTTGTGTCTTTTGAATTGTGAACCTGCTGTCTCAGAAAATGCTTTAATTTATGGGACAGAACTCAGTATTATTATAACATTGTTCATTAATGTGGAGCAAGCATGTTGCTTGTTCCACAAGCCCTAAGATGTTTGGAATTCCTAAACAAGCCCTCTGCCATTCTGCATGACAAATTACTTTTGAAACTGAAGGGAGTTTCACATAAACAATTTTGTGAAATGGCAACAAGAAGAAAAATATCACAGAATCAAAGAACAGGGCTACTTGATTCTGTTTGTGTGCCTTGGGATGGAATTTTCTCAAACAGAAATGTCCTCACACTGCACAGGAAGCAAATTGGACAGGTTGTGGTTTTTAGCTTTAGAAAAAGGGACCAGAGAAGTCAGAGTTAAGCAGCCCTTTTACTCATGTCCATCTTTTGCTTAGATAGAGCCTGTCCCAGCTTTGGGTTTCTAAAAATAAAAAATAAAACTGCAGAGAAGAATATCACAGATCTCCTCATGGCATCCAGTTTGAGCCTTAGTTTTCTAAAATAAGAAATGGAGTAAAAGTTTTGCTGTACTGTTGTGTGAGATTTTGCACAGACATCCTCCTGTTCAAAACTATAATACTTAAATTTAGTATCCTGTTTCTTCTTATGGTCTTGCCAATAAATATCTGATAGAACTGTGACCAAGGGGAATATCTTGCATTTCATGGTTCCACCTTTCATCATTATACAAGTGCTTTCAATTTCTGTCTCTCAGGTGCAGCTTAGACAGGGCAAGGATGAATTTTGTTGAAGCTTAATGGTTGGCCTTCACACATTAGATTCATGTAGCATGTTGTGAACCAAGCATAAGAAAAGTATAGTGAAATGAGAAACTCCTTTCCCTTGCCCTACCTTAGTGGTAGCAAAGAAAAGCACAAATGCCTTTTATCTAAATAAGAAACAGTAAAGACATTTAGTCAAAGTGGATGAATATATTGTTTTGTTATTTAATATGCTTGTATTGTAAGTAACAGTCTAGAACACAAGTATCTGTAAATCAGAGTTGTTGTTTTGTTAACTTTCATTTTGTATCTGCAGGGAATTCTCTGTATAAAAGATCACATTGGACTGAGTTGAAACCTAAAATTTTTGAATTTCCCTCTTTTATGGTTTCAACTTTCATAGAATGTACTATATGAATATATGTTTTATTTCCAATGGCATATTTCATTAGACATTCCATAGCCTTTTCATTGTTGCACAACCATCAGCTAATCTGTGTAGACATTCCTTTCTTGTGTTAGATTGTGTGTGTATGTATTTGTATGTTTTCACCAATTAAATGGTTGCATGTGGATCTTGTAAATTCACTTTCAAGATAAGCTTGAAACATTTATGCAATCATTAGTAAAAACCCTAACAGCAAGAACAAATACTTTACATATGTGCCAGAGTGTGCATGGAGCTGACAAAATAATAGCCTTGGAATACCCATTATAAAATCATTATTGATACTCAAACTCTAAACACATTCAGGAAATGGTGCATAATATTGCTCAACATCCCCGGTCATTATTTTAGCAAAAGTTTCAGGTATAGACTTGTTGGCACCAAATAACTTATATTATTATATTTCGTAAAGTGGAATGTTCTAAATTAGAGTTAGAATCTGGACTTTATTTTTAACTAAATGAAATATAATTTATGTATAATACTTGGACTTATGAAGTAATATTGAATGGTAAGATAAATTCGTATCAATTTTAGATGTGATTACTTTTAAGTATGTTCTGCCCTGTTTTCATATTGTGTTTTTTATTTTTAAAAGTATGTGTGAAAATTTATACTCAGATATGCATTTTGTGCATTTCTGAACATGCTTTATCTTAAAATGCACATTTTAATTCATTTTGATACTTTTTAAAGGCTAAAACTATATCACATTAATATAAAATAAGAGCATGGTATGCAGTACAATGTCAGTGAAAGCATAATATGTTTACTTATTTATATTTGCAAATGGGGATTGGAACTGCTCATCTCTTTTTCTTTCCCCCAGTGCTTTCTTAGCTTTTCTTTTTTATTATTTGATGCATGTTTGAAATTGAATCAGTGAAATACAATTCTCAAAATAGTTGCACATGGGCTAAAAACAGATGCCATCCCCCCCCAAACCCAAAATGGCAACACTCTTCATCATTATTTGAATGTACATTAATTTGTGAGTCCAAGTGACCCTCCACCGGTTTCTTGTGTGTCTCTCTCTTGATTTTATTTAGATATCTTTTGATTTTCATTGTGCCGCAAACTTACAAAATTCTATAGCTTTTGGAGAGTAAGAAACATACCAGTTTTCTTGTTTTTCTATAATCAGAAAGCGTTGGGAAAAGACTTTTCATCAGTGAAAACATGGAAACCAATCCCTCTTCCTAGTTAACTGTCCTAGTTAAAGGACTGTCTTAAGTTTCTTATGGATTTAGGAGGTGGGAGGACTTTTTTTTAAGTAAGCAAGCTTTGAAATTGAACAACAAATGTAAAAAGAAATATTTGTAAATTAATGTTGAGTTTTCTAAAATGAATCTATAGTGCTCAATGCATTAGAACCTAATCTAGGAACTATAAGTGCAACAGCATTCCCATTTGGTTGATTGGGACGAGAGTAGAAACCTCTTGCTGTGCTGGTATGTTGTTAGGTGGATTGAGAGCAGGCAGTAGTGTAGTGTGGCCAGATTCAGGTCAGGTTTTTCCTATTTTCTTACCCCCCTACTACCCGCCCATATCTTCCCAATAATCAATTGGTGCTGTGGATGTGGTGGGAGATGTAAAAATATTGATTCCAGTAAAAGTAACAGCCATTTCCCTGGATTGGGATGCCTGTGAGTTGTGTTGTTCTGCATTTGCATTATGTTAAACAGTGCTGTGGTAGACTCTACTATCCAATAGTCTGCATTGTATGAGTTTATTTTTCTGGGTCTGTGACTCTCCCCACCCCACCCCACCCCACCCTTTCCCCTATGATGTAACTAGGTCATAATGATGAATGTCGCCTCACCTGCATCAAATATATAATTAGTCAAAAGAGAGAAAGGGAATAATAAGGGTGAATAGAGTTAAAAGAATGTATCATTGCTTCAACAATTCGTCTTTCATGACAAATCAGGAAACATACCTTATATTGGTGTGAAATTCCCGGAATCCCTTAGAAGACTCTGTCCTCTGATGGTTAGGGGGTCAATCACTCAGCTGTTAATGTTAAGTCTGGAGTCAAGTGGCTTAGAAAGTCTTCACCTGCCAGTGAAAGGACAACAAGGAGGGAGCAAGTCTAAACTCTCCAAGAAGGGAGCTCCAAAGTCTGAGAGCAGCCACTCAGAAGGCCCTCTCCCATTTACGTGAATACATCCACACAATACAATATGGGGTGAGATATACTAACCTTAGTATCCACCCAGGCCAGAACACAGATAATTAAAATGTAAACATATATTTAACTGGGAAACATAATAATCTGGAACAAGTAATATTAATAGTGCTAATAGCCTAAACTAACATACCATTACAGTTATCCTAGGTCTTTATACTTTCATTTTTATTGCCATCTCATTCCCTCTCCTCTCTGTCCCTACAGAACTATCCCAACTCTTCACCTGCCATTCTCAGCCATCATTTCCCACCTCACACCTACTGTGACTCACACTCTCTTCCAGTCCAACATTCTCTAAATGAAACTCTACCCATGGATGTATAGATTTTATTCATGTTGTTTATACAGTAACACTGCAAACACCACAAATATTAGACTCACTGATGCTGAGACTTGCCAGTAGAAGTATTGTTTCCCCCAATTATTGTTGCTAATATCTAATAATGTGTTCTATATTTATTTAGAAGATTTAAAAATCTTTTATTTTTTTATAGTGAAACTGCCTTTCACTATAAAGTTATAGGGCAGGTTACTACAACAGAAAATGCAATTATAAAACAAATAAAATCATTACAATTATAAAATACGCAAAACCCATTCCAAATGAGCAGAACAATATAAATTCAACAAAATACTTTAATTAATTAATTAACTAGCTCTTCATTGTTTATTTATTAGACTGGGAGACTGGTATGCATGTTTCCCCTTCTGCTTAAAGGGCGCTTGAGGAACAGGCTCTCTAGAAGTCTTTAGAGAATTACTAATTAAAAGATTTTAGTCATGTACTTCGTGTCTATTAAAGCTGTATTCAAGGAAGCTAACAACAGTTCATTTAAAATGCAATAAACCTATGCATAAGCAGTTCACAGATTAGCCTCATTACTTGAAACTTTTACATTTTGCTGACATGGAACTCTCATGATAGGAGTCATTTGCACAGGGAAGCACCTTATGTTATCTCCATCATAGTCATAACATGTTACCCTAGCATAGCTTTATGTACTTCAGTTACTTTTGGTGAGCAATGTTCATGTGTTGTGAGTATAGCATGCTCCTTTATTCATGTAGATTAACTTGTGCTTTCTAGATTTTTGATACATCCTGTGGAAGCAAGACATTGTTTTCAGTGGAGCTTGCCTCCATGTTAGCATGCTTAAGTCAGATCTTCAGCTGGAGATAGGCAATACTTTTAAAGAGATTTAAAAGTAGTTTCACTTCTCACAGTTGTGCATACGTGTTTGTCCTCATCACCTGTACAGTCAAACAGGGGTTTTTTTTTGGGGGGGGGGATATAAAACCTGTAGACCAAAGCCAATGTAGAATGAGTGTACACACCACTAGCAGACATCCTACTTTCAAACCATATTCAGCTATCTCAAAAATACAATAATCTAGTTTTAACATGAGTTTAAGAGATCTCTGATATTTGTTTTTTGGAATATTTCTCCAATCTTAAGTCCTTGTGCCCCACAGGATTCCACTGGCACAGTGAAACTTCTTTTTCCTTTCCTCCCCCCCTCAAAATCTGCTACAGAGGGTCTCCCGCCCTCCAAAGGCAGTTTTGAGGGCACGCAATGGCCTAGAGGGGACAGGAGAGGAGGCAGAAGTTCTGTTACATGCACACAAGTCCTTTGCACCAGGAGAGCTGCCCTGGGTATGACCCACTAGTATCATCTGATTATTATTATTTTTACAAGTTGGCTGTATGTAGCTTTTTCCCCTTTGGCATTTTCCAAAATCAGAATACAACAATCAGTCTGCCCAAGCAACAAAGAAATGCAGGAAAACAAGAAATGTGGAGTGGGTTGCATTTTCTGTATCTCCTCCTGCCCAATTATTGACACATCTGAAGCAGCCAAGGATCCAGGCTGAGAACAGATTTTGCCCAAGGCTGCCAGGATCCTTTAAATATATACTTGATTTAACATTTTAAATTTAATTATACTTTTACCTTTGTTGCTTGAACGTGATGTTGGGCTGTGATTGATGACACATAGAAATTTGGCTATTTGAAGTTCTGCAAATTAAAATCTAGATGTAGGGATAATCTTGTTTTTTTATCAATTGGACATTTTACTATCAAATAAAATAGAGCCCCTAAGAACATAAGTAACTTTTTGATGACCTCCATAACCTTCAAGTGACACACAGACTAGTAGATACCTAGTCTCTGATCCAGATACAGTTTTTCACAACATGTACACAGTCTGAGATGTGTATGGTATTATCGACAGTGCAAATGAGAAAAGGCCTGAAAGCCCTCTGTCTTAATGTGTATCCTAATATGGACACAGGGCACAGGTCTACATGTGCAGTTCCTGATCCAGCAATGGAATCTGTGTGCAGATTTTTCATTCATTTGGAATTAGATCTCACTGAATATGAACACAATGCATATTTGAAGTGTCTTTTCACTGTGTAGTTGTGTGTCTCAGTGATGTCTGTCCTGTAGTTCTGTCACACCTGTTAGAACCTTACTCCTTTGTCCTGCTGATCAGCTCAGGAACTGCCATGTTTTACCTGTACAGAATATATCGATTCAGGAGCTTCAGGCTCAACTTGAGCAAGAGGTGAAACTTCGCCAAGAGGAGCAAGAAACATTTACAGAAAAGATAATTCAGGTAAATGCATAATGCGGTTGTTGGAAGAGACCTTTGTCTGTTTTTCTGACTATCAGAAACTCCTTAGTTTGTGGTAAGAATTTAGAAGTTGCTTAAATGTGTTTCAGTACTGTTTCATAGATAGTTTTGTTGTGGATTGGCAGACTTGTGGAAATACAATTAAGAGAAAATTAATTGGTGTTAACAGGAACTATAATTCTGGCTTTCAGTCATATTGCCAAGATGATAAATCTCAACGTTACAAGGATATTTCTAGATCCATAGATATCGTATGCTGTAAGGTTCTGCAGTTTTCCTACTCTCTATAGCCCAATTCTACCTCTTGAAAATGTTGTAAAACTCACATAGCCCAGGAATCTAATGAAAGGAATGGCCTCTGAAAACAGTATTATTGTTTTTCGTAGGGTATGTTCTAGAACTACTTTTGTGCATTAAATTTATCTGGTTCGTTATCGGGTCTAAATCAATTGACATGGAGATTTGGCCTCTGTTACATTTCCCCCCCTTGCTTACAGCCAACTAAAATGTACATGATTATTTCAATCAATATATGTTAAAAGTAAATCTTTCAGGATAAGAAGTCAGGATAGGACTTAAATAACTTTTTTTTCCAAACAGAAACTTACCACAAAGTAGTTTTCTTTTGTTCTTTTCATTGTTTCATTGGTAATATTTGGCAGAGATAAAACAGATGTGAAAGTGGTAGACGTGACTGCGTGGCAAGTATGCTTTCCTACTGAAGCATAAATATTCTAAAACTATGGCAACTCTGAGATTGTGGACTGTTTTATTTCTTTATTTGTTGGTTAAATAGCCTGGGTCTTCCCAGGCTATTTATTTGGATATATGCAGATAGCATACAATAGTAGCCATATTCTCCCTCAATAGGATTTCTTCTGCTTCCAATGATGATTCCCTTATTGTTTTAGCAGCATTGGTCCTGGAAGGCAAGTAGCTCTCTCTCCTTAAGTCAGAGAAAGTAATATTTCAGAAAGGAGAAAGGGAGAGGAAGGAGCTATAATTATTGAAGTTCTGGGTGTCTTATAATGACTAGTCAAAAATAAATTTAGCAAAGGCAATTCACATACAGCAGTAGCAGGGTCAGCGTCATATGGTGAGCATATTGAAAGGATGCAATGAAGAGAACATAGAGCATAAAAATGTTTATGCTGCACAAGTCTGATGCAGCTTGTTAAAGTAAATGAGCTGTGTATTTCCTCAGTAGATTATTCACATACGCTTAATTAAATTAAGGCTACAGCCTGTGTTCTTCAGGTTCCTCAAAAATCAGATCCGCTGCCAAACACAGTTAGCTGATGATAATTAGAATGAGCAACCTTGGTTTATCTTGCCCAGATTTTAAAAACACACACAAGAATGAACCCTCAAGGGCGATATCCTGTTGATGTTGTGCATGGTTGTTCTGTTCAAAGCTGGAAGAGGACCATCTGCAGAGCCTACGGAGGAAAGACTTGGAGGTGCAAAGCTTAACTTTGCAGAACAAATTGGAAGAGAAGACCTGGAGTCAGGAGAAAAACCTGATGCATCAAGAACTCAGGCATTTCAAGCAGAACACCTTTCTCCTCTATGCCAAACTGAAAGGGTTGCTGAAACAGTGGCGACAAGGCAAGAAATTGGAGGAGCAAGGAGAGGATGTTCTTAAGGTAAGTGTCCCGTGTCATTTAATGGAGTGAAACTACAAGGAAAAGTTATGTGGATAGTTCTGCTAGGAACAAAATAGATTTTAAGAGATAACCTTGCTTCAAGTTCAGGTGTCAGAGCATCCTGAACTGTAGTATTGGAATCAGTGTCACATTGATTATAGAGCAGAAAAATGCTGAAGTGGAATCTGAAGCTACCTGTCTCTGGTATTTTTTTTGAAAGAGATTTGCAGTGTGGGCCTAGCTGTACAGCTATTCTCAATTACCTGTTACTTATCTCCACATCAGTCCTGTCTGACACAAATCTGTGAAGCAAATCAATAGCCTTATAGGCCGTTTTTCCTCACCCAACACCCAGGGTCCCAAGAACCTGGCACTGAACTGAAAAGATTTACAATAATCAGTCTATTAATAGTTTCAGATCAGTTTGGAGGTCATAGCAATATTGTGCATTTTAGGTAAAACGTGCTCTGAATAATGAAAATACGCTCTGTTTGAAAACTAACAGAAGAGCCCTAAAACAGCATTTTGTGAGGAAGTAGAAGTGGTTGTCATTCATTCTGTTTTCCACCCTCAAAATATTTGGCTCTATCATGAGTGAACTGTTTTCTTATGCAGCTCCTAAATAATGCATTATAGAAAATAGGAAGGAAGAGAAAAGCATATTGCTCTTTGAGACTACTCTACTAAACCACCTCAGGAGGGGGAAATTACCCTTTGAATCCAAATCATTCAGTCTCGCACGTAGCTAACATGTTTATCATGTCTGCTATGTTCGTTCACATTTGTTGGCTTTGTACTAAACTAGATATCTACATTACCAAAAGTGAGAAGAATATGTTACCTTTTGAATGAGACAAGGGTTTGAGCTGTGGAATTTTACATTTTTTAAGCTTCCATATATGCTATAAAATTTCCATCACTATTGTAGTGGCCATATCACTAATAATGATGATTTATAATGCCTATTGTATGCATATTGGCCATAATGGAGTTAGTCTGCACTTAATATTACCATGCCAAAGCAAAATCTCTTCAAGGTATTAGACACTGTTTAATATTATTAAAATTAAACAAATGGCATGTTTAAAATAGGTAATGATCTTCTTCCTTGAATCTGAAATATACATTTGCCATTGCACATTTACAGCTTGAACCAAAGCTATGTGTGCACAAAGCCTTCTTCCCATCCCAACTTTATCTTCTAAGGAATGAATAATTCCTTATGGAATAAAGTCATGGAAGGGAATGAGGAAACCCTGCACATGCAGTGTAACACATGCTTGTTCGGAACTTCTGGATCCAAACATTCAGACAGCAATGTTATCTTTGATTTTATTCACTTGCTATTTTAGTTGGAACACCTTGAGTCCCTGCCAGAATTCAGCTTTCAGTCTGAACAAAAGCATGATGAACGGGACGAAGACGAAGAGGAGGAAGTGTTTGGACTGGCAGACTACTCCCAACATTCCACCGTGGAGATAATGGACCATGGACCACCACTGCAGACTGCAGAATTGTTGCAGCATCAAAAGCAGGTACCAAGGCAGGTGCTTACTGTGTCTGATACTTACTTTCCTTGGATTGTATTCAACATTAACCATACTCAGTGTAGACCCACTCAGGTTAATGGACACTGCTCACTTAGGTTCATTAATTTCAATGGGTTTGCTCTGAGTAGAACTTGGTTGGTTATAATCCCTCATGTTCTGCAATATGTAAAACTCATTTAATCACAGCATGCCAGTGATCCTAATTACATAGTGATGTTAATGTGTTTCACTTATTATGTTTATATTAATCAGGATAAAAAGGAATGATATGATTGCTGGTGCCTTTCTGACTGATACTTTAAATGAAATATTCCATTTCCTATCATGGCTTATTGCTCAGAAACATATATATTTGTCTGATGGTTTGCAATATCTACAGGCTCACCACCTAAGCATCATAGCAATGTACCATAACCATTTGTGTGTGGGGCTTTTTATTTCATATAAATAATTAAAGAAGGAGACATATGCTTTAATTTATTTAATGAAAGATAGATATGGTGCAAGAAAACCCTTTTACTGCAATGGGTGCTTTTAAAACAAGCTACTTAATGTTAATATCTTCTCCCCCACCCCAAGTGGATTGAGAGGTTTACCTATTTTGAGCTTGACCTAGATTCATATGCAGCATTTTGGCCTCAGGAAATACCAATAGATACATTAAATCAGCAGTGTGGTTTCCAAAATAGCAGCAGTGACTTGGGGTGCAATGCAGAGCCTTTAAAAATCATTGGCTGTTTATCCAGTGCTCTTTGAGATAAAGTCTTTGAAAAGGCTCTATTTCAGGATGAATATACGAGTCAGAATTATGTATTTAGAGGGGAAGTAACTCACTGTTTAATAAGATATTCCAAAGGCAGTAAAAAAAAAATACTATCAATACAATGACACTAATACAATTCAATAAAGCACTCAAATAAAAACAAACAATAATGACAAATCAAATAACTATTTTAAACAGCAGTGACAAGCAGCAATTACAGCACTGATATATTTAGCAACCAAATGCTAATTTGGAAAAAAGTTAAAAATAAAAAGATCATACTTTCAGAACTGGTGGATTTCTTGTGGGAGATGGTCTGCAATTTTGTGGCTGTAATGAAAAAGGCCTTCTCAAGCATCCTAATGAGTAGTCACCATTCCCCATTCTTGGACTGCTTTAGGTGTAACATCATTTTTAGTAAAATTGGCAGCTGTTGCTTTATTTACTCAGAATGCACTGCATTAAACCACAGAGCCTAGGACTTGCCAATCAGAAGGTCGGCGGTTTGAATCCCCGCGATGGAGTGAGCTCCCGTTGCTCAGGCCCTGCTCCTGCCAACCTAGCAGTTCGAAAGCACGAAGTGCAAGTAGCTAAATAGGTACCGCTCCAGCAGGAAGGTAAACGGCATTTCCGTGCGCTGCTCTGGTTCGCCAGAAGCGGCTTAGTCATGCTGGCCACATGACCGGAAGCTGTATGCCAGCTCCCTCGGCCAGTAAAGCGAGATGAGCGCAGGAACCCCAGAGTCGGTCACAACTGGACCTAATGGTCAGGGGTCCTTTAATGCAATTTTTAATTATGGAAATAAAATTGGGCAATACTTCCCTGACTCATTGTCTCTAGAACCTCTGCCTATAGAAAGGACATCCTGACAGTAGTAATCCAGCGACTATTAAGACACAGAATAGCATTCCTGAACAAATGGACTACAGTATATGATATTTCTGTGAAAGTAGGTCAAAAACAAGAAAGGATGTAACTGCCACTCTAGAGTAGCCCATGTGTTGTTTTTTATAGGCTGTCTGACACGTTCAACATCTGCAGAAGCTTCTCTTCTTCTGGCCCACAAAGGGCATTTTCTTTAGAATCAATTTGAGAGAAGGGAGGGATGGGGGAGCAACAGTGGTTGCCCAGACACATTAAGTTTTGACTCATCGGGACTTGAAATAAGCCATATCATTTGACCTCAGGAAGAACCTACCACCACCCCTATTGGTCCAAATTAATAAGCAGAAGAAACATCAAGCTATATAGTCCTGCACAGTGCAGGGTAATCCTGGCTTCCATGTGAACTTTTGCTTTTTATTCATTCACATACCGCTACCGTGCTGAATGTTTCATTGTGAATGGAAAGGATAAACAGCAAAAGTAGAAAAACGTAAACATGGATGCTAGGTAAAGGTAAAGGGACCCCTGTCCATTAGGTCCAGTCGTGGCTGATTCTGGGGTTGTGGCGCTCATCTCGCTTTACTGGCCAAGGGAGCCAGCGTACAGCTTCTGGGTCATGTGGCCAGCATGACTAAGCTGCTTCTGGCGAACCAGAGCAGCGCACGGAAACGCCGTTTACCTTCCTGCCGGAGCGGTACCTATTTATCTACTTGCAATTTGACGTGCTTTTGAACTGCTAGGTTGGCAGGAGCAGGGACTGAGCAACGGGAGCTCATCCCGTCGCGGGGATTCGAACCGCCGACCTTCTGATCAGCAAGTCCTAGGCTCTGTGGTTTAACCCACAGTGCCACCCGTGTCCATGGATGCTAGCCTTGGTGTATTTTCACTCTGCCTATCTTGTAGGGCGTCACCGCAGTGCAAAGCACCAGGGCACATATCCTTGTTTTTCCTCAGAGTTGTCCTTACCTTCAGAGGAATGTATTCTTGCAGTGACTACTGGATAGCTCAGTTGTTTAGAGCATGGTGTTGATAAATACAAGCTTCAATCCCCACATGGGACAGCAGCATATTCCTGCATTGCAGGGGGTTGGGCCAAATAATCCTCAGGATCCCTTCTAACTCTACAATTCTATCATTCTGTGACTCTGTAGAGGCAAGATCTAGTAATAGCCCCGCTTCCTGAGAGAAGCAAAACAAAGGTCCTATTTGACTTTTGAACTAGGAACCTGGATTTTTGATCACACTGAGAATTGCCTCTCAGTCATCATAGTACTGTTACACACAATGATAGACTCTATTTCATGGCTTTTCATAGAAATGTACTTTCTTCCATAACATTTTTTCACAGGCATAGGAGTTAAGCAGCATCCTTTTATGCTTTCTTTTCATCTCTCTTCTGAGCTATGGTGCAGGCTTCCTTTAATCCAGGGGTCAGCAACCTGTTTGAACCAGCAGGCATATTTTGAATTTTGAGAGAGTGCCGTGGGCCTCAGTCACAAAATGACTGTCGTGGAGACTTGCCATAACACAACATGACTGCCATGGCGGGCAGTGGTGGCGACATAATACAAAATTAGAGGCTTTAGAGTCATTGCTGCTCCCCCTGGCCCCAGATAACCTCAAGTCAGCTACATCTTGCAGGTCCTGATGGTGGAGATCACAGTATTGATTTTACACACACACACACTTCATATAAACATTTCTCCCCATGAACACACTCTCTCTATCCAAGTACGCCTCTCCTTCTCACACTGACATGGGCATCTACAGGATTTGGGGGGTGGTCAGTGAGGGGCAAATGAAAACACTTAAACAGTACAGCAGGGTAATTTCTCATTTTAGGTGCTGGATTTGCAATCACTGGGTTAGGCATTCCAGAGAAGATGAGATGAAAAGGTTTTGAAAACATAGTAATAAGGGTGTGGGTTCCCACTCTGGATGTGCCAGGCACCAATACACTTTGGATGCAGCCGAGTTTGATATTATGGACATCTTTGACTTGGTATCTTAAAGTTGTGGGCTGAATCGTTTTGTTTATTTTATAAACCAGGAAATCGCACTATAGACAAGCCAGGCTTCTGAGGCTTTTTTCCTCCTATTTCTTTGGTAGGAAGCTAGCATTCGGGGTGTTTTTCATGCAGCTAATCACCTTGACAAGAACGTAGAAAACAAGAACAACAAAAAACCAACCACCCCTTATTTATCCCGAGATGTTTGAAAATACAGTTTAATGTATTAAAATTACAAACAGCTTTTGCTTCTGCAGGCACGAGAAAACCGCAGGCTTCTACATGCCCTAAAAATACTGTTGGATGACTTCCGATCTGAGCTCCGGGATGATGAACGAGAACGTCATGGCCTCCAGCAGCAGTATGCCACTGACAAAGCTGCTTGGGAAGTGGAATGGACTAAACTGAAGTGTCAGCTGGAGCAGGTACAGTTCCCATTGGGGAAGGGCAGTAGCTCAGCAGCACAAGATCTGCTCTGCATGCAGAAGGCCCTAGGTCCAATATTTGGCATTTGCAGGTAGGGCAGGGAAAGGCCATATTTTCAAATCCTGGAGACCTGTTGCCAGTGGGTGTAGACCACTGAGCTAGATGGACCAGCTGTCTAACACAAATAAGGTAGCTGCAAATATGTCTGAAACAACAACTTTGAGTGAACCACCAGCTCTTATTATTGTTTAATCAAATTGTAGGATGGATTCAGGTGCACTTACTCAAATAACTAGTGCCTCATTCTCTAGATGGTTTCCCTGATGTGATGCTGTTTGGAATAGCTATTTAATGGGAGTAGACAGTATTAACATTTTGCTTTTATTTAATCTTATTAAATTGTAGAATCTTATTAAGTCCTAGAAAGTGTGGTTTTGTGTCTCCCTGTTGTAAGTGGTTTTGATTTTTAATTTAATGTAAAAATTTTATGTTTGAGTAATTTATTAATTGTGCTTTATTGCATTTATTCAGTAAAGTATTGCAAATTAGAGCAGATGGTTTGTGGCAGGCATGTTCTAAGCCATAACAAATGTATTATTTGATGCTATTATTTTACATCAGGCACAGGTGGTGAGAGCAAAAATGACAAGAATCCTAAAAAAAATTCATTTGGTAGCATTACCTAATTTCAGTGAGGATAAAAGTCAGAAAGCTACTGGATGTAATGAATGATAAATTAAGTGGGTGGGGGGGCATGAATAGTAATCTTGCAGCTTAGGTAGAAATGCAGTTGTGTCTGCAACTGGTGATTGCCAGTGAATGGGGATTCTTCATTCTTTCCCTGCACAAGGTCTTCACCATAGACACCAAGAATAGGGAGACTGTGTAAGATCTCCATCAAGCTATTCATGACACATGCCTAGAACAGCAGACAGAGATGACTGCTTCACAGCTTTGTTGCATAGATACAGACAGATCACTTCTTTGAAACTGCTTGGTTCAATTGGAAGATATTTTAGCTGAATGTAATCCTAATTATTGGTAATGAACAAGGAAGCTCCCAGGATGTGTTTATAGGGCTTGGGAAGGGCTGCATATCTGTGATTTCAATATGGCATCTTTGCAAGGAACAGGGCATTGGATACATAAATAGGAGAACACCCCCACTCCCTTCACAGGCTTACTCTGATTCATAATACAGCTATCCTCCAGCTCAGATAATAGCTTGAACTGCAAGAAAAGCTGTGGATTGTAATACTTGCCTTAGAATGAAGACAAATATAATGAGGTGCTGAGGTTGTATTCAGAGCCAAAGAATTACAAATTTTGGTGACATGTCTAATTGGATTTGCAGCCTTAATCTAGCAATTAGGCAAGTATGGAGTCCTTGTATGACTATTGTACTATAGTTGCCTCTTTTAGAGCAAAGCTGTGCTTCAGAATGTTAAGGCATGTTTGTAAGAATCCCCTTGTCAACTGGGTAGCAAAGCCCAGCCTTTACATCTGCCATCAAAAGAGAAGTTGACACTAACAACCTTTGTTTCATTTATAGCTGGAAGGGAAGAGCGAAAAAGCACAGAGTGAGACTGGTCTTGAAGCAAAAGCAGCTTTCAAGAGAGAGAGGGAGGAGCACAAGAAGCTCCTGGCTGACAGTCACCGATTAGTTATGGACTTGCAGTGGCAAATCCAGCACAGTGAGAAGAACTGGAATAAAGAAAAGGTAGAGCTTCTGGAGCAGCTCAGCAAGGACCGGCAGGAGTGGGAGAGGCAAAAGAAGGAACTGCTGAGAAGGCTAGAGCAGGTAATTCGGATGTCAGGTCATGATGGAATGTGTCTGCACAACTATATTACAAAAATTAAAAAGGAACTATACGGCTTTCTTTGTATACAAAACAAAAAACTGCACAAACAGGGTGAACACTCTTTGCTTCATTGGTTCTCATAACAGATAATTACAGAAGCCCAAGGGACCTAAGGAAGAATGCTTCCAAAACTAATTTTAGAAGCCTCACTAGTGTATAGGAAATTAGTTAAAGGTTAAAGGCTATTTCCTGTCATTTCACTTCTCCCACAAAGGCAGAGTCACTCTGACCTTTACAATGCAAAGCTTTCTTGTTCTCAGAACACAAAATTATATTCCTTTTCCTTCTTAAAAAATCAAGATCTGCACATTGTAGTCTACTTCTCATTTTTAATCCTGTGGTTTCCTCTCACAAGAATGATTTCCTAGTGTGAGTAGTTGTGATGTGTGAGCCATAACCCTCTAACCAATCGCAAGGCTGTCTCTGAAAACTCTACGTCTCATTGAACCTTACTTATAGTCCAAATGAAATATCCTACCTCAGGTTGATCTTTTGGATACTACTGAGTCATATAAAAGCTGAATTCTACTGTCAGCTGTTATAACAGAAAACCTCAGAAGACAGATAGTCACCTCTTTAGTAACCGTATCAGCGTAGCTGTTTCATGACAGGCTACCAACCGGGGGAAAAACCCTGTACATTGTATCTCCCAGCTTCAATAAAGCAAACTTTCAGTTCACTGAGGAAGAGGAAATGACTATTCACAAACCAAATAATTTATAAACAGAACAACGTTCTTGCATTTAAATTCATTTTCATAATGTTAATTCCTAGGCGGCAGCACTCCTCTTTAACCTAGGAAACTTTCAGAAATTTGTACATCTTTGGATCAATATAGCTTCTTAGCAGTTAGCTAGATGGTACTTTCTGTGGAAGCAATTAACTTATCTCTGGTATTTTGCATGGCACTCTGCATGTTTGGAGACATCACAGCGATATATACGTAAAACAAGAAGGCAAATAATCTTAAGCATCTAAAAACAGAAATAGAGGATTGTGGCATAATCAATATGTATTCACCATAATCACTGACCATTTTTCTTTCTGTTTACTTTAACCATAATGTAGGAAAGCAAAACATCCCCAGATTTATGAAGCATGAAATAGATCATTTGGGATAATTGTGGAAATAGAAGCATGCTGACCTACATTTCTCAAGGCTTCCAAATATTCTCTTTCAAGTTCACTGCTATAGTGTTATCTCTTGAGACACAACATCAAGCCTAATTTTGTACTGATGGTGACTGCACGCTTTTAGGTTTTCAGATTAATTATTTCACAGCTCTTGTTTTTTTGCTGTTTAATTATGAAGAGGAACCTTTTGCTGTTCTAGTATATTTATGTACACAGTTCATTGCCAAATCCTTGAACATGTGCATATATTGGAGACTAGTGATAGACTTCAAATGTGATTCAGCATATGCCACCCCTGCAAGTCTTCCTGTGTCTGTGTTGACCACAGATTCACCCCATGCACAGCAGACAGGGGAAGTTTACAATTTTAAGTGCTGATAGCAGGGTCTACCAGGTGGAAAGATGCTAAAATCCCACTTAATGTGGTGCCTGTGTCCCCAACAGCTTTCTACTCTTCCCAGCATGAGCTAAATAATTATGCCTGACACCTATAATCCACACAGGCACTACACTAGTTGTTGCACTGATCTGTGTTAGTCCAAATAAAAATATTAGGGTGAGAACAGATGGTACAGACAAGTTGGAACCTTTTCTGATATCTCCTTCCCCTCCTAAGTATAGCACTAAAGCAGCTGGAGGATACTGCCATTTGAATGCAGCCTAACAGAGCAATCCTGTGCATGTTTACATGAAAGTAAATCCCATTTTGTCCTATTAAATGTATTTAGGATTGAAGCCTAAGGCATTGAACAAGAAGTTTCCATGTAAGCGTGCTCTTGCCATCAGAAACACAAACTAGGAACTGCCTTTTCTTCAAACATCTGAGTTGAAACGATTTTATGGAAATAATCAATCTTTCTACCTTTTTATTTGAAAACATCAATATGATATTTAAGTTTCATATATATCTATATCTAAAGTGGTATAAGATGAAATAAGCAGACAACTACTGTGAAAGCTACTCTGTATTCAGTTGGTGTATGGTTAATTTCTTTCTCAGCTTCAGAAAGCAAGTCCACAAAGAGGAGACAACATTCTTTGTGACTCAAAAGAAACTAGCCTTCATTCATTTTCAAATCAAGTGCCTCACCCAATGGGGTCAAGATCCTACTCTGATTCAGACACCATGCAATTTGAAGATCGATCACTGTCGAAACTGAAGGAAAGTGACAGGTGCACTGCCACAGAAAACCTCTTTCTGGAAACACTGTCCCTTGATTCTCCGGATGATTCTGATGAACGGCAGCCTCAGAAACTGGAACGAGAAAGGTTCTTAACTTGTGCAAATGAGGTGCGTCCATTGCTCTTTGTATTGTCAGCTCAGTTGTAATCCCATATCCCTGCTATTTTGTCAAAGCGTGCTTTCCACTGCCGTTTATATAGGGCCTTCTGGGGAATCAGTTCATTCTGGGAGTTGACTGTATGATTTAGCCAGATGCACATTGGATCTTTCTTGCAGTGACTCTATTCAAATATTATGCTGCATATAGCCAGGGCCAATGCACCCATGAGGCAAGTTGAGGCGACTACCTCAAGCAGCAGGATCTACCGGGGCAGCCAATGCTGATTTTGATCTTTCTCACCCCACCCACCCGCCTTGTTTCTGATGTATCTCTTCCCTCAACTGGTTCTTCCCTGGCACCATTTTGGGGTCCACCTCAGGTGCCAGAATGTCTTGGGCCAGCCCTTACATATATTGTGATATAGATGCCACAATCTCACATCCCTACCATGGATAAGGAGAAGTTTGGTGGGGGACTGTGTTCCCTGATCTAGGCTATTAAAATTAGAATTGATTATGGAGAACTTCCATTTTTTGCCATTGTTTATCATTTGTCTTTTTAATAGGGCTCTAAACAGTTATCTTTTTAAATTGTAGAACAAACTCTTTCTATAAAATAGAAGTTTTTAAAAGCTGGGCACAAAAATTATGACTAGGGGGAGGTTGTTCCTACACTGCATGTTGTGAGGAATCGTTATGGTATTCCCCATATGATTAACGTAATGGTCTGCCCACACATTTAACAGCAATGGTATAATGAGTTTCAGTTGATGCTAATTATCGATATCTAGTAAATTTATAATGAAATAATGTCAAAAAGTAGATTTTATCTGATCTCAGCACTACAAGGTCACTAATATCAAAGAGAGTAGCACAGAAAAGCAGCTTCAGACATGCAAATATAATATGAGATATGTACTAGTTGTCTTTATAATCATTAGAACTAAAAAAAGTTGTGCTCTATTGAGAGATAATTAATCTGTGTGTCTGGTCTTAGCAATGTGAGGGTTATTTGTTTATACTAGTCAGTTCAACTGGGAATACTATACACAGATGCATATAAAGAAAAAAATCCTTCTTAATTATCCAAATATTGGAAGCACGGGGGAGGTCAGATATGCCTTCAAAGGGTTTTCAAGAATTTGGTATATTGAATAAAGTTAATGCAAATACAGCCCACAGGCGCCCAATATAGGCATATATGCAGGCTCAAAATTAACAGTTTTTTTACTTTCAGGAAGAAGAAATGCACAAGGGAAATCTTCAAAGGTGAGTAAAGTGGGGTGAAACATAGCACAAAATGAATTACATGAATTATATTAACACACTTACCCTAAATTGGCTTCAAGATCTTAAAACTAGATACCAGAGGTTCAGTTCTAGAATTTTACTGTGAATAAAACTCCCCACTATTCTGTAACATAATATTATGGAGAGCAGTCACACATGTGATTTCCTCCCTTAATGATGACTTCTTATTTTTTGAATCCCTTTGTTAATATATTGCATGACATTTAGTTTCTTCCTCAGTTTACCCATCAATAGCCGTGGTTAAGTGTAGGACAAAACAGCACAGAGATTCAAATATAAAGTGAAAACAAAGCAGATTGCATTTTCTTTAAAATAGTGATATTGGCAGGTGGTGATGCTTATGTGTATGGTTACTTAAACTAGACGGTTAACTTCACTTTGTTAAAGTTGCTTTAAATAAGAATGTTTACACTATATGGTTACTACTACCCTAAATGATACAACAAATTCAATACAGACTTCCTGTCAATTTTGTTAATTTGATGCTATGTGCTTCCTTCTTCAGGGCAATGTCTGTCTCCTCTATGTCAGAGTTCAAGCGTTTGATGGACATTTCTCCTTTTCTTCCTGAAAAGACGCTGCCTTCTTCCAGCAGCAAGGAGGAGATAACACCTCCTCTGTCTCCTGATGATCTGAAATACATTGAGGAATTCAACAAAACCTGGGATTACAACACTACCAGAAAAAATGGTGGAGCTGTCGAAAGACCTGGAGATACTTGGGCAGAGAGGACAGAGATTGGGAAGGCAATCAATAATTCAGTTCCAGATCCATTCCAACCACCTTCATGGTACCTCACCACCAGTGTTACTATGACAACTAATACCATGACCAGCCCTGAGCACTGCCAGAAACAACCACTGAGGAGTCATGTTGTTGCAGAAAAAATGGGAGTTAAGGTCTTTCATAGTCCACCAGTTGTTCGCAGGTTTGAAACCTCAGTGGTAGCTAGCAATGAAGGGAAAAGCCAGTCAGAACCAGACTTTTTGTTCCCTATGACCAAAGTTAAGGGAAATGGGGGCGAGACAAAAGGTGCTTCTTCAGAAGTGTTTGGGCGATGGTCTTCTGACCTCTCCAAACACCACAACGATTTCCTGGAGAGTGGTATTCATCCTATTGAACGTCCTATTTGCACTACTTTGGGTTTTGCGTCCTCCTTGCACAGCCTGGAGATGTCCAAAAACATGAGTGATGACATGAAAGAGGTCGCTTATTCTGTCAGAAATGCAATACGTTCAAATTCAACAGAGCTTCAGTTCAAAGACACAGCTTGTCAGACTAATGGGTTGAGAACTACGGGCACACAGACCACTCAAACTATCAGTGTGGGCTTACAGACAGAAACTTTGCGTAGCATCACAAGCAGTCCACACAGGTGTCTGACACCAAAAGGGGGTACTACACCTGTCTCATCACCATCAAGAAGCTTAAGGAGCAGGCAGGTGGCACCTGCTATTGAAAAGGTCCAGGCCAAATTTGAACGCACATGTTGTTCTCCCAAATATGGCTCCCCAAAATTACAGAAGAAAGCCTTTTCCAAATCAGATCAGCCAAATAACAGGACATTACCAAGCACACCCCAGAAAGGGTTCAGTGAATCTGCTTGGGCCAGATCAACCACCACAAGGGAGAGTCCAGTTCATACTACTATCAATGATGGCCTCTCCAGTTTATTCAATATCATTGACCATACCCCTGTGGTTCATGACACCCTCCAAAAATGCTCTAGGTCCAGCAGCCGATCAAGGTCAGCAGAACCCAGGTCAGAACTGGGTCCTATGCAAGACATGTGCACAAGTATCCGTGGTAGGTCACCCAGTCCCCTCCGTTTTGGCACAGAGCTACAAAAGGATGAAGGAGCTGAAACGACAAGTATCAGGCAGGACTTATCAGCTCCTCCGGGATATACTCTTACAGAAAATGCTGCCAGAATTCTCAACAAGAAACTTATGGAGCATGCCTTAAAGGAGGAGAAAAGGCTAGCTTCATACAGCCCTCCCAGTCTTAGCAATGAGAACAGCACAGGAGAAATAAACAAAGTTGAACCAGGGTCCATTGAGGTAATGAGTTTTGTCCTTGTATAGTAAACCTTTTTAGATGATGAATGTTATTTGTGAATGTTGATTAAAATATAAATGTGCAAACATTTTTAAGCAAAAGGGAATTGACTGTATAATGTATGGTTCTTTGAGACTGCATTTTGGAAGAACTTTAATGCAACACTTTTCTATGCTTCACACATATTTGTGGGGGGGACGTGGCATTTGTATATAATAGAGATATAAGTAGCAATGGGTCTTTAAATGAATGCACCATGATGATGGATCCAGCCATAAGATGATCATATTGAGGGGTGTTTCATTGTAATATATCTGAAAAATAACACAGCAGTTTTCATATGCGGTATAATTTAAAATATTAATTAACTTGTATTTCATACAGTAACACCATGACAATTTTTAATGTATGTCAGTACAATCTTAAGCAAGTTTATTTATCAAAAGTAAATTCTGCTGAATGCAGTAGAACATAAAAAATTTGTTTTAGGAATTGGAGATTTCATATACACAAAAGGCACTATTTACCACACTCGAGTATCCATGCACAATTGCTTTGAAACTAGCCAGTTTTGTGATCCAAAGCCTCCTGAGACAAATAGGTTTTCAGAGCCTTTCTGAAAGTCTGGAAAGTGGTAGCACTCTGGAGGTCAGCTAGCGATGAATTCCAGACACAGCTTTGGAAGCTACTGACTACAACAAATTTGCCCACAAATTTACTTTTTGGATGGAGGAAACTTTCAGCAGGGCCTCTTTCTTTGATCTTAGAAGATTTACAGAAGGATGCAGTGTCCATAATGCATCCCAGCAAATATCTTCCTACTACATCTTTGAACCCCTACGTATTCTACAATCTTCATAAGTATCCTGCAACATTGCCGAATTGCTTTTTGAGCTGCTCCAGATGTTAATATTTTTCTGGATAGTTCACCTGTGCCATCATGTTTGAAAACTATGTGAGGGTTGCGCCTTGGGTTACATGTATTTGAAAGCAGAGCAGCACAATAGACATGTGATTTTCCCCAAGGTTGTATGGTTTTTCTCCTGTGTGAAAATTATGTATAAAGATGATTAGGAAATGTTTATTGCTGATCAAGTATGGTCTTGTGGATAGAAGTTGGCTTGGGTCAAGGTTTAAATCCCAGCTCAGCAATGAATTCACTTAGGGGCATGTCATGGTAACTCTTGTTATTCTTGAATAAGTGCAGTATTTGCATTTGCATTCTAAATATTTTATATTCTTTTTTAAAAAATGTGTGAATATGCTATTTAAATGGATCTTAATTATAATGACCATTTGAAATTGGTTCACTGTACCAGTTGTGGCATTAAGACTGCAATCCTGTACCTACTTACTTGGGAGTAAGCTCCATGGAACTCTAAGTAGGCATGTCTAGAATTGCACTACAATTTCCAAAACTAGTAACTGAAGTTAACCTTAAATATACATATTTTATAATCCCTTAACATAAAGTAATAATTAAGAAGTTTTACATAAAGGCAAACACGTTGTGTGGGCAACTTTTATAACCAAATGTCACATACAGGGAAAAAGAAATATTGCCATTGTGTGGTGTGTTACTACTCTTGTTATATCATCTTTTCACAATGGCAATTACTTCACAGGAACTGACTTCAGTTGCTTGGATGTTGTTTGAGCTCACTTCCATAGTTCCACAAAAAGATACAAGTCTCGTTGGGGGTGCTTCCAGACAGGTCTTAATATTGTAAATGTGTTGTAAACAATGATTATTTTTTAAACTTACTGGATTTTCCTCAAAAAGGGTAAATCCAAATTAATTTGGGGAGTGAGGATACAGGCTGGCATTTTTATGGCGGTGACATTGTGGGAACACTGCAAAAATGTTGTATGCAGGAAGAGAACCACTCCCACAGCAAATGCTTTTCTAGAAGCACCCTGAGTAATGCTCCACAAATATGTGGGATGGTGAACTTTGAAAGGCTCAAGTCCAAAGGATGGACATTTAAAATGTGATAGCACGATGAAAAGTTTATGGAATAATCACTTAGAGCAAGTCAGTTTAGGAAGTTACTTGCTAATGGCTTCTATTCAAATTACCAAATGCATTTTTGCTCGTTTGGTGGCTGGGCTGAACTTAAAATGGCATGCCATGTGAAGTAAAGCATCCTGTCAGTATTGCTCCTTTCTTGATTCTGGCAGTGGGAGTGCCTTACGTATCTGTTCCAAATTAGCCAATCTGCTCATACTGAAAGAATAATTTATTTCTGCTCTGCAGGAATAATGCATCACTGATTTTTGAATACCCGCATGGAATGCCAGTTAGAAGCTTGTTGCTATTTCATTTGTGCTTCTTACAATTGTTTTCTTCAAATTTTCCATTTAGGATGCCTTCTGTGATACTTGCTAAAATATAGAATATTTGTGTGCATTCACATGCATATGTGTATTATGTATACACATGTTAAATACACACTGGTGGTTTTTTCATATATGTGTATATATATATTGCTCTGTCCCAGGGCAATATGATAAGTTTTGTATCCTCAAAATGCTGTTTTCGAAATGCCCTCTACATCTGCCCTGACCCTACCTCTGCCAAACATCTATCTGATTAGGAAGTCATGGCATCTATATACACGAAACTTCTTCAGGTCACACAAAAAACAAAATGTCTGGTTTTTCCTTGAGCTGCCAAGAACTTTGCATATATCCGCCATAGTTCTGTTATTCAAGAAGCTGGGAAAGAGAAGAGCTCCTGAAGAAAGTCCAGCAGGCCACATTATTTGGCAAGAGAGCTGCTGTAGCTGCTGTGCTGTGTCATGCTTCATATTCTGTTCCTAATTGCGTGGCCCTCGCTGCATACTGCCCTCTCTGCTGACAACCATTTCCAGCGCTAGAACAGATGGCATCAGAATGCTTTCTCTTTTTTTGCTTCTGCATTTTCTCCCCTTCCTTAAAGGCAAAGACAAAACAGCAAATTCATATCCACTAGATGTGATTTGTCACCCAGTCTTTCTGATTCTTGCTATATGAACCCATTCCTTGCCTTTAAAAAAAAAAAATAGACAGAAACTTTCTAATTTCAAAACTTATTCGGACTTTGGAATACATTTGGAACAAGTGGAATACATGCTTACCAATCAGATATAGTCTTTAATGCCATACCCTCATGTAAAGACAATGCTAAAAATTGGGGGTGTCTCCCATTTGCTTTCTCAGTGTGATGTTAGCAGTTTACTGCATCTTTCACATAGCCTCTCCAGTTATGGCTGTGGCATAATAAATGTTAGCAGTGAAATATGGAGAGCTCTTCAATGCTGACTACATTTCTCTGGTTTAAATATTCTTTCCAACCTACTTCCTCTTTTTTTCCCTCTGTCTGTCTATGTCCAGAACCAAACTGTCTTACTAACTGCCCCCTGGGGACCCTAACCCTGCCTGCCTCACTGCTGTAAGTCCTTTCTACCTTTGTTTCCAAAATTCTTTACTTAAAACAACAACTTTTACTTGGTGTAGAAGTATAAACCGAAGAAACAGCAGCATTCCCTGTCACTGGCATGAGCTGACAGTGGATTCCAAATAGAGAATGAAGCTTTTGAGTCATATAGCTCTGTCCTCTAAAACATTTCCCACCAAATATTATTCATTAGTCACTGTCATGAACACTCTCAAACCAGCATGTTTCCTCTTCAACCAGGTCCATTCCATGGAACTAAGTTGAACCAAATTAGTTTTAATGCAGCTTTGCTAGCTATAGGATTCTGCCCACAGTGCAGTTTTGAAGGTATTTTTACTTGTTGTTCTTTTGTTCTCCACCATTTATTGCACCTGTTAATATAATTCTTCAGTTTCCAGATAAATAGGGCAGAGGCAGCTGCCTTGTTAGGGTCATGCTTTAGATGCAGTAACATGCTCCATTGCTTGTGCTGTGGCAACTGAAGACCAATCCACAGGATAAGGTCAGTAAAAGCCCCACAGAAGGCTGGGAGTAAAATGGAAAGAATCTCTACATACCTAGTTTCGAGACTAATGTTGCGTTCAGACTTTCATAAATACGGAATTTGCCATTGCAGCATGATAGCGTTGTCATTGCAAAAGTTTTCATTGCATGGTGAGTCATTCCTTTTCTCTCAGATGGAAAGGAAATGGGAAGAAAGCTTCGCAAGGTGAGATGGTTGCCTCACTGAACGAGTCTGTCCTACAGATGTATTTGAACATACATAGTTTGAGAGGCAGGGCTCCTGGGAGTGCACATTCATTACATGTTCAAGACATGCAAACTTTTCTGCAGGCACAAACACATGAAAAACCATTCTCTGTGTTTGCAGCAAAAGTTGGCTGTGCACAGCACTGATTGGCTGGAAGTGATGATGGCATGAGTTTTCCCCCTCACAGCTTTTCATCTGTTTTAAAATGGGTCCTGCTTTAAGAAAAAGAAAAAAGAGACACAAATTGAGTATCGGCACAGTCCTATGCATTTTTATATCTCACTGAGTTCATCATCTCATTAACTTCAGTGGGAGTTTTACCCTAGTAAAGACGTTTAGCATTGCGACCTAAATAAGCATGCAACACTTCAAAATAACAAAGCATATAGGAAGAGCAAGATCGATTACTGGGTCAGTTCAAGCCACTTGCTATTATGCCTGCCAAAGGCATAGCAACTGTGAGAGAAAGGTGGGCTTCCCCTGTGGGATGAAATGTGTTGTGAAAGAAGTAAATGGAAATGGGACAAATGTTGAAATGTTGTTGCTTGCGTAAATTACATTGCTTTGACCAAGCAACAACAAAAAGTCTGGTTTTATTCAAACCACAGATTAGCTTTGCACAGCAACAAAACAACTAGAGAGGAGCCAAGCAGTTGTGATCTCCACTCTGAGAGTCTGCCCATTTGCTTGTTCACACTGAGGCATATTTACATTTAGGATTGTGTGTGAACCAGGCCAGTGCTGTCCATTACTAGTAAAGTGGTTGCACTGAAGCATCTTATTTATCCTGTTATATTATAGACACTCTATATTATAGACACTCTAAGCAGCAGACTTAAACATAACCATGTATGGCAAAACAAAACCTGCCAGTCCTTTATTCACTGAAAGCAGCTATAAATGGTGTGTACTACATACTGGAGTGCAGAAATAAATGTGGGCCTAATTCTGCCTTTCTCTTAAAGCTGTGATAGAAAGTTGTCTGAAACAGGAGTAACTTCATTGAAATAAATTAATAAATGTGGCCATGTATTTAGCAAGAATAAGTCAGAGTAACCAAAATTCAACTGAGCTGCGCATATAATTACATCTAGAAAAACATAGTCTCAGTCCATCTTTTCTTATGGTAGACACTGGGCATGGTTTTAGTATTGTACCATATTTTAACAAGATGGACACTTATAATTTCTTTCCAATGGGCATGAATGTATTCTTCACCTTATTATTGGGTGTTTCTTGATAGCTTTCCAGTACAAAAGCTCTATTACTGATTTAAAATGCTAGGAATTCTCAATTTAATGGGATCTTGAAGGGTAGCATTTTGTCTCTAGTGCTGGAGCTAAAGAGATTCGGCACTTGCTAGAGGCCTGATACATACAGAATATGTATCCAATGTATACCATCTCTTTATTCAGTTTCCAGGCACTCTCCCCCATAAAGTGTTGTGGTCCTTTTCTCTCCATAGAGAAAGGGCTTTTTCAAGGGTAGCTTGAAGACAATAACACGAGTGCAACCTCTCTTCATTCCATGACATTGTGTTTTGTGCATCCTGTTTCAGTCTGTTTCTGTCTCTTCTGCCCTTGCTTTTCTGAAGCAACCATCCTGTGCACAATTACCTGAGAATAAGTCCCCCCTGAATTCTGTGGGACTTACTTCTGAGTTACATAGTTAGGGATTGTGGAGCAAAATACTTAACTGTCAATGTCTGCTTTATATCATGTTACCAGGCTCAGCATCCTCCTGTCTTTTACTGCCTTTGTTCCATTTTTATAGCATGGTGTGGTAAATCTCTCACTCCATTTAACATGTGTCTTTGGCTCTTATTCAGTAACTTATTCCATAATTCTTACTATGTGGTATATAACTTCCAGCTTTGTCTACTGCCAGGGTACATTTTGATTTGGATTTTTGTATAGCTTACATATCACTCTCTCACCTGTTTAGTGATTTACACCCTCATTGTGGACCTTTTTCTTCTATGTGTTGATAATCTTAGCACTTTTTGCTTTTAGATTCTTAAAGGTACACAGTGGAAACCTGATTATGTGCTTTGGCAAGTTTACACCTCTGTACAAATTGTACGCAAAATTCTCCATTCTGTAGGAAAGTCTGTAATTACTAGCTGCCATCATCAGTCCTAAAATATAAATAAACTGTCAGTGTGAAACATCACAGTTAAAGGCTGTGTACTCCAAATGCAATCAGGCCTTGCATTAAGTTTACTTTTCCGGTCTTTGACTTTTCTCCTTCAGTAGTCCTGGGTTGCAGATTAATTTGGGCTGTGGCCAAGGCTGACAAGGCCTTGAAGCATCCTGAAGTAGTACCTCATGTGACTGATTTCTAAAAGTGGCACTCTTTCCTTCCACTTGGATTGATCGATCTCTTTGTGCAATTACAGAAGGGGGAGGGGTGCTCCAATTAAGAACTGTGGAGCCAGAGGTTGGGGGATGATTTTCATTTTTTTACTTCAAGTAAATAGATATCAGTGACCGGTGTTAGCTGGAGCTGCTTGTCTGTTTTACTACTTTCAGTTTGGTTATAAAGGTCAGTTTAGGTCACTTTTAAGTCAGTAATATTGTTTAGCAATTGCCTACCATTGCTCTTTAGTCCAAATTATTTTTAAATCCAAGTACACTGAGAGGAAATCACGCTTTCTATTCTGAGTGTTCTTCAGTTGATGATTATATCATAATTTTATAGAGAATATTACTTGAACAAACCTGACCAATTGTCCTCTCACTAGCAAATGTAACATCCAGCGCCACTGAAAACGTATTAAAGATATTTGGGGGCACTTCACACGATGGAACTGCCTCACATCAAGTATTTTAGTTATGCCTACAGCCAGTGTTTATAATTATGAACATATTTAAACAGTATACTTCTCCTGAATGTGAACATTTTGAGCCAGACTGCATGTGACAGCAAGAGAAGTTTGTGTAGAATCAGGTCCAAATCTCTCTAGCTCATTGGGAAGGTGCAATTTGAATAGCAGCATGAGTTGACAAGTTGAGGCATTAGAATTCTCCCCTATTCAACCAGTCTTCTTCCTGGGTGCACTTCATTGTTGTTAAGTAATCTTTGAGGTGACTCCAAGATCAGAAGTAAACCTCACTGGGATAAAACTGGTATTAAAAATGGGGTGGGCTGGAAATTCGTCTCTCCCCCCCCCCCCCCGCCTTGTATTATAGAAGACTGGCAGGACTCTGGGCCTCCTCTAGTTGCCATCTCAGTTATTTTCTTCCAAAATCCTAGTAAGTGAATATTGGTCAGAGACATCAGTTCACTTAAATTACTTGCCTCATCCTTTCATATTTTGCTTCATTGGTTACAGGCAAAAGTCAAGAATTTAAGAGCTGTCTACAAAAATGTGTTTTTTGCTGCTTTGGTTTCCTTGCCAAATTACATATGCTTAGATTTTGGATTTAGCTTTCTTTCATTGTGTGATATATAAATTGGTAATTTTGTTCCTCTCCATTTTTTCACAAAAAAGGAACTACCTTGTTCCGCACTTGCTCCATCCTTAGAATCCTGCTTCTCCCGACCAGAGAGACCAGCGAATCGACGCCCACCTTCCCGATGGGCCTCACATTCCCCTACTGCCTCACTATCTCAGTTAACTGGGGAGGAATATGGAAGCATGGAACTGCCGTTGGAGAACCCAAACCAGTGATGCAAGCCTGCATGAATTATCACAGAATAATTCACTGTCTTTTGCATAGTAGCACCATTACCATGGCCAGTCTCTGTCAGCGAGGAGAGCTCAAGTTGCAGAGGTTAAAGAATGTTCTAGAATGCAGCAGCTTTGTGTACCTGAGAAACAGATGTTTCTAGAATGAAACAGTTAATGTGCCTGTAATAACTTATTTTTTTCATAGCTCAGAAAACTATTTTTGCCTCCATCTTTTCTACACACAGTATATTAGGATCTAAAAGATATGCAGATAAAGATAAGGTTTTAAATAAAACATGAATTATGTTTCAAGGGAAACTGAATGTGTTCTCTCTTTCCCACTCTCTGACTACTGACTGCCTTCTGTTATATTTGCACCGTTAAGGTTTGGGTTTTGTTTTTTTGTTTTTTAAATTAGAATTTTAAGTTAATTATGTTGGTTATCAGTTTGAAAAAGAAAATTCATAGAGGTGCTTTAGCATGTCTGAAGCAGTAACTTTTAAGTAGTGAAAAAGCCATTGAACTAGTTGACTAGAGTTGTCTTAAATAAACTAGAGGGGAATGCAGGGAATATGGAATGAAATGTTTAGAAAAGGGCGGGGGGAGCCTCAGACAGTCTTAATGAAGTGAGCTGTACGATACATACACACACAAAAGATTTGCATGTCATTAGGTTCCTAGCACTTTAGTGCATGTACACACTGCTACTGTACTCTCACTGTCACATCCGTGTCTCAATTTCTTTCCCTGTTATATTGTTGTGAATTTATCTGTACTGTACTTTTAATGTTGGTATTCTTGCAATGATTGTACAAAAAAAGATTTTTAAATAATTGTTCAAACAGTTCAACTGATTATGTACAGTGTTTATTGAAAACTTCCCTTGTTTGAGGGAAAGCACTGAGAACTCTGGGCATACTAAATTGTAACTGGCCTTGTTTTAAGAGTCTGTTTGAGACCATGTGGTGTGGAAATAAATTCCTCAGTATTTACAAAACGCTGGAGTTTGTTTGAAGCTTGATATTCCTAAACCTGTTTCCCATCTATTACATGAATGCTAGCAAACATCCTTAACAAGATAGAAAAATTTGAATATGAACAAATGGACATGTACATCCCCCTCCCCCCAAAAAGCTGAACTTGTAGAGTATGAAGAACTATGTTGGGAGTGTTCTTTGCTGTTTGCAAAAGAAAGAAAAAATCTAGTTCACTAGGGTGGCAGTTTCTTTTTTTATGTTTCCTTTGATATTTAGTGTTTGATCATGAGCATATGCTGATACCATCTATCAAAACAGACAAAATTTAAAAGCCAGACTTAAAAGCCAGATTTAACACATTCTTGTATCATACCAGGTAAGAATTGGCAGACGTTTGCTTTTCTTAAAAGTATCTTTGCTCTGAAAGCATTTATGGGCAGTTAGGACAACGCAAGGATGACTAGTGCTGTGTGATCTTGAGCCATTTTTCAACTGTGCCTCCTATTGCATTCCCAGAGGCCACATCAGAACTTCTGAGCATTTAAAAGGGGCCTCCTGAGTATTTGCCCTTCAGTGCCTCTTGGCACACTAGTCAAGTATTCCACATTTTTTAATTGTTAGGGACAACATAAAGAGGAAGACAATAGGGGCTGAAAGAGAAAGGGGAAATGTGGTGTATAGAGGCTACATTGCAAGGAAACACAAGAAGACTGTAGATCATCTTTAGTGCTAAGTTGGTGCAGAAGCTAAGAGAGGTGCCCTAACTTACAGTTTCTGTGTCTTTTTTTGTGAATAGGCACACATATAATTCTTTAATTGTGATACCAACGTTTCTTTTGATTTTTTGAGCTCAAGGGATGATGCTGTACACTATGTTCCCAATCAGCAATACAGTAGTATCTCAATGTGTACTGGAAAACTTTGTTAATCTTACAGCCAGAGATGTCTCAGATGGTTTGATAAGTGAGAAAGGATCGATTCCATTAGATATTTCCAGTCTTTTCAAACCCAAATCTCAAAAGAAACGGGTTGATTCAGCTGATGAATTTCAGTAGTAATTTGATAATTCTAACTCAGATGAGAATTATGAAATAAGCACCTTCGATAGTGCAGTCTTTTTGATAGATATTGTTATCTGCTGGAGGTTTTGATACAATTGAGGTGTATACATTTTGTTAAATAAATAGTCAATCAGATTAAAGAGAAAGAACTAGTTGCAGTGGTGTAATCACTCCTCTGCAATTAACTCCAATGCATTGGGCCAGGAGATGTAATTTCATTTCTTTATTTCCTCAGGTTAAAAAAAGATGAAGCTGATACCCCAGAAACATAAGCTCTCTTTTTCTATATAGAAAGATACAAATGGGAAAACAGATTATAAGGAGTGCAGCCTAGGGCTTCTTTGAATATTCATAATCAATCTTCCTTAAGAGAGAGAAAGAGAGAAAACGAGAGAAAGAGTCACACATAACTAGGCACACATAACTAGTTAATGACTCCCAGAAGCGATGTTTGCTCTCTGAAATCAGTGCACACAGCCAAGCCATCGGATTAGTCCTTAGCCATCCTGAAATAGTAAGGTGTGTCAGGATAAGCAGCTTGCCATGGGTTGTCAAGTAAACTGCTTACATAACTGCAGGAATGACTGATACAAGAGGCTGGCTGAACCCAAGGAGCCAGAAAAGAAAAGGAGAGAGGGAGCCAAATGCATAAGGAAAGCACTTCAAAAGATCTGAAACCCACATTAATGTAACGTTATGTTCCCTGTGGTCAAATCCTTGAGCACAACAGTATCAAATATGTTGCCCAAGATCTTTAAAAGCATGTGGGCTTTCACGTTTTAATTATGACAGCCTTATTTTTCTGTTTTAACAAATATATTTTCTTTGTTAATATGGTTGATATGTTCTGCAACATTGATATGTTCTGCAAAAGATTGAAGGTAACTTCTGTCTCAACTTTATGAAAGCTTGATGTCCACTGGGTGCAATTGTGCTGGCGAATTACAAACTGAAGGACTGAGCAGAAATAGATAGAAAGAAATAAACAGGCTGGTGTAGGTTTTCAGTATGATGCTTCCCTTTGCTTTTTTGTTATAGCATTTCTCACCTCTAATAAGTTTTATTTTTATTTTCTCTTTACAAACCTGATGTAGATAATAGTTAGATGTTGTTGGGTTGTTGTGGCTGTGTGTGATGTGTGTGAAGATTGAGCATTTTCACATACAACTGAAGTTTTGCAGATAATAATCATTTTGGGCTGCTGTTCCAACTGGAAATCTCTTGTATAGGCTATGATCTCCCAACAAACCCTAAATAACTCTCCTTTTGATACTTCATTCAGAAGTCATTAATACTGATTTATGCCTGGTTGCTATACTGCTAACAACAGTGAGACAAGTGTATTGCACAAAAATGGAGAAATAAAGATCTTACCATAACTGGCTGGTTAAGGAAAACTTGCCAAACCATCTTAATGAGAAAGTTTACCTATGAAAGCAATGCAATACATAATAAGAAAACAAATTTATTGAGAGGTGGGCCTTGTTTTTACAGTTCTGGAATGACTGTGTAAATTTATTCATGGTACTATAGAGTTTCAGTTACATTGTCACTCCACCCTCTTCGTATGTCAGTTTCTTTTTTCTTTTTTTTAAATGATATTTATTAAAATTTCAAAAACAAAAAATTACATAGTTAAAGAGAGAAGAAACAAGGGAAAATATATAAAATAAAAAAGAGAGAAAACATACAAAATACAAAGTACAGAGAATAAATTAAAAAAAAACACTTAAAAACAAATTAATCCTTCCGTATCTTACATTTCATTTCCTTGCTTCCCTGACCGCCTCTCACCTCCCTTTTTTGTATTCCAGTTCAATTGGTTAATTCAGCAATTCCTTTCCCTCTTTGTTTATGTCTTAGTCCTTTAACTTAATATATTATAACTTTAGATTCTCACCTATTAACCATCCATTTTTACATACACCTTTATGACATTGCTACTAGAACCACTTAATTTCATTCTAACATCATTCTAACATTCATTAATTTTACAATATTTCTGTAAATAGTCTTTAAATTTCTTCCAATCTTCTTCCACCGACTCTTCTCCCTGGTCTCGGATCCTGCCAGTCATTTCCGCCAATTCCATGTAGTCCACGTATGTCAGTTTCTTGTCTTTTTTGTTTTTGTTTCATTTGTTTACTTTTTCTGCATGAGAAGCAAGGTTGCCTGATTATAATGGTTTTTGTTTCATGTTGTTATAATATAATATTACTATTTATAAAAAAGTGGTATGATACTGCTTTAAATGTATAGTGCAGTGTGATTCAAAGTGCCAAGAGCTGGCAGGCCTTTCTTTGATCACAGCTGCTGAAGAAAATGCAGTTGTGACCTCAGATATCGTTGCCAACTTGCCACATGTACAGCCTGATTTTCTGAATTCTTGGTGTGAAGAACTGACCCACCAGCTGTTGCCATCTCCAAGGTCAATGTTATTAGCTTGTAATAAAAAAAAATAATGTGACATTATTCCTGAATTATTAAGCTTAAGGCCAAGGAAGCAAAAACACACATTATTTATTCACATAGACTGCTGCTTTCCACTATGGCATGTCAGCATTAATCACCCAGGCACTTATATAGCTTATCTTTTAAGCAGCAAATAATTAGAGCTTCTTTCATAGGCTGAACTAAATAATTTAGTAGAATCATTTCTTCTAATCAGAAAAGTCTTGAGAAAAGGGCAGCAAGGAAAATGATGAGCAGGTTCCCTAAGCAGCATCCTAAGGAATTAAAAAGACTGTTCACTATAGTAGTGTGGTAGGAAGATACGTGTTACATAGCTCTGATTTTTAACACTTTTCATTTCCCACAAAAGAGAGGAGATCCTGATATAAAAGTAGGTAATACCAAGGAAACTCCTTTAACTCCAAACCTTATGGGAGCTATTTTAAATGTTGCCTAAATTCATTTTGATCTAGCCGTGATAGTAAATTAAGTTGTTAAACATCTGCTGTCATTACAGTGAGATCCTTTTGTAAAAGCTTACAAAATGTCAACTGCGCACACATCTGACAATGTCCTGTGACATTTTTTTAACACTGATATTCATTACCTCAGACTTCCAATGAGTTTATTATACTCATAGAAGTGACAGAGAATTCTAGCAGAGAAGGTTATTAGACTTAGTGCATATAGAAATGCTGGTGGTGTGATTACAACCTAGAAGCAGGTATTTTAATGGAGAGTAATGCATTATGCACAGAAATTATTTTGGCAACTGCTGAGTGAGAAGTACCCCTTAGGCAGCTATGAGGCGGCCAACCTAGCCTTATATTCTTCCATTCCAATATTACAATGGATCTTTAAGAAGATTTTCCAACACGATATAAATTCTAAGTACTAAAACAGGGATGGGGAAACCTGTGGTCTTCCGAATGTTGCCAGCAAGTCCAATGGTCAGGGATGGTGGCACCACAGCAAGATCTCAGGTTTCCCATCCTTGGAAGACAGCAGAAGCTGAAATATATGCAGCAAAAAGGGGGAGAGGTATGTGTGTCACTTAAAATTGGGACTTGAACTTTACTGTTTGGCCTGTCTTTACTGTTTATGGTTCCCATGTGTAGTTTCTGAGGTAAACAAAATAATTGTTCTGGAATGAGGTGAAAAGCAGTAAGTAGATCAAGGTCACCTAGTGAGTTTCATGACTGAATGGGGATTTGTTCTGTGGTCTTCCAGGCCCCAGTACAACACTATAATCATATACTACACTGTGCTTTTCTTCTAGACCGGTACTCTATACCCTTGAATACCTACAACAGAAGGTATTGAAATGGGGCAAAAAACCAGCTAAAATATTAAATAAACCTTGAGATGTAATAGATCCTTTGAACACCTTAACAGTAAAAGAGGCCATACAACCAAATAAAGCTATCACTTTACAATTACAAGAGAATCAAACTAATAAATTAAGAAGATTGCATAACCTAATTTTGTGAGATGGAGAAATAAGAGAAACT